TAGTAATTCTAAATTAATTCAATCTTTTATTTTTTTTAGTTTGTGTAACACTTCATCTATATATATGGATTTTCATTACTGTTTTGACTATTTATTAAATTTGAGTATTTATTGAGGATATGAAATAGTGAAACATTTGCAATTTTATAAATTCATCTAACATATTATGATAGGGTTACTTAATTTATTTCTATTTTTAAAAGGAATTGGTATTAATAGTTTTATATAGTAAAAGATAGATTTAATAACAAAATTCTAAAAGAAAAAAATGTGTCAAGAATTTAAACATTAAAGCAAATACTAGAATTAATTTAATCTAGAATAAAGTATAATAATAAGAGTGGATGATATTTCATATTGAAAGTAATGTACCTATCACCTTGGATTATTATAGTTCAATTGATGTTACATTATAAAAACTGGAAAAAAGTTATATTAATCATCAAAAAGTAGTATATTTTAGAAAAAATTAAGATTTACAGAGATAATTATAGCTTCTCTAATCGCAAACTAAAATTCTTAATTACTGATTAACTTAAGCTCAACTTAAATAGATCATATAATTAAAATTTATAAATTACTGAGATTATATACGCAGCCTTTTTAAGAGTTAGAACTAAATAATCATTTTTAATTTTCAAGAAATTAATTAGTGTCTAAACAGAAAATAATATCCTTTAAGACTTACAAAACTCATCAACTGGTTAAATTTTACAATTAAATTAATAAATTATCCATAATTTATAATAACTAAAAAGCAAAACTATTATAAAAATGGAAGGAATAAATGAATAAAAGTAAACCATAAATATACGCAATATTAGATTAACCTCCTAAATGAATTGGGTGATAAATTTGAAGAACTAAATACATGAATAGTAGAAAAGAAGTGATATTAATCATATTAGAAAATAATTATTCACTAATAGACAATTTGGTATTCTTAAATTTAAGAAATTAAAGTTTATTAAAATATTTAGATTTAACGTTATTAGCTTTTTTTTTTTGGTATTGACAATGCATAAATAAAATAAATTTGATTACTTTAGAAGAATGGAATGGGTTTATATTTGATAAACTTGGTGTAAAGTTTATAAATTGCTTTTTGGACAAACTTAGAATGGTATTCATTACTTCATGTAAAATGGTAGTTATAAAAGGAACTACTCTATTTGAACCTTATTATCTTTATTCTAATGAATGATTGTTTTGTATTAACAATTTCTAAAGAATTTATTTATTACAATTCAATAATAATGATTCACCATCCATGAAAGAATTCACGATACAAACATCTATCTTAGAATAGTTCATAATTAAGATTCTCTTTTTCGCTTTGAAGGCTTTTCGATTTGTACTCCTGAGTTATTATTCAATATTTATTGATTGAATAAAGTTTTGACTAAATNGTGGATGATATTTCATATTGAAAGTAATGTACCTATCACCTTGGATTATTATAGTTCAATTGATGTTACATTATAAAAACTGGAAAAAAGTTATATTAATCATCAAAAAGTAGTATATTTTAGAAAAAATTAAGATTTACAGAGATAATTATAGCTTCTCTAATCGCAAACTAAAATTCTTAATTACTGATTAACTTAAGCTCAACTTAAATAGATCATATAATTAAAATTTATAAATTACTGAGATTATATACGCAGCCTTTTTAAGAGTTAGAACTAAATAATCATTTTTAATTTTCAAGAAATTAATTAGTGTCTAAACAGAAAATAATATCCTTTAAGACTTACAAAACTCATCAACTGGTTAAATTTTACAATTAAATTAATAAATTATCCATAATTTATAATAACTAAAAAGCAAAACTATTATAAAAATGGAAGGAATAAATGAATAAAAGTAAACCATAAATATACGCAATATTAGATTAACCTCCTAAATGAATTGGGTGATAAATTTGAAGAACTAAATACATGAATAGTAGAAAAGAAGTGATATTAATCATATTAGAAAATAATTATTCACTAATAGACAATTTGGTATTCTTAAATTTAAGAAATTAAAGTTTATTAAAATATTTAGATTTAACGTTATTAGCTTTTTTTTTTTGGTATTGACAATGCATAAATAAAATAAATTTGATTACTTTAGAAGAATGGAATGGGTTTATATTTGATAAACTTGGTGTAAAGTTTATAAATTGCTTTTTGGACAAACTTAGAATGGTATTCATTACTTCATGTAAAATGGTAGTTATAAAAGGAACTACTCTATTTGAACCTTATTATCTTTATTCTAATGAATGATTGTTTTGTATTAACAATTTCTAAAGAATTTATTTATTACAATTCAATAATAATGATTCACCATCCATGAAAGAATTCACGATACAAACATCTATCTTAGAATAGTTCATAATTAAGATTCTCTTTTTCGCTTTGAAGGCTTTTCGATTTGTACTCCTGAGTTATTATTCAATATTTATTGATTGAATAAAGTTTTGACTAAATCTTTTTAAAAGTTTGTGCTTTTCTATAAACAATTGAAATTTATTTTTATTATTGAATTTCTACTCAATGATCTTTTTTTGTAAAACTTATATGCTTTTTTATTCTTTTTATTCTAAATCATTAAATTTTTAATTGACCCTCTTCATAAATTTAACAATTTATATTCTTTCTCTTTCTTATTAAATTTTTTTGAAATAATTTAAACAATTTAACAGTTTAGCTCAAATAATCCAGAAATAGTATAAATATTTAGAGTATTAAATTTAACAATATTTCTAAAAATTTATTTAAACTTGAAACTTGAGTTATAAAATCTGTCAAATTTGCTTTGCTATCTTGAAGTGTTAATGCTATTTAATGGTCCAATAATAGTTATATTTTATTAGACTTCAACATTTTATAGATTATTAATTATATAACTCTTTAATTAATATTAATTATATATAAAAGAACTACAAAAAAAGATCAGTTTAACAAAAAAATAAATATACCTTTAGTAAGTGAATAGCGTTTTTAAGCAAAAGCATATTGTTTTTATAAAATTTAATAAATATTGGATTAGTTTCAAATTCTATTAAAAATAAAAAAGCCTTGAAGATAATAATCACAATCAATCTTAATGTGTGTATAAAAATTAAGAATAATTACTTATTTTTAATGCCTTCAGTAAAATTTGTAATATATAAAGATTGGATAATTTTTCAAAAAATTAGTATTAATAAAATGAACTCAAAAATTAAGTATTGTAAACAGGTAAATTTGGTAGCTCCAGAGAGAAAATGACTTATAAAATCTTGTATACTTTCAATGATTATAATGAATTTTTTTAACATACATGGACAAGGAGAGTAATTGATCAAACAATGTTTGATCTTGATCTTGATTAAAAGAGTTTTTTATTATTGATTAGGCTTCGACATATCCTTAAACGCTGTAAAAAATGAAACTAATACTAAGAAGAATCAACTCAGAATGTTTAACAGAAAGCATCAATATTTTAAATATAAAGAAAATATGATGAGATTATGATTTATTATTCAATAAAAGAAGTTAATTTAGTATTTTGGATGAGATAAACTTTGTTATGGAGCGTTAAAATTTTGATAAACACAATAAGAATGATTAATGAGGTAGGTTTGTTAAATGAAAGTATTCTTGATGAAATCACTTAGGATGGATTTTTAGCAAATTAATTATGTCTTAGAATATATAATAGTCCAAATCATAAAAGCAGAAAAGTAATTGGGATTTTAGAGAGTATATGGCATGATTTTCTGCTCCATTATCATCCATTAAACCCAACTGAAAGGTAACCCTCATAATTAAATAGAAAAGGAAAATATCGAAAGTGATTTTATGATTTATTGTAATCATTGTTTGATACAGAGATTAGAGTTTATAAAAATATCAAAAAAATAACATATCTCTTTTATTGGCTGTTGTTGGATTGGTTTCACTAATAATTAATAAATGAATAGGATTAATTGGAGATATTTTTCAAAATATATAAAAACACTTTCGAAACAAAAGATATTTATAATCAGAGTTCAAATTTTTTTAATTTATATTTTTGATTTATTTTAAATTAATTAAACCTTAACAAATTTTATATAATAAGAATTTATAAATTTGAAAGCCTTCTAAATGAGTATTAAAAATTATCTTTTGAGTTTGGAAGATCATAAAAAAATGAATCCTTTGGATAATTTTCAATTTTATTGGAAATTTTCCTTTAAATGTATAAAAACTAGTTTAGAATCTGAGGTTTAATTTTTTAAATTGTTTTGAAGATAAATTTTGAATTTCTTATTCATTACTTTTACTTCAATATAAGGAAGGATTTCAATCCTTTTTTTGAATTATTTTTCTAAAACTATTCTTGATTATTATTATCAAATGTAAGTTTCTTTATATCTTTTTTTATAGTTACCTACATAAATAATACGTATAGGTTTAAAATTGAGTCTTCCAAAATCGAAATATATGAATGAGCTTGAGAATATGAATAATGAAATGTGGTTAATTTGAATTGCATTAATATAACAGCTAATTAGCACAATTAAAATAAACTCAGAATACTGTAAATATAAGTAATAATTTTATTCCTTCTTTTTAATTGATTAGTAAATTTCATAGATAGCTTTTCCTTTTTTATAATAAGTAATACTTTAGGTTTGTTTGAAAACCAATTTCATTAGAAATTAAGAAACTTAGAGAATTAAACTAGAAAGGGTTTTTTTTACTGAAAAATAATATTCTATATATTAAACTAAAAAAAAATTATAATTAATTCCACCATTTATTAGCTAAGTCAAAAATATTTAAATAAAAAACAGACCATTATTAATGTATGTAATAAGTTTTTAACAATAATTAAATAAAGCAGGATTATAGTTTTCTTAATTATTAATAAATCACTGCTTTTACAATGAAAATGATAGAGGAATGAATATTCATATAAAAGAATAATTTCTTTATAGCTTAAGAAAAGTTCAATATAATCTTATCACTTTTATAAGAAGATCATTAATCTTCCTCCATCATTACTTTCCTTATAATATCAATACATTTGTGTTCTGTTTCAAATGCATTAAAAATTGCTAGTGCCTTAGTTATATAGATTAAATTACATCTAAATATTGTGTAACTCCACTAAATGATTTAATTGAACTAGATTCAATGAGTTCGTCTAAAACATCTTTTGCATCTTATGATTTGAATTTTTTTTCAATACTTTATTTTTGATGTTTACCAATTTATGAGTAAATATAGTTTGCTAAATAAGCTGCGATATTTTTTAATAAGTTGGAATGATAGTAGTCAAAAGCTTTTAAAAGTTATTTTTCCTTAGAAATCAACCCTTTAACTATTATAGTGATTTCAAATTTATCAAACTCTCTTAAACAAAGAATTTCTTTGACACATATTTAATACTGAGAATAGAGCCATCTATCAAAACTTCCTTAGAAAAAAAAAAATAATCCTTTCAAAGGATGTTTATTAGTTTCAAACCAGCCCTTCAACCCTGTTTCTGCTAACTCAAGCATAATTTATGCTTTTAAAATTTGGCTTAATCTTTGGTATGATTCGCATTATATTAAATACATCATAGAAACATAAGGATGTAAGATGCTGATATTTAATTTGAAAACTTTAGAATACCCATCTATTGCGTTTTATGCACAGAAAAGAGTCCAAGTAATAATTAACTTTTAACTAATCCCATTTTTTACTCCTTAAAATATGCTTAATTAAAAGTCCAGGACCTTTAATTTATGATCAATTACTGTTATATCTGATAATAGATTCATTTTTAATGAAAAGTATACTTTTTATTTTGTTTCTTCATTTTTTATTTTTTATTTTATTTTTTCTATTTAATTTGACTGATCTGTTAGTAATGTTTAAAGTTAAGAGTTTTGGTTATTCTAAAAAAAGTTAAAATACATAGCATAAATCATATGTAAGTAATTTATATGATTTTTGTTTTCTAATTATAATTGCAAAGAGAAAAGAAAATTAATGTTTGGCAGATTCTATTCAATATTTATTATTATTCTTAAATGATTAAGAATCGCCTCATTAATTAGATCTCTATTAAATAAATGAATGTAATCTTAGTCCATTTTTTCATCTTAGAGAAAATCGTAATCCTTTATTTTCAATTCATCTAGTTAAGAATTAGTCTAGTATTCTGAAACCTAAGATCAAAAATATATATCTACCAGTTAATCGTTAAATAAAGAAATTATTGTTTTTTCTTATTTCATGTATGTACTTATATACTGAAGTATTATCTCTGAATATTTTAGAGCATTTTCGTAATCAATTAAATTCATATAGTATTTACATTAAAAATGAGCTAAGAGAGCGTGCATTAAAGTACCTTAAGCATAATCATTTAATCTAAAGCTTAAAAAATGAATAAACCTTATACCTATATTATTATTTTGGTTCTGAATATCCGATTATTGAGTTTACTGCATCCAATAATGATTCAAACAAATGCATTATGCGAATCAATTAAGGTTAATTTTTCAATTACAAAATGCTTTCTTATATTATTTCTTAGATTAAAAAATAATCTTAATGCATCATAAGGTTGAATAATAAATATTATGAATTAAATTTTACATCTTCAAAATACAAAAAGTTATTTGTGTACTCAAATAGATATTTAGATGGAACAGGTAGAAAATTATTATTATTTTTGAAAATGCCATCCACAATCATCAAATCTTTTTCAAATCCTTCATGAATTTTATGAAAAATAAATGCCTAAGATTATAACAATCTTTGTATCAACTAGTACATTAAATCAACGACATCATCTTATTAACACTATATAAATGAATGAAGCAATCCAAGTACTAAAATTGAAGAGAAAAAATCTTCATTTAGATTTTCCTAAATTTATTGATATGAATTTCTAAGTCTTTAAGAAAATTTAACATTACAATTTAAAAACTAACAAAACAGCTAATATTATTGAAGTTTACTTATTGAAGCATCAAAAACTAATTGATCTACACATTCATTATTAATTTAAGCAAATTTTAAAGATTAGCAATAAAATTTTGGATTTGGTTGAAATTATTTCATTCCAATCCTAGCCTTATCAATTAATAATGTGTTTTGAGGAGAAAAATTTTCAAGGTGCTTTGGAGAAAATGAGAAACAAATTGAAAGATAATAAAATACTTAGAGCTCTTCTAAACCCTGGTGATAAAACCAGTTTTCCTCTTTTATTCTAAGGCTCTTGTGAAATTCTTTCAGTAATTCAATTTAAGTTTACTTTTAAGTATGTCTTAAATGATAGTCAGAATTATATTTTGGTAATGTATGAGTAACAGGCTAAACGTTATCAAGATGAAACATTTGCTAAATAAGTCTTATCTAGTACATACAAAAATATGTATCAACATTTTTATAATTATGGTTGTCAATTTAATTTTAAATAATTAATCTATTTTCTAATGTAATTTTTAAGTTGGAAAACATCATGATTTAAAACTTCAAGAAGTCATCATCATCAGATTAAATTAATTTTAGCTGTTTTTTTCTACCAATGTCGTTCCATCTTAATTACATAATTACTAGATATTTACCAATGTCGCATTTCAATTCTTATTTTTGGTTTTGTTTAGAGATTTTCTCTTAATTTAATAGTTTTAATTGATTTAAATAATACTCATAAATTGATTCATGAGCACCTTCTACCTCTTAAAATTCTTTATAATTATCTTTAAAACGCTCATTTTTACTATCATATAAATTTATCATCTATAAGTACTAAAAATAGATTAACTAGGTCAGATATAATTTATCTCCTTATGTCAAAGCATCTATTTTTGTATCCAAATTTTCACTTATAAAATGATCATCATCGGTAGGGGATGATTATTCAAGATTAATTAATCCAGGACTGTGATCTAGAGGATTATCTAAAAATTTCGGAGCTGGGTCGCGAGATATAAGTAGTTCTTAATTTTATATAATATCTGAGTAATAAATGCCAGCAAGAAGAAAGTTCTTGTTAAAATATTAATAAATAGCCTTTATAGCTAAAAATTAATTTAGATATCTTTGCAATTACGTTTGATATTATATTAATATTAAGATGTAATCTTAATTTTTTCTCAACGTATTTATTAAATTTAATCTTTCAAATGAACTTATCGATGATTATCCTTATTTTTTTTCTTTTATTCTTCTTTTTAAAATTATGTGCTATTCAATTTCAGATAGATTTTCAAGCTTTATATTTAAACTTAATTATCGAAACATGACTCTTAATTGTGCACTACTTTTTTTTAATCCTTCAATTAACTTTGAAATTTCAGGTTCAAATTCTTTTTTTAGAGCAAATAAGGATGAAACTTTAAAATAGTAGATTAACAAAATGTCTAGTATTCTTTTAATTTCATTTGATTTCAAGATGTAACTGTTTAAATTTTTTGAAAATTAGTTTATAAAATGTATTAACAAATCTGATGATATATTGTAATAATTTATTTTTAAATAATTTTCAACTTCATGAATTAAAACTAATACTTTATTAAACTATTTCATTCTTAGATGAAAATTAATTTAATGTTTCATATTTTCCATATATAATGAATAAGAATTTTCTTTTTAATTTGGAGCCAATTAAAAATCAATTTCTATAAATTGTTTTTAAATAGTCATTTATTCATAAATTTGTTAAGGATCTTTTTCATTTTCTAGTACGTCCAAAAGAAAATGACGTAGTGGGTGTTCTATCTATTTAATTGCCTCTGCCAAATTTTCAATAGGTTTTAGAAGAATCATCTCTGTAATCATTTAAACTAATTATACAACTTAATTGTTTTTTTCCTATATTGAATTCAAGACCATATATTAGTTTTTAGTTAAAATGTAATTATAAATTGAAATATTTTATACTTAGTTCTTCATCATTAAAGTTATATTTGCAAAAAAGAATTATTGAAGTTCCTCATAGGAATATTATAATGAGTATTTCTTTCTAAATTGTAAAACTTAAAAAAGGCTTTTACAATCTTTAGCCTAATATAATGAAACACAATATCCTTTGATGAAAAAGTCATCTATTTAATCTAGAATATTAAGCAATTTAATATAGTTCTTGCTCTCGGCCAAAAATACTCCTAATTTATCATCATGAAATTTTTAAAATGCTAATCTTTAACCATGCCTAACTTAAAAAAACTACATCAAATATTCTTCCTCTTCAATTTAGACAATCCATAGAATATCATGAAGATGTTTCTTTAATTTAATGTTTGGAATTTAGTTCCATTCATCTATGCAGTATTATAAAATATATTCTTCTAATTTCATTGAATACTATTCAAATATATATGTATCTTTTGATTTATCAATAACATTTTTGTAAATTTCAGATTTTAAAGGCTGCAGGTAATAATATTTTTACTTTATTGTGCAATTAATAGATGGGAATGCAAATGTTCGTTTTTACCTAGTCAAATATAAAAATACATTATTACTCATATTCCAACATTACAAACAATTCTATGAATGAATTTAAAGTGTATTAATTAATTGACGAGTAGTGGACTAATGAGGTAAATCTTCTATGAATGTCTGATTCAAATTTAACTTATTCTAATTTTTTCATAGCTTCATAATATTCTAGAGCAAATTTTATTGAAGGTTTTTTTATAATTTATTTCCTAAATCCTCTAAAAAATAAACCTTTGTATCTAAAGATCTGAACCTTTCTACAATTCAACCAAGATTTTTTTTCAACGTAATTACGATATTTTATGAGAATTTCTTGATATTCTTTTTCTTCCTCTAAACTTAATGATTTACCAAACTATTTTAATTGTCTTCTAAATTTCAAAGTTGCTTTATTCTTATAAAATTCAAGTTAATTGTTAAAGCTTTAGCTTAATATTTTAAATCTTTTATAATCTAAATTTTGAAAAATTTTCTATTTTCTTTGAATGTAAGATTAGCAAATAAAAAACCTGTAGTCGCTCCATATCAACTTGTATGAAGACAATAAGATCAAACGAAAAAAAAATCTCCAAATTCTGGTTCTATCTCTTTTTAATTGCTTTTCAGTTATACCACTATGCTATATTTAAAATGCATAATTTGTTGTTCTTTTTGAGAAATAGTTAAAAAAAAATCCATAATCCAATTAATCCACTTAATTAATTTTCTTAACTAGTTCTTCAATCTTAAACTGTTATTTTTTTTATAATTGTGTTTCTGGTCTGTTAGAATTCTCTTTACAACAGGAGAAAATTGTTCGGCTCATCTATTCAGAAACCTCTGTTTACATTTTTCTTTAAGTATTTTAAGGAGTATAAAGTTGATGTTGTGTTTCATTTGTTTACGTTAATTCAGTTAATTTTTATTAAAATTCATCTTCTTCTTTTATAATCTTTTTTGAAATTGCCTTGCTATTTTATAAATAATAATCTGTAATTTCATTATCTGAGCTGATAGTTTCAAAATTATCAGAACTTTATGTTCCGATGGAACCGAATATTTTGTATAACGGACAATGTTATAATTAATTTTTATTGTTTTTTTCTATTGTTCTGCTCAAACTACTTGCAATTTATACATTATTTTTATAGATGTAATGGCCTCTTCGAATAATTTATTCTAAAATTGTTGGAGTTCCACCAAATAGCGACATGGTTATGTATTTCACTAAAAAATTATAAAATAGTAAAGGTAAAAATAGCAATATTACTTTATCCTACAATTTACCATGATAGTAAATACAAATTAAACCTGAGTTGCATAAAAGCGTAACAAAGTTTATTAATTAATTAACTTCATTCCAAATTCCAAGTGAACTATCTCCTTTAGGCCATGGTCTCTGAATTTGATATAACAACCTATACTTTTGAATCTGAAATTAAATTATAATCCAAAACCAAAATAATGTTATGCTAAATGGAAACAAACATCCAAACAAATTAATAAGTGTCAGCTACAAAAAGAATTCCATATATTCATCTATGATTCCATATTTTTCTTAACTGTGTTAAAAAGGGATTTTTTATTCCTGCTCTTCGATGAATTCGATTAAACTTAGTGTTGAAGACTGTTATTTTTTAATTTCATAATTTTTTTATTCTTAAAGATATATTTTAACAAACTTAATCACTTAAATGCAAAATATCCAAATAATTGTTGTTCCAAACAAGTATTAAACTTATTGTTTGCAATTATCCTCTTCACAATATAAGTTTAATGGAGTGTGAAGAAAGCATACTACCATTAGTGGAAACAATTAAGAAAACCAATACAAAGTGTACTTTTTCATTATAAAACTAGTTTCATATTGATGGGAAGTTTAAAAATTTTCAAAATCAGTTAAAATTGTAGCTATTTATTCGTAATAAGAATCTATTAAATATTAAATTCCATAATTTAAGGATCCCGATATGATAACTTCAAGACTTAAAAATTTATTGCCAGCCTAATCTAATACAGTTTTCAAAAAAAGATTAAAAAAATAAAGGCCAATAATAATTCCTATGTCTGAACCAATCAAAAATATTAAAACAGATGCTGAAATAACAATCCTTTGAATAACCTAAGAATGAATCGTCTCTTAAGAATTTAATTAATCATTTCCTATTGATCTTATGTGCTTACCTTTAAAAGCTGTTCTGATAAAGCTTTCTCTTACACTTTTATTTTATCCATATTTAATATTGAATGTAAGTTATATTTGATTCCAATAATCAGTTACAAATGAACTCTAATGAATTAATAGTATTGAAAAAGTCGATATAATTCCTGTATAAATGTCTTTGTCATAAAATTAAGATGTATATGTTAATATTGTAAAAAGTATTCCAATAATCGACAAAACTGCATAAAATTTAATATAATAGGAAGAGAATTCAAAATAAAGTCCAATTTTTTCTCCAAAATAAGAACATATTTGTTCTATTGGCAAATTCCAAGGAATTTTAAAATTGAAAATCCATTCTCCTGCAAGATCAAATGGTTTTTTTTTATATAAATCTTTATCTTCGCTTAACGCTTATTAGAGACTTTTACAATGCCCAAATAATTCATAATGATCGTGTAAGCAAAATACATTATTAACTAATTTCAAATTAATCAAAGTATTCAAATTTACTGAAGAAGTTATAAGCTATTAAGATATTTTTAATCTTTCATGAGTAGGAAATAAAGTTATTTAATTTTCTTCATTTTTAATATATCTACACCATCTTATTTAAAATTTTGCTTATTACTTTAATGAAGAATTATTAAAATGAACTTTGAATGGAATAAAAAGCTCGAATGGAGTTTAGTTATTCCTATCCCATAAGGATTTCAATTATTGTGTTGGTGTATTTGCTACTTTTAATGCCTCTTTAAATATATTTAAATAATTATGAGCCAGCTATTACTAAAGCAATAGCTTAATTTTTTTTATTTTTGGAATTTTAGAAAAAATAGGTAGGGTTTTGGTTTGGGATGAAAGTTCCCTTATTTAATCATAAACTGTTTGTATAGTTTCTTATTCCTCTGGAGTACATTAGGTAAAGTATTTAAATTTTTTACAATTTCTAATAGCATAGATTTCTTCAGCTGTTTTTTATTCATTTATTACTAAAGCAATGTCATTATTAATTTAAAACTTTTTTCTTTGAATTTAAACATTATTATTTAGATGTACTAGATATTTATAAAAGGCTGTCCACTCTTCATCTGTAGGGCCAACATCATCTCCATGCATTTCTGATTTTTCATACTCAAATAATTCTGTATTCAATCCACTTTGGCCAACTTCTCTTGCTAACTTTTTAAAATTTATTTTCTAAATCTACTCAATAATTAATGGTCTTAAATATTTTAAATAAGGCGAGAGGTTATATTCATCAGGTCTCCATAATCTGCCACTTAATCTTAGAGGTCTAAATTCATTATCCACAGGTTCCAATGAAAGTAAATCAGTAAAGCAAAAGCTTAATTTTTTTTGTATGCCAAAATTTTCTGCTGCTACTTCTAAGGATTTTTCAGGTATATACAACAGAAGGTAGATTTTAGAGCCATCTTTAGACAATATAGGTTTAACTTTGTATCCCTTTCTTGAAAATTAAATTATGAGAATATTGCGTGTTAAGGTTAAAAGATCTTATGTATCATTGTTAGTTCTATACCAAACTCTACCTTAGGTTTTTAAGTATTCACCCTAACAATAAGCCTTTTTAGAGATATACAATAACCCCTAGAGATCAACCTATATTGAATCAATAATATTAGCTAAGCTTCCTTAATTTCGGTTTATATGATCTTTAAGATAATTTCGAAATTGTTTCACTAACTTATTTACACAATCATCCTTCTCATAAATTGGGAAAATTTCTGTCTTGTTTTCCTGATTATGATTATCATCCAAGATGATAGATCTAGGAGTTCGATCTGGAGATTTTTGAAATAATTATTAACCTGTCCCATAACCGATTAGAGTATTTCTGCATTAATTGGGCTGTGTTTCTATTCCTCTAGTTCTTAATTCAAATAAGGAGAAGAGTTTGCGATCCGATAGATTAGTGTAAACATTTTCAATAGCCTTTAAGAACAATTTATCATGAACAGATTTTTCATCTATTTTTAAAGACTTGACAATTTGTTCGAAATATTCTATCTATTTTAGTGGATATTCAAAGTCATCGGGTATTGTGTCTGGGTTTGGGAGGCTGGAAATAATGAATAATTATAAAACTTTACCTTATTACTGTTTCTGGTAAATCAAATTCTTCTAAAGCATCTTCCTCTTGTTAGAATAATTATAACTTTTGGTTAAATTGTTTCTCATCTTAAAAATTTATTTCTTGCCCAAAAAGCATTTTAAGATATTATTCATAAATTTGAACGAAATTTTCAATTGAATCTTATAATCTTTATTTTTTAGTTTTAGTCTTTGAATCAGGAAGTAATGGCTGAAAATATGAGGAAGAGAATTTAGATGCAGCAAATGGAGTTTATTTTAATCGACTTTTCCTTAAATTCATGTCAATAATGTTTGTTTAAAAATTTTTAATTTATTATAAACAATTTAGGAAAAATTTTATAGATGCTGATTTAATCTGTCTTAACTTGCTTGATTTGACTATTTATACTTAAATAGTAACTATTTTATAAGAAAAAATAATAAAATAGTATAAATTTCATTTAACTCAATAAAAAAATCAATCTAATAATCCTTAAAACAATTAATTGTGTAATTTAATTTAACCTCTTGATAATCTTAGGAGTTGAGTTTATTAATTTTATTATTCCTAATCGGCAAGATTTTGTAGTTCCATTTCGTCATTACTTTTTTTATTTAATACATGGATTGATTCTCTTTCACCTGCTTGAATTTAGTGTCTCCAAGGATTCAATAAGACTTGATCATAAAAATCGCCATTCCACATCACCTTAATTTCATTTCTCTGGAATGCAATAAAAGCACTAATCCCTATTGTTGGAAATAGAGTAAATGATGAAACTGGCAAAGGAATTGAATAAAGGGATGAAAATGTGAACCATAAGGTTAAGCCAACTTACAAACCTATGTAGGATATTAATCTATATATAATGGAATCTTTAAATCGATCAACTCGATGAGCATAAGCAAGGAAAAACGCTGGAAATAATATAGATGTTATGGACAGCCATCCACATTTTTTTTTATAGATAGGATAGAAGTATGGAAACTAAGCAGTAAGAGGAGTATTAAAATATTTCATAACAAGACTATCCCATTCATAACGTACAAATAAGCTACCATAAATTGAAAACAGAATATCCATAATTATGCATGGAATAAAAAAGTGTAATCCATTTTTTAAACTTGTTATTTTAAATAATTTGATTGAAGTACCAACCAAATAGATAGTTAATAAATTACTAATCTACAAATAATAAATTGTTATTTTAATACAATCCAAGGTTCATTATTATCTACATATAAATGTAAAGTTACAATAGACACAAGTAATCCTATGATATCACAAGCTCTTAGGATGGAAACTATTCTAATTTTTAAAAATTTCATTTTATAACATAGCTAAATTATATAACAAAATTAACTTCGCTAATTAAAATAAATCCAAATATTAAGCAAAAACATCTAACTAAATTTTCTTCTAAATCTTCTACTGTTTTTTAAAAAATATAAGCTGCGGTTACACCTATACCAAATACAGAATTATATATAATAGCACTTTTCAAACCTAAATGAAATCCTTGAAAGACAACAACATTTTTATTATTCAATTTATCATAATAGGTAATTTTAAATGCACTTAATTTTTATTATCTTGATAGAAATAGTACAAATGTAGACATTGTTACTATTAAAATCAAATAGCTCCAATCAAATCTTTTTGGATGGAAATTAGGATCACAAATATACTAATATGAAAATTTCAAAGATTGATTGGATATTTTAAGAGTAATTTCAATTACAGCCCAGTAGTTTTCCTTTGTTAATTTCTTTTCACATATATATTGAATATTTATTATCTCCACTCCTTTTTTTTAGACTACAATGTTATTAGTATTATCTAAATTAAATAAAATTTACTTAGTGTTATCTTCAAAGCCTAGCCTTTCAAAGTAGTAAGGCTTAATGAATCAATAATTATATCTTAATCTCCTGTGTTTATTATATTTAAGGGAGTGTATGTAATTTGTTAATTTATATTTGATTTTATGTATAATAAATCCAATGGTGAACAATTATTCCAACGAGTCTCCTTCAAACTAAATTATTAATTAATTTGCTCATCTTAATAAATTACATATGTAGTAGATTATTAAGTTAATGGACCCAAAGTGATGGCTATATTTCTTATAGCTTAAAATTAATCAATAGAGATTATAATTAAAAAAAAAATCATATAATAATTTGTTTTTATATATTTAATAATTATTCAGCAAGCAAGATGTATGTTCAAGATTTATATATGAATAAATTACTCAAAATATAATTCAATGCCTAAAATAAATAAACAATAATCAAAGTGTTTTTTATTATAAAACTGTAATAAATTCTTAATACGAAATTTAACCCTCCTAATCTGCGTTGCACTCTAAAAGTATTTATTCCCAAACTTCATCCTCTAAATGACCCATGATTGCTTCAAGATCTTATTTAGAAATAAATCCATCACCATTCTAAGAATTTATTTATTCTTAATTACTTAATCAAAAATCTTAAATGCTTACTCGATTCTTTGAACTGAAAATAATTTTTCTTGGTTCATAGCTGCCATACAGAACTCTGAAAAATCAATCATTCCTGATCTATTTACATCAATCAAATCGATAATTCTCTCTACCTCATCCTCAACTAATTTAGTATCTGATTTCAATTAAGAATAACCCTTCATAAACTCATCTTTTGAAAGTATTCCATCATGATTTAAATCTAACTTAGTGAATTCATTTTGAATCTCTTGAATTTCTTTTTATGTTGACATCTATGTGATCATATATGACATTAATGCTTATCTAAGAAGTGTTTATGCCTTATCTGTTAATATTATTATTTACTTGAAATTATCTAATGTTTTCTAACACCCTTAAATTTAATTATGTTGTAGGATTGTGTTTTACCAACCATGGATCATCCAATGCTTCTCTCGCAGATAATCTCCTTTTAGGATCAACCCTTAAGAGTTTTGATATAAATGACTTAGCTTCTTTAGATATATCCTCCCAATCACGACCTATTATAATATAAATTTAATAAATATAATACTTTCAAAAATAAAGACACCTTATTTAACTCTCTCTAATACTTAATGAACAGTCCTTCCAGTAAAGGGGGGATATCCACATAATAACACATAGAGTATAATTCCACAGGACCATAAATCACATTTTTCATCATATTAATGGTTCAATACTTCTGGAGCAACATAAAAAGGCTAGTTATAAGGATGAATCTTACAGTTCCAATATCTTTACTCATTGATTTATTTTTGTCAAATTTTCTGGATGTACCAAAATCTATTACTTTTAATTATGAATTCGGATCTTAATTGACAAAAATAACATTTTCTGGCTTTAGATCTCGATGAACAATGTTTTTCTCATGACAATATAGTGTAGCTAATAATATTTATCTAATATAATTAGCTGCAACATTTTCAGTAAAGCATGTCATTATCTTTATTCTTTCCAAGAGTTCTCCTCCAGATAAATATCTAAATTTAATAACTGTTGATACTCAGTGACTAAAAAATAATTATTTGTATCTTGATAAAGTTCAAATAATTTTAAAATGTTAGGATGATCAAGATTTTTTAAAATATTCATCTCTGAAAACATTCTTTATTTTTCTTCCTTTAATATTGAGCTCTTTTTTATCTATTTAATTGCTCTAACAAGATTTGTAATTTTATGGGTGACTTTCCACACCTTTCCAAAACCTCCTTAACCTAGAACTTTGTCGAATCTATAATGTGAATTTATTGATCCTTCTTTTAAATGAATGAAAATATCTTATCCAAGCTTGATTCTAGTCTACGTACCAATTTAACTTAAACTATTCATTCTACTTTATTATGTAGCTAATAATTCAAAAAGGATTTACTTTCAACAACTATAGTCTTTGACATTTACTACATTACTTATAAAACTTCAAGATTATTTCTATGCTCTATTTCTGTATTTAGAACTTCCTATTAAATTGCAATCTCTTTGTGAGTTTTACTCCTCTCTAAAGAGCAAGGGGATATTGAATTTTCTTTTCCTAATAGATTGTTTAGCCTTACTCTTTTTTGTGCCCTTTTAAGAAATAGAAGCTTTAGAGAGTGGTTATGGGGTAAAGTTCGATATTTCATCTAAGTCTAAATCTAATTCATCTGAAGATAGGATATAAAAGAACCTTGACGAATAAAGTGATCAATTTTGCAACAATGAGATCCCATTTAAATAATTATGTAAACTTATTATTTATTAAAATCAACATCAGTTGTTTAATTTATCAAATGAATTGGCAGTCTCATTTTTTAAAATATAAATTATATTTAACCAATTTTAATAAAAATATTCAATTCAGCTCAATAATGTATACTCTAACCTCTTTATTTTGTATTTTCTTTATCATTAAAATATGAATTATGTTATATAGAGTAGAGAAGAGAATGAAGTAATGTTTTAGGTTATTGATTATCATAATTAATCGAAAATATTTTTTATTTTTTGAATTATTTAAATTATACTTATATTAAGTAATTTATTTTTAATTAGCGATGCTTAATGAATTTAGAATGCAGTTGCCAATATTCTAATTTAGAGAAAAAATAATCAAATCAATAAGAGAAAGTAATTATATATTAACATTTATTAGATTAGGTGATAATTATAGCAGGTGAAACAGGTTGTGGTAAAACAACTCAAATACCTTAATATATTTATGAAAATGATCCAAATGTAAAAATAGCAGTTACTCAACCTCGAAGGTTTGATTGGAGAATTAATTTTTAGAGTAGCCGCTATGACTCTTGCTGAAAGATGTTCATTAGAAAAATAGACTAAATTAGGATAATTAATTGGATATAATGTTCGATTTGATGATTGTACAAGTAAAGACACATAAATTACATTTTTAACTGATGGTATGCTTATTCGAGAATTTATAATTGGTATATTTGTAAATTATGTAGATTAATAATTAAAACGATATGATGTTATTATAATAGATGAGGCTCATGAAAGGACTGTTTAATCAGATTTATTATTGGGATTATTAAAAAATTTATGCAGAAAAAGAAAATAATTAAAAGTTATAATGATGTCTGCAACAATGTAAATTGAGAAGTTTGCAAATTATTTAGAAACTGAAGCAGTAATACTTTTATACTACTTATTTAGATTCATATAATTGAAGCAAGAACACATACAGTTGATGTATACAATGTTCCAATTAGGTAATAAGATTATGTGGTAATGTATTTAATAATTTAGGAATCTATGGTCAATACAATATTATAATTACATTTTACTTAACCTGAAGGAGATATTCTTGCATTCTTAACAGGTTAAGAAGATATTGAAGATGTTAAAGAAATTCTTTTGGAAAGAATGAAAATATCAAACCAAGAAAAATAATTGGATGTTAAAATGTTATATTCAGCTTTACCTCCTGAAGTTTAACTTGAAGCATTTCAAAAATCTATTCATAGAAAAGTAGTGTTGGCAACTAATATTGCAGAAACTTCAATAACTATTGATGGGATAGTCTATGTTGTTGATTGTGGTTATGTGAAGATTAGATCATTTTAAATTGGCAAAGCCATTGATACATTATTATTGGCTCCAGTTTCAAAGGCATAAGCCGAATAAAGGGCAGGAAGAGCAGGAAGATAGAGATAAGGACAATGTTATCGTCTTTATACTCAATAAACATATGAAAGATTAGCTAAATACATGTTACCTGTATGAAATTTAAACAAATCAAAATAGGAAATCTTAAGAGTAAATCTTTTATCAGTAATACTTTAAATGAAAGCTATTGGAATTTAAAATGTGTTAACTTTTGATTTAATTGATAGACCTGACATGGAATTAATGCTTGCTAATCTAAATCAATTAGTAAAGTTGAAGGCCTTAGATTCTGAATTTAACTTGACTTAACATGGAAAAAACATGTCTAGTTTACCTTTAGAACCTTAATTTTCTCATTTTTTAATAAAGGCATATGAATGTGGTATATATGATTTAGCATTAAATTCAATATCTATTTTACAAGTGGAAAATTTATTCTACTTTTAAAGGGGAGCCAAAGAGAGTTTGTAAAAAATCTTAAGTAAATTTAAAATTGCAAATTCTGATCATTTAACTAAAGCTAATATATTAAGGAAATATGAAGAAACTTAAAATAAAAAAAGTTTTTGTAAAGAAAATAATCTTAATCATAAAACTTTATAAAAAGCAATAAGTGTTAAGCAATAATTAAAAGATTATATGAAAAGAATAACTAAAAAAGAATTCGAAAAAGAGGATTATGATAAATTTAAATAAGTTCTCTCTGAGGCTTTAATGTTTAAACATGCAGTTTATTCTCCTTCAGATTAAGCCTATAAATTAAAAGTATTAATTTTAAATTATCAAAAAGCAAACAAATTAATTAGCATATATTCATCCAGAATCTGTCTTATTCAATTAAAAACCTAAATATGTGATTTATAATGAAGTCATTTTAACTAAGAAAGTATATTTAAGAGATGTTACAGAGATTGATGAATTATGATTTTATTATTGTATATTTAATTATTATTATCGTTAATTTTATTTTAAACGATCACATTTTTCGATTTTCTATGAAATAAAGATATAGCATATCTGAACCTCCTTTTAATAAATTGGAGTAATTAAGATAAAAATTTCAAAAATAACTCACTAAAGTTAACACAAAAGGATATGTAGATTGTGGATTAGGGAAATTAATATAAAATGATAATGGATCAAGAATTTCAGTCATAAAAAATTCATTCTTAGAGAAATTATAATCAATCAATTCATCTGAATAAGATGAAAGAAATCTATTAAAGTCAATTTAATTTGATGTTAAACATGCTATTTAAAGATATTAATAAAGAATAGAATAAATTTCATAACTGTAAGTTTAAAGAAATTCAATGAGATCATGCTCTAAAGAATTAGTTTAATACTTTACAACACCTTAATAAGATAAGTATCTATAATTTGATACATAAGAATAATCAATTAGATCTTAATATGATAGTCATAAGCCTAAAGATATTATAAGTATTAGCAAAGAATAAATAAAGTAGAAGAAAGACATATTAACCAATAAAAAATCAGATAAGACTTTTAAAATTATATAAGCTAAAAAGAAAAAGGTTGAACCTGTAAAAAAAAAATAAAATGATTAATCTCTAACAGGTATAAATATACTAAAAAATTAATCATTAAATAAAGAGAGAACAATTAGTTAAAAGTCAACTAGACAGCCAAGTGTTAAAGAAATATCATTAAATTTAGAATAAAGAAGATCAACAGATAGATTATCAAAACACAATAATACTTCTAGATAAAGAAATTCTGTATTATCCAGTCACTATAATCAAAATATTAAACCAATATAATGAATCAATCAAATTGTTATTATGATTAATTTTTATTAGAAATTCAAAATCTACTTTTTTTTGAATGAGATGTATGTCTAGTATGACTTGGGGATGGTAATGTTAATACTCTCGCAGTATTATATCCACTTGCTGGATATGAGTACATGGATGTTTAATTTGCTGTATTTTCTCTAATTGAAGCAAAACTTAAACATTTTGCATTCTTCTATCTTTTTATTGAATCTAAGATTGGAGCTATTTCTATTGGTTCAAAATAATTTTTAATTGCAAATTATTAATTATATCTAAGTATTATTTATTAAATATTATTACTTTTTAACATCAGCTTATTTGATCTATTCAATTGATATCTTTTTTATTTATTTGAAATTATCAGCATCTAAATCAGTAAAAAATGGGTTTCTAAAAGTAATCTAATTTTATATAATATTTGATCTTAACTTTCTACAATTTTCTTATTGTTTTCCACAAGATTTAATTGTTCTTTATTTTTTAGGATTTTATTTATTCTATTCATCAAGTTCTCTTATGCTAATTTCAAAAAATCATTAAATATAATTACTTATTTCAGGTTAATAAACCAATTATAAACTTTATATTTTAGGTTCTCTTCTACAAGTTCTTTCTGCTGCCTATAAAGCTTTTTTACTATAATCATCTCCAAGTTATTCAAAAGATTCACATGTAAATTTGTATACAGTAACCTTTTAAGTTAAACAAATAGCTTAATTATCATATGGTTAATTCTTTAAGACATTTTATACTCCAAAAAGACTTCCAGGTGTTAATACCATAATTGGTATATATATTTAAGTAGAATTTTTGCAAATTTATTCTAATTTAACTTCACCATCAGAAAGAATGTAGAACCCAGAAGCAATTTCTCCCTATTTATAAATGCAATGATTTTTGGGGAAGATTTGAATTTACAAAAGATAAGCAAGACGAATCAAAGAATTTTGGGATAATTTTGGAAATAAAGTAGCCAAAGCATTGGTTTTCAAATTTAATTCTCTTTACATATACTAAATTCTAAATAATTAAATTACATTAGTCATTTTTGCATAATTGTCTTTACTTAAACTACAAAGAATAACTGTTGAGGATTGTGCTTTAATAGTAGCAAAACGAGGCTTATTTAATGAGAGAGCCAATTCACCAAAAGTTTCACCTTCTTTGAGGTGACCTATCTTTACATTTTAGTCCATAAAAATTGATTCTGACAATGCAGAATTTGGTTCATAATTCGAATTAATATTTTTTCTGTATACACCTACATTACCTTAAAGTATAATATAAAATCTATATGATAAAAAATTAATTTACTTATCTCCTTTATCACCCTCTCTACAAATTATTTCTCCACTTTTGAAAGTTTCTAGAGATAAATAATTAGAAAATTCTAAAAGTAAATGTCGAGCATTTTATTTTATTTTTTCACCTCTTAAGAATTCAGCAAAAAACTTTATTTACTCTAAAGCTTCAGAAATTTAAGCTTTAATTTCATTAGGTCTCTTTAAAGGGTCAGCATAATTAGATAAAGCATGAATTAATACTTACATTAAATTATCTAATATAGATATATATCAAATAAATTGATCCTTTATTCCTTATTTGATTAATTTAATTGATTTTCATACTAATTAAGTAATGAAATCTTATAAGAGATGTTCAATATACTCTCATTAATATATTTATAAATAAAACACTTACATTCAAATAAACCAAACAACTCAAAATACAATTATTTTCAATAATTTAAAAGAATCAATGCTTTTAATACAAATAATTCAAAAATTTTAGTTTATATCCTTGTTTTGATTTATGTCATCCATAAATTTTTAATTAAAAAAAAGATTCCCACAATTATGAAATCACTTATATTCATCAGCTTACTCTTGGCTACATCATTAGGAGCATTTTAAGAAGAAGACAATGTGTTAGTATTAACCACAGATACCTTTTAAGATGCCATTGACACATTCAAATTTATTTTGGTTGAATTTTATGCACCCTGGTGTGGACATTGGTATAAGTTATATCTTATATAATAGCAAAAAATTAGCTCCTGAATACTCTGCAGCAGCAGCTGAATTGAAAAAATAAGGAGGTGACAATTACGTGCCATTAGCTAAAGTTGATGCTACAGCTGAATCATCCGTGGCTGAAAAATTCTCTATCCAAGGATATCCAACATTAAAATTCTTCATTAATGGTCAACCTATTGACTATGAAGGAGGTAGAACTTAAGCAGATATTGTTGCTTGGATTAATAAAAAATCAGGTCCACCATCAAATGAATTAAACTCAGTTTAAGATTTAGAGAAATTCTTAGAAAGAGTTTCTTCTTCACCAATAATAGTATTCTTTGGAAGTTAGGAAGATGACAACGATTTCTAGACATTCAAGGCTGTGGCATAATAAAATGATAAAGTGACCTTTGCCCACATTTTCAATGCTGAAGCCTCAGAAAAATATAGCGTATAAGGAAAGATTGTTCTTTTCAAATCATTTGATGAGAAGAGAAACGATTTCGATGGTTCAATCACTAATGCCTCTTTAGAATAATTTATTAATGCTCATGGAAACCCAGTTTTATTACCATTCAATGACAAAGCTATTAATATTATCTTCTAATAAAGAAATAATGCAGTCCTCTTATTCACAGATGATTCTGATGCTGGTGTTGCTGCTTATGAAGTCTTTGCTTCAGTTGCTGGTGCATTCAAAGATAGGTATTATATTAATTTAAAATTTTAGAATTAAATTCTCTTTCTCTAAACCTAATGATGGTTCAGGATTATTCCATAGATTAGCAGAGTATGTTGGAGCAAGCACTGTCAATGTCCCAAATATTATGATTTATGATTAATAAGGAGGAAATGCTAAGTATAGATTTGAAGAAAGCATCACTGTTGATTCCCTAAGAAATTTCTTAACAAACTTCTTTGATAATAAATTAGATAGATACATGAAATCTGAAGAGATTCCATCCAGCAATGATGAACCAGTAAAAATAATAGTTGGAAAGAATTTCAAAGATTTAGTCATTAATAATGATAAAGATGTCTTGGTTGAATTCTATGCTCCTTGGTGTGGTCATTGTAAATAATTAGCTCCAGTCTATGAAGCTTTAGCTAAAAAGTTATAAGTTAATCCAAATATTATTATTGCAAAATGTGATGCTACTGCTAATGAAGTATATTTAATTAAAATAATATTTAGGTTGAAGGAGTTTCTATTGAATCTTTCCCAACATTGAAATTCTGGAAGAATGGATAGAAAGATTAAGTTATTTCTTATAGTGGAGGAAGAGATGAAGCTGGATTCATTAGTTTCTTAAAAGAAAACACTTCTCATCCTTGGGTTGATTTAGATAGAGTTGAAGAATTATGAGTGTATTTTCATTGTATATTCATATCATAAATCCAATATGTATTTTAATTCAAAAAAAATACTTGTTATTATTATTTTCCCAATACCACAATTATATGGGAAGCGCTTAGTGCTGCACCAAATAGTAATTAGAAGAAAAGGAAACTGAAATATAAATAAAATAAGATGTAATTATGAAATAGTCAGGAACTTAATAAGAGTATTTAGTATTTGTTAATCATATAAATTATAGCAATCCATTACCCAAAAATAAGTTATCATCTCGAAAAAGCAGTCCAGATGAACCAGGAACACCAGGATTTGCTGATGTCAGATCTCAATAGAGTAGAAAGTCTGAGTAACATCAATCTCATTCTTAAAAAGAAATATAATTAATTGGGTAGTTGGAAAAACATGATAGTCCTTTTAAATCATAATGTTCAATAGGAAAAAGAAAGAACGATTCCCCTGTTTGTAGTTTTGAAGCTACTAATAAATTAAAATCATTAGACAGTAATCGTATAAAGAAAATACAAACATTTGAAGAAAAAGTAAATAGCAGAGACCTATCTCCAATAGAAGATGATGGAATGTTGGATAGCTAAAGAAGCAAATAAGCAGATGAAAAGTCTGTTAAGAGTATATTGAAATAAGAATTAAAATACAGTAAGTTTAGAAAATAAGACACTACATTTGATGCTGGGTAAAGAAAAGTTTAATTTTATATTGAATGAATTGAAATTGATGATAATATATCAAATGCTATAATTTATTCTCTATTATACTTAATATTTAATCATTTATATGAAAAGTATACAACAAAAAATACTATCTAACAACAATTATTTTAGATTAATTTAATATTATATATGAAATAAATCATTGAACTGTTTGTCTCATTTAATCTAATTCTGATAACGTGTTTTTACTTAACATTTATTCATGTCTAAGCATTTCATCAATAATTCCTTTTTTTGCTTAAGATTTTTCTTTCATTTATTCTAGTAATGTATCCTAATATTCCTTATAGATTTTCTTTTTCTCAATATCTCTTTCTTTTTCAAATTAAAAATAATTAGTAGTATCTTCTTTCCATAATGTAGCCTATTATTTTATAATTTAAATACTTATTCTTAATCCTTTAATTTTTCTCTTTATTTTTAAATTTCTCTTTCTTCCATTTATTTATTCAAATATTCTCTTGTTTTTAATTTAGTTTCCCATTTCTTTCTTTCTGCTTCCTTTTCTAATTCTTGAATTCTTCTCTCTTTTCTTTATTCATACTTATCAGCCCTTTTTTCTAATTGTCCAATTTTTTCTATTTATAAAAATATCTATAATACTTTCTAATTCCTTTTCTTACATTTCCATAGCCTTTTCTTAATATTATTTAATTTTTTCATCCCTTTCTTTTATTGCTTTCTATCTTTCTTCTTCCTATTTATCTAATAATTTGCAATAGGCATCCATTAATTTAATGTTCTCTTATCTTTCATCTTCTTTTTCCTTCTCTTGAAGTCTTTTCTTCTCTTCATTTTCAGACATTAATTTTTACATAACCTAATATTGATGTTCCTTTTTAAATTATAAAAATTTTTATTCATCATCTAATTCTTCTCTTACTTTCTATATCATATAACTGTCTAAAGCCTTTTCTTATTTCTCATCCATTCTTCTATTTTTTTTGATTTCTTTTACTTATTAATCTCTTGCTTATTTCTCTACCATTTTAATATATTTAGCCTAATTATAGAGAATATACTTACTCTTTCTATTTTTTCTTATTCTTTTTAATCAAATAAAGTACATTGATACATCTGATTTTCATAGAATGCATTTTCTTCTTTTTTGCTCAATACTTTTTTTGATTATTTTTCAATAACTTATTTATCCAATTCTTCTTTAATCTTTTTCTTTCTTTCTATTTCCCTTTACTTTTTTATTTCACCTTCCTTATCATAAAGATATTTATTGTATTTGTATATGGCACCCCATTAATTTTCTTCATTCAAAAATGCCAAGTCATTCTCAATTTTCTTTGTATGTAATCCAGTCATTTTCTAACTCTTCTTTTCTTCTGTATTTTTTTCAGTTTTATGAGTATATTAATCTACCATATCAAAATTTGATGCTCCTGACATTTTTGAAACAACTGATTTTTAATCATCTTCATCTTTTTACTTGACTTGATTTGAAGATTATTATTATTGTAATTAAGGTAAAGCCTTTTAACGACTGATTTCTTATTCTAAATTTTATATCCTATATTTATAATAAACTTAAATACCCTTCGGCAGTTATAGTTTAATTTTGATTAAGATAGCTATTTACTTTTGCATGTATTTATTCTGTTAAATCTAAACCATACTTCTTAGATAATCTATCAGCAATTTGTCTTTTTATTTCTTCTCTTTATTCTGAAGTGTAATTTTTGCGAGACAATGTCGATTACCCTGCTGATTATAGTTTATTTTTTGGATAAATCATTTATTATATATAAATAAATATAAATTATTAATAAAGACTTACTATTTATAAACACCTTAATCATTCATTTTTTAATTGTAAAAATAAATCACATTCTATTGACTATGATTATCAAAAATCTAAAGATCATAATCCTTCTATTATTTAGATGTTAATTTATGAGTTCTAAGAAATTGATGTAATTACAGAAAACTTAATAATAAAATTTACTATCACATATTTTATTTAAGTATAAAACTTATCATATTTTTAAATCTAATAAAATAACCTAAAAGACAATAAATAATGTTTTAATCAAAATGATATAAATAAAAATCTTGGATTAATGTATTTTATTATTTTTTTACATATTGAAAAAGTAAGTATTAACTTTATTGAAAACTATATAAAATTACAACTATTTATTTTCATAAGATTTGACAATATTTAATATAATTTAAATTCTTAATTTCTTATAATAGGTGTATGTAAAAGGATTTGGATAAGAAAAAGAATTTTGTTATTTTTTAATTTATAATTGAGAAATCTACTCTTTAATAATAATATTAGTATGATAGAAAGATAATAATATTAAATAAATAAAATATTCATTATTATTACTTTTTAATTAAAAAATAATATATAAGTTGATTAACAGTGTTTTCTTCCAAATTAGTTTGATAATCATGCAAATAATAATTTTTCTAAAACTTTAAGTATAATCTAGTCTTTGGGTACTACGTTTACTCCATTTAAAGGCATTCTTCAGATTTTTTACATTCTCCTTATTAACCCTTTAATTTCGAAAGTAATTCTACACTATAATTGATAATTACAAAAATATTGTAAAGTTAATTAATCTAATGCATTTTCAGATAATTTTTTTAATGATTAGTTTTATTTAAAGGTATACAAATTTGTTATGGCTTCTATTTATTAATTCATTTCCTAATGTTTTTTTAAATATTATAGATTATTCTATTAAAATTTTGAGTATTTGATCAATAGGTCTAATGATTTGGTGATATAATTTAATATTATTAAAAACAGTAAAATAATTCCAATTGCAAGAATACTTAAAATTTACATATTTTGTTAAAATTCCCAAGCAAATAATTAATATATATCTTAATTGAGTAAATCAACTTAATGATAAAGTTCAGTTATATTCTTAAATCTATAATAATCTAATTAATTACATTATGACTATATGAGGTGGATAAGGAGGATGTTCAAGTTATTTAGCAATTAAAAGAACTTCTTATTTATATAAAGAATTATATCTACATAAATAATTTGAAACATCTTAAGAGCAATTATTTAGAAATTTGAAATTCTTTTTATTTGAAGTATCATTTGTTTGATTAATAAATATAGATATCTAATCCCAATCAATTTAATTGAATCCAGTGATTGACTCATTAAAAAAGAATACAGGTTTTGTTGTATTTTCAGGGTAATTAAATTATCCTAAAATGATCTAACCTTTATTATTAGCTAAGATGTAATCAGCATTAAAATTTTTTTTAAATACTCCAAAATCCATAAGATTAAAAACCACACCATCAAAATTATTATTTTTATTAGTTAGATTTTGAGATATGGCAATAGTGTAAGAGCCTAAAATGGTTGTAAATAAATCACTAAATTGGTATTAATTTCCATTACCCATTTATTTTATGTGACTTAAATACCATAATCGTTAATGAGCATTATAAGATAAAGTTGAATTCAAAGCTGGCCAAGTCCCTAAAATAGGAATTTCATCATTTGATGTATAAGCTATGCCTGTTGCAATAAATTGAGATGGATCAAACATTAATAAGGTTTCATGAAATATCGAAATGACTTAAAATTACTTTGTGATTTCTGTTTATAGAATTGTATAATTTGTTTAATCATATTAAAATGCCATAAGACAAAAAAGAGATTTAGATTCTGTTTATGATATATTAGGAGGACAATAAAAAGGAATCTAAGTTTGAATAATCTTTTGATTCACATCAACAAATAAATAAATATTTTAGAACATTCTTTGTTTTCTGAAAACTAATAACTTATTGAAATATATATACTCTAATTTATTATTGTTTTTAATCTTTGATCATATTAAGCTGATTGACTAGTTAATTAACTATTAGTTTCCTTAATTAATACATTCATTGAATCAGATAAAAAAGCTTCTTTCATGTAATTAAAAAGAGTTAAATTGCTTATAATTACGATCGTCAACACAATGATGACAATTATAATAAACAACACAATTATTTATGTTCTAATTCGAAAATTTGATAAATCCATTCTTGACACAATAATAATATAATATATAAGATAAATGTTATTTGAAATTTCCAAACTATTCTAAGCCGTATTCTCAAATTATAATAATAATAAATCAAAGATGATAAAAAAATGAAACAAATGATAAATATCATTTATAGTATTGAAGTCATATAACATCTTGGTGATTAAATATTTTAACTATTCCATCAGCTCCACCTGTTGCAACAAATTAATTATTACTTGCTATTGTATAGATTCCTTCATCATACTTTTATTTATGTGCCTAAATTAATGAATTAATATATTTACTGGTATTTCATGTAAACATTAGAATTTTCGAATATCCCATGTTCTCATACTTCCATCATGACTCACACTTGCTAATTGATATATATTCTTTGAGAATAAACATAAATCAGTGACAGCATCTGTATGGCCAATTAGAGTTTTACAAACTTTGCTTGAATTCAAATCAAAAAATCTAATTTTATTATCATCATGACCAGAAACAATGTATTTAAGTTCATTATTAAATAGAATTTTATTTGGTTAAGCAAAGGCATTAAATTAATTGTCAAGATCAAATCTAATTTATTAAATTGCTTTAACAGTAGTAACATCATATACAATGAATGTTAATGTATCACTATATCCACAAATGATATTTTCATTAAATCCTTTACAAATCCATTCAATAGCTGTTGGTATGGATAATCCAGTCATTGATTTCTTGAATGTAAAATTAGCTAAAGGATTTTACAACATTTCTAAATTTAAATTCCCTTTTCTTATTAAATCATATTAATAACAAACACCAAGAGATTTCCACATCTTTACAGATCCATCTGCAGAAGATGATAACAATCTTTAATCATGAGGATGATGTTTCAAAGACCATATAACATCTGTATGAGCTCTCCAAGAAAAACATTAATTTGTTGTTACTATATATGTTCTTATAGTTCCATCAACTCCTGCAGAATACAAATGTATTTGAGGAGACTTATAATATGAAGTCATTGTAAATATTGGTCGATCATGTTCTATTTATATAATATATATTATTTAATTTACATCTAATAGTTTAGATAGGTTCTAAATGAGTCTATGCATTCATTTATTAAATATCATTAATATTCCATAATTTTATTGTACAATCTTCAGAAGCTGTTACTATATAATTATTTTAAAATAAGATTGATCTTACTCCATCCAAATGACTTCTTAATTGTCCTTTTGTTGAGAAGATCTCTTTTCCAACAATTATTTCTCTCTCTGTCATACTCATACTATTTAATTCATTTTAGCTTGTTTCTAGAGTTTGTTTTTTCCTTTATAATGCAAAGTTAAGTAATTCTGAAGCTCCATTACTATTACTTCTTTGATGATGATGTTTTTATCTTTATGAACATGTATTATAAGTATTCTGATTTATTAAAATTTAATTTATTTTTGCACTTTAGAGTAACTATAAATTTATAGGTGAATGAATTTATATTTAATTTTAAACTTAATCTTCTTGAAACTCTTCATTTTTCAATTCTTTAAGAAAGCTAAATTTATTATATTAATTACTTTTGTAGAAGAGGTTTCTTATCCTTCTATAATATTTTCTCAATATTTGGTTGAGTTATTAACTTTTAATCATTCATTTCACTTTTTAAAAATGTACCATTATCACTTTTTACACGATGATGAAATTTTTTTTTAGTTTGCAGCTTTATATTATCTGCTATTGGTTTTAATTAAACCTTAAATTATTCTAATTTTTCAAGCCTTTCTATGAGTTATTTGTTCAGATTCCTCTACTCTTCCAATTATCCCTTCAATTCAATTATTGCAGTCTGTTTCATATCAAAATAATAATTACTTAATATTCTTGTCTTTCTTTTTTCCACTCCTCCTCTCTATCCAATACTTCTCCCTTTAGATAATCAATAACATTATTAAAGTTCTACATTTTTCAAATTAGTATACGAGGATGCTAAAATGCTTATATAAATATATAATTAATAAAAATATTCAATAGTAATTTCATTATCAATATATAAATTATGAAAACAAAACACCTATTATTATATCATACAATAAAATATTCAAATTTACATATATTTATATGATATATTCATTTTCTATGATGTTAAATTATTAAATTTATAATATCAAGTTGGTAGAATATCACAAACATATAACTAAGTTATAGATTGTTTTAATATAATATGAGGAGATTGTAAAATCATAAAGATTAGAATTATATAATTATTAGTAATTAATATTAGGAATTACATAATAATTTTTAGTAAATAAAAAAATATTCGTTAATGAGCTAATTTACATTTATGAAGAAGTACATATAAAAATAATCATCTGAAACTAAAATACACTGTGAACCTTTAATTACTTTGACTATTGAACTTGAAGATAATAAATATAGTCAAATTGACATATATGAAGATTCTAATCCAGAAATATTAGCATCTAGTTTTGTTACAGACAATTACTTAAGTATGGCTTATATTGAACCACTTAAATAAAATATCATCCAATAAATGTTGATGTATGACTAAATGAAAGTAATTAAATCCATTAAAAACTATAGAAAAAAGAAAAAGAGAAGTAACCTCTTTCATAATGGGAAACTGTTAAAAAATAATAATAAAATAAGGAAAATCAATAATCAACACCAACTCGTAATTTAAATACAAAACGATGTACTCCTGAGAAATCCATATAAACTAATTTAAAATCAGAAAGAAATCTATCAAGAAATAAAAGGTTTTAAACTGATGATATGAATATTCATGAAAGACTTTATTAATAAGCTAAATAAATTAATAATTTCAAATAATAAAAAAGAGAATATGAATAATTATAAAAGCAAAAAGATCCAAATCTCACATTTAAACCTAAAATTAATAACAATTATTCAACTAATAAGAGTAAAAGTCCACAATCTAATTAAAAATAATTTTATATTTAGCCAAATCAATAAAAGCAAGTTTAATTAAAAAGTCCTAGACTCAATTAATTATATTAAAATAAATCATTTGAGTTTTTATTACCAAAAAAAGAAGTTAAAATTTCAATTCTCGAAAATGAAGAAAGTGTAACTTAGTTACCTAAAACATAAGATTCTCCAAATGTATCATTTTCTGAGGAGAGTTAGTTTAAAAATGATAGTCCTTATACTTCAGCATAAGAAGAAAATTCATTATATTAAGCAACTAAAGATTCAGATGAAAGAATAATAGCAAAATTATTTACATTAATTGAATCAAATAATTTAGTTGATTCTCGTAATATTCCATATGAAAAGTTTAATTATTAACTAATTGTTGAAATTAGATTACATTTTCAAAAAAATGATTTCAAAATAATGAATTTTGAAGAATTCTGTTAAAGTTTATTGAAAAATACAAAACTAATTAAAGTAATTATTCTATTATTTTTTAGTTAGCTGCTGATTTTTTTAAATTTGAGAATGTTCAATATTAAAATACTTGTTATCGTTATTGAATGATATAATACTATTTAATAATAAAAAATAATATTTTTATTTTTGCTCGTAGTTTGATTTGATATCTCTTTCATAATACTTTTATTATTACTCTTTTTTTCTATTCCAAATTATAAGAAAAAATGTATTATCAATTTATTGATGGCAAAATACTTCAAAAAATAGAGCTTGATATAAAAATAATCATATAAAAACATCTAATTTAATAAATAAAATCATATGAAATTAGATTGAGTATATTTTAATAATTCTATTTAAGTTGATATTATTTAAATTGAAAAAAAAAAGTTTAATGAACTCAATAGTGATTGATATTTGTAGTAAAAAACATCTTATAAAAATTTTAAGAGTAATATAAAAATGATGATAATCATAAAATTCTATAGAATTATTTTTAAATCCAATTATATTTAATGAATAAAAGATCAATAGTATATTAAGATAGAGATCAACCTTAAAAAAATGAATTATTAAATCATAATCCTAAATCTATCATAATCAGATAGACCCTTAACCTAAAGAAGAATAATCATATATTTTATCTCAACATATATTACCTCATAAATGAAGTATTCTTTAAAAGAATGTATTATATGTTATACACAAATCAATCAGATAATGACTACAAAGATAAACACGAATATTTCCAAAAATAAAATTATTAATAATTACCAAGAATTTGATTAATCTAAAAAATAATTCATTTTATTTTTCAATTTTTTCATTGCTTAATTTGTTGAATCAGTCTAATTTAAAATATAAAAAATACATCTTCATGTAATTAATCTATAATTCCATTTTATTCTTTGATTTACTTACTAAGATTTTATGATGAATATTTAATATTAAGAACTTTATCATTAATTTTATTTAAATATTCATCCTATTTATCAGTAATTTATCCATGCATCTTAAGAGCATCCATTTATCCAAAACTTTCATAATTCTTTTTTTTTTCTAAAATAACAACTAATTTACATTTATTTTAGATTAATTATTATTGTAAATGGGTTATATGACTTTATTCAATTCTTTTTTTTATCTCTTATCGTTTTTATGCTAATTCATTATATAGATTTCTTCTTTTCTAAATTTCTTTTGCTAATAAATTACTATTTTAATTAGCTATATATCCTTTAATTTCTTAATCCAACTAATCCAATTCATTATCTAATTTAAAATCTGATACCAACCTAAATATTTCAATGTTGAATTGATTTCTGCATCAATAAATCCTGTCGATTTGCTTGATTATTACAGTTTTTCTCTTGTTTGTAAATCTGTTTGTATTTAATTTATTCTTTTAGAGGCATTATATGCAAGTTCTGTAAACATTTCAATATAGGAATTTAATATATAAATAATAAATTATAAATCTCTACAATATAAATCTGAAAGAATTATTATCATTAAGATATTGATTGTATAAAAAGTTGAAGTCTAATTTAGTTTCTTTAGATTTTTATAAGTTGAACATATTTACATAAGTTTTCATCATATTATTATTAATATTTAATATAAAATGTATAATAATTTTGGTGATGAATAATACAAACTTAATAAGTGGTGTCAATTTATAGATTAAAAGATTGCTCAGTTTTTTAATAAACATCTATTAAAGCATAACATAATTAAAGACTATTATTAAGATTTTATTAATACCTTATCAATAATAATAATTAGATTCTTATTAAAAACGAATGATAATAAATTACCTACTCTTTGTCTTATTTTAGTGATAATTCATTTACTATTTACAATCAAATAGAAATTACGTAAAGTTTAAAATTTGTTAAATCACCTAATAGATGTATTAATTTTGATTTCTATGTAAAACTTTAGTAGAGAAAATGATAATGAGTTCATTATAAGACTTGCATTACAGATAGGAATTTAAACTTCTAAATCTATGCTATTTTAATATGATTAATTTAGTATGATTTTTTAGAATATTTTAAAAATTTCATTGATAACTATCATTAAATGGTATTTAATCAAAGATTATAAGTAATTTTTAATTTTATAATAGTACTTTTAAAATAATTATATTGATGACATTTATGATATTTTATTAAATAATTCAACTTCTTATTGTTACTTCCTATTCATATGCATATAAAAATATATGGATTAATAATGAAAGAATGAAAAAGAATAACTAAATGATTGAAAAACTACTTTATGAATTACCTATAGGCATTATCTTATTTAATTCAAATGGAGAAGTGTAATTTTAAAATTCAATTTCATATAAATATTTACCAAAATCAGTTGATTTAGTAACAAAAAAATATAATTTGAATACTATTTAAAAGTATAGTGATTTAATTCTAATGGAAGGAGACAAAGCAAAATTCCAGAAAGTTTTTGAAGAAACTTTGGAATCTACAGATCCAATAATAATTTCATTTGCATTTTAAGGTCATCCTATACCAATATGTTGTCATTTAAGAAAATAGGTTTTCAATAAGAATTCAATTGTGGAAGCAATATTTATTGAGAAAGCTGATGATTAATCCTTAATTTATGATAAAATATCTTAGAGTTTATAAATTATGAAGATCTAATAGATATCTGAAATACTATCAAAATAGCCTGATAGAATTAAGTAGCAATTATTATAGTCATTATTCCCTATGTTAAGTAAAACAGATTATTAAAAGTCTGATTAGATTGTATGTAATTTAAAAAATTACTTTAAATTTTTTGCTGATTGTTTATAAATTATTTACAAAACAAATCCTCATTTAAAAATAGAGAATGATGTTCCTGACCAAGCTTTTATTGATATAGTAAAGTTACATAGTATATTAACTTAATTAATATCTTACATTTATCAAGAGCATCATAGAAAATAAATGATGTAAGGGTTTTCATCTTAAAAATAATTGATTTAATAAAGTGAAAGATCAATTTAAAGAGAAATGAATAATTTTTCTTTAATATCATTTAATATATCAAAAGGAGATGTATTATAAGTGACAATCTAAATAGATTATCATAATTAAATTTAAGAATTAGAGTTGTTATTTTAAAGATTTGACTTCGAAGGACTAAAAAGTTATGATTTTAGATTGTAACAATTATAAGAAGAAGATTTATCATACACATCATTTATTCATATTTTACATTAGATATATTAAATAGAAGGTCAAATAGAATTATGTGAAAGATTAGATAATATTAAGATTTAAATCAATATTCCAATGAGAGTGACAAATGAATATTAACCAGTTCTATTAGATCATTATATTAGTATGGGTAAATTAGATCCTCAATCTAAAATCTATTCAATTAATAGTGAGATATTTTAAGCTTTTAGAATTAAATCTACAAAGAAAATCACTTCTACCTAAAGAATAGCTCCTTAACCAGCTTCAAGAGTTAATGAAGAAAATGTAAAGGTTTAAACATCCTTAAGTGAATAAAAACCATTTTAAATTTGTAAATGTTTTGAATATACTTATCGACCAAATGTAATTAGTGAAGAGGAGAAATTAGAATCTAATAAAATTATAAGTCCTAATTTATCACCTATTAATAAACCATCAACTTTAAATTAAGCAGATGTTGCTACTTTTGATATTGAAGATAGAATTAATACATAAATGCATTCAGTAGAAAAAGCAGTTTCTAAAGTTTTGGAATAAGTTTTATCTGAAATAATGACATTTAAAGGAAAAAGAATTAATGTACAATTTAGAAATTCTAAGCACAAATAAAAATCATTTGAAACATCTCCAAGCAGTATTTATTTAATATTATTATTTATTAGATTCTTCAGCTTAATAACCAAATTAAAGAAATACTAGTGTACCAAATTTATAGTAATTTAGAACTACTATTCCTGAACAAAGAGAAACTAATACAAATTTATAATAATAACAATAATTATCCCAACATCCAAATTAATCATTATTTAGATAGATTGCTATAAAATAAGCACCAACTTAAACATTATAGAATTTTGGAGTACCACCTACTGTATAATCTTAATCTTAATAAATGAATTCAGTTTAACAAACTAAAAGATATTAAGGAACATAATTATTAAGAAATCTTAGAGAAAATGATTCAAAAGTATAACATTTAGAATAAAGTGATTAATTTAATTAATTCAAACCGGATGAAAATAATGATGATTTAAAAAATTCTGTTAAATTTATTCCTACTGCATAAGATGATCATTAATTATAAAAATCTTAAACTTCTTTTGGAGTAATTGTTCAACCTGTTTAAACTTAAGGATCTGAGAAATCACCTTGTTTTAAAGTCTAAAAATAAGTTACAATAAATGAAATTGAAAATTAATCAGAAGAAATCAAATAATAAGAAACTGTAGATTTAAAATAATATTATAAAGAAAATTTAACATATTTAGTAGTGGATGATTCAACAGATTTCTTAGATTACAAAGTTAAATAAACACATTAATTAGATTAAAGTATAATATATTCAGATGCAATCAAAAAGATTAAATCAATGTTTGAATTAAATAAAATTTATCATTTTATTATTGTTAGGATTAATCTACCATTAAAAAATGGAATCTAAGTAATCAATTATTAAATATTTTAAGTTTATTTAAGAAATAAGATAATTAGAAAATTAACATAATATACCTAAATAATATTTTATTGGTGTTGAAACCAATATATCTTAAACTCTTAAATAGTCTTGTTTAGAAGCTAGTTTTGATGAAGTTTAAGAAAAACCTATAAAGTCATAATATTTAGAGTAATTGATTGTAAAACGTATGAATCCCCCTCCTGCAATTATTTGGAAATCTATTATTGGCAAAAGTTGTTCAATTACAGATTAATAAGAGAAACTAAATTAAGTTCATTAAGATCTAGACTAATTTCAAATACCTTAAAAAATAGCTTCATTAAAAGAAATATCAATTACTCCAAAGTAACCACTACTTAGAAAAGCTTTCTATCATCCAATTGTCACTATTTATATATTAGATGATTCAAGCGTACAAATTAGTGCTTTATCATCAATGAAATTTGATTTCAAAATTAAAGTTGAATATGATAGAAATGTAGAAGCTGGATTAAAACGTTTAGATAAATTATTTGAAGAAAAGAAAATTTATCATGTAGTCTTAGTAAAAATGAATTTTACAAAAAAAACTGGATTAGAGGTTAATATTTAAATTAATTTAGATATTATAATCAATTAGAGAAATGGAAGAAAAATATTAAGTTCCAAAATAATTTATAGTAGCTATAGATAGTGATTTTACTGATGATAAAAAATTAGATTTAATCAAATAAGGATTTGATGATGCTTTAACAAAACTTATTGATAAAAGATTATTAGAAGGAATACTAATAAAAAGATTAGAAGATGAATGAATTTTATGTATATTAAAGCTTAAAATCATTATTACTTTAATTATTGATAAGTAATCAATAAATTTTTTAAATATATATATATATATTCTATTTTCACTATTTTTTATTTTTCTTTTGATTTCTTTTACCTATCATCCTTTAAGCAACAAGACCAAATAATACAATAGCACAAAAGCCTATAACTTCTTGTCTATGTGAACAAAACTGTTCCTAAATTTAATATTTATATTGTTTTCCAGAAGTCTCATCTTTACAACTTGTAAGAGTAACAAAAAATATAAATAAAACTGTAAAACTTATGATTTCTCTAATTTTTAACTTAACTTTTCTATTTAATTATATTGAAAAAAAATTACTCTAATAAATTAAAGTTTGGTCCTTTTTTCTAGAATGCAATTAATTTATATTATGAATTCTTTTTATCAAATTAAAATTCTAGATATCTCTCATTAGTTTTTAAATCTACTAATGTGGTGATTTTTTTTGCACAATATATATGCCAGAATCCTGTTTAAAATAATTAGTGTAATTTGCTTTTTGCTGCAATCACTAAATCAGTTTCCCAATTTTCATAATCTAATATGATAATTTCATTTAAGCATAATTTCACTTTTTGCAAACTATCCATTTCTTATTCTGATATATTCTTTTATGAAATCAATATTGGTTCTGAAACATTGTTTTCTTTTGTTACTCCTTGTAATTTAGTTTATATTTATTTGATTTGACTAAACTGAAAATAATCAACAGGTTTAGCTTGATAAATGAAAATTGTAATATCTTCAATTTTAATCATGAGATATCGATTTTTTTTATGTGACAAATTATATGCAGGCTTAACAGCTATTATAATGATGTATTCAGATTAATATGTATCACTTATAAACTATTGAAGTTTTTCCTCTAAAAAATATTTTTATTAATACTAATTTTGTCAACCTTTTTTGTGGTAATCCATTCATTTAATATATTATTTTAAATAATGCTTGTAAAATATCGAAATTATTGAATTGGCATATCCATTTTTAATTAAACTGAATTCCCTTTTAGATTAACAAGTTCTTTGCTCATCGATATGAAAAATAGTTATTAATTATAATTAAATTATGAGATGGAATAAATTATTCATTAACTTATAGTATTAATATCTCAAAAATAAAAATTAGTAAAAATTATTCAATTTATTTTTCCAAATTAATCAAAAATCAAAAATTCTAATTTAATATTAATTAACCAATAAAATTCATTTTTTTATAAAGATGGAAGATGGCTATATATAAGAGTTGTTTAAACTATTTCGAGAATCATAATGTGTTCAACCTCCTAAAAAACCTATTGGAGCATATGAAAAGTTTGTAGGAAATTATGAACAAGCATGTAAAGATAAAAATCTAAATTACAATACTGAGTAAGCCAAAAAATAATGGGAAAACTTAGAAAAGGAACTTAGAGAAGGTACTATTATTATTGATTTTAGAATATTATCGATTATCAAAGGAGGATTAAGAGTTGTATGATAGGTTATTCCGTTAATATCATTCTATTTCTAATCTCATTAAAAAAAAGAAAGCTGATGGATCTGTGTTATTTTTTTAAGAAAAAGGAGCAAATGGAAGTTTAACTAATCTTTAATAATTATGGGATGAACTAAGTCTTGATGAAAAATAAATATATGGTTAAAAGGCATAATAAAATTATGAGGATACTATTAAAGTATTTTATATTACTTACTTAGGCTTCAATAGAAGAATATATAACAGAATACTAAAATTATATAAATCATGAAAATGAAAAACCATAAGATTTATAATTTGTTCAAAAAATTGAGGATGAGCAAGATGAAATAGATTAAATTGATATCATAATAGGAATAAAGAGAACTAATGGAAAGAAGGAATATTTAGTCAGGTTTAAGGGTAAAACAGGTAAAGATGCAAAATGGTTCCCAAAAAAGAAACTCAGAAAAGTAAAAGAAATTGTAAAAGAATTTGAAGAAACATATTTTAAATAATCATTTTAGGATAATGAATCTAGTAGTGGATTTGATTCAACACCTCCTGAATAAATTTTCGTAGAAAATGATAAGGAAGATTAATAATAATAATAATAATAATAATAAATTGAAGAAGTGAAAGAAGAATAAAAAGAGAAATAGAAAGTAAAATCAAAAAGAGAGATATCATCAAAATAAAATTAAGTAAAGTAATAAAAAAATGTAAAAAAATCTACTACTCCCTAAAAAATCAATACTTCTACTTCAAAAATTTAAGAAGTTGATAATAAAACCAATTAAACAAGAAGAAATTAAAAAATAAGTGAAAAAACAAATTCTATTTCTAAAACATAAGCTAACTTAAATTAAGAGAAAAATAACAAAAAATAAGATTAAGAAATAAAAAACTAGAAATAATTAGATACATCAAAAGATGACAGAAAATAAAATGAAAAACAAATCTCAATAGAAAAACCTATTAAATCTGTAAGGGAAACTAAAAGTTCTTAATAGAGTCTACCAAAAATATCTAATAAAAAATCTCTAGAAGAGCCTGTTATTAAAAGAGTAAGGAAATAATTGAATGATTAATCAGTAGAAAAATCTAAGAATGAAAAACCCTAAAAATCAAAATCTAAAGATGTAAAATAAATCAAATAATAAAATTAATCACAAAAAAAAGAGAGTAAAGAATCTGTTATCACTAAAAGATAGGTAAGAAGTAGAGATAATTCAAATTCAAAATCACACTAATAAACAACAACAAAAATTAATACAAAGAACTAAAAACAAGAAATAAAGGATAATAAATTGGCTACTAAAACAAAATTAGTTGCTTAAAAATAAAGTTTAAATAATTCTAATCATGATTAATCTAATAAAAATAGTATTTAAAAATCAGTAAGTTAATAACAATAATCTAAAAATAAATAAAAGTAAAAATAAAATGCAGTATCAAAAACTAGAAGTACAAGTGCTTAATCGAATAAATTATAAAATAATTAAAATTAAAAAAAAGAATAAATTTCAGTCAAAAAGCGTTCTCGATCGGTTGAAGTTATCAATAGTATTACTCCCAAAAACCCCACTATAAATAAGGTAAGTTAAAGTTTAAAGGGAACTAATAAAAATAGTAAAAGTTCAAAAAATGCTCCTCCAACTAATAAATCATTGAATAAAATCCAATAAAATTAAAAATTGCAAAGAAGTTAAACTTAATTAAAAAAAGTAAAACAATTAGTTGACGTATAAAATAAAAATTTAATAAGTGCTTAAAAATCTAGCTAGGTTAGAACTTCTTAAAGAGGAGTACGTGAAAATACTAGAAATAAGAGTGCAATGAAAATAATCAAAAAAATATCAAAAAACAATATCAAAAATAAGGGGAAATAGAAACAAAAAATAACTGAAAAAAAATAAAAAAAAGAATAAGCTAATCCAAAAAATAATATAAAAAATAGTAAAATTATATCTACAGTTACTGTCAGATAAACTAGAAGTAAAAAATCTAAGAATATGGGAAAAAGAAAGCACTGAATGTTGACAATCTTTTGAATTATTAAATATACATTAAATAATATTTTCAATTTAAATGCAGAAAGGTATTAGTGAAAACTTCACAAAAAATCTTAATTTTAATATTGATGACGAGAAATTTTATGTTTTACCACAATAAGGAGAAATTAATTTTAAAGGAAATATACATGAAGAAGTATTTACCTTTTTTTATATTAGGAATTATCATAAAATGATAATCTCTAATAACCATTAAAGAATATTGCAAATGAACTTATAGAAAAAACAATAAAAATAAGATAAAGTTGGATTCTATAGAAACAGGCATATTAATTTAATTTACCACCTTCTTATTTTAAATAAAAAGTTATTATCCAAAGAAATAATGATAAACATCAAATTTAAAAAGAAATAAACTAAAATGATTTTATTCCTTATTTAGAATTTAATAATCAATAATTAAATTAAATAAGACGTGATGGTACTTTTGATGTTTGTTCAAAGAATAATCCAAATATTAAATACAAATGGATTATTTCAAGATGGATTGTAAAAGGAACCAAGAATATTCGAAACTCTTTTTATAAAGATATGTTAAAAGCTGAAGATTGTTTAACAGGATTAGTAGATTTAATTTATAATGATACTAATTTCAACAGTTTATGGAATTATTCAATTATACATGGCATATATATCATTATTAAAGTAATAAATAATAATATAAATTAGAAATCAATATAGATTCCATCACTTTTCATTGGATATAAAGAGGTGATTAGAAAAGTTTCTAAAGAATCAGCATAACTTTAAGTAGAAAGAGAAAGGTAATTATCTTTAAGAAATAAGAATTTGAATTTCTCAATTTATTAATATCTTCACCATACTCCAGAGACTTAATCTGCAGCTAAATTCAAAATTGATTATATTAAGAATCAACTAAAATATTTTGAATAAGATTGTTGGAAAATAGCTGCACTTATAAGTGATTAATATATCAATCGATAACATTAAAATAATTATGAATATAGAAATTTAGAAGAAAAATATCAAATTAAATATGATTAAAATAAAGAGATTGACGAACTTATAAATGAATAACTTATAAATGCTTAAAAAAGATTTATCTAATAAAATAGTTTGGATATGCCTGAATCAGCTATGAAATAATTATTAGACATTACTGAATGTTATTAATTATAAAGATATTATAAAGAATTATTGAAAGTATTTTTTTGAATTATAATAGAATTAACTTGCAGACTATGAAAATCATATGATGGAATAATATGAAAGATAGTTTTTCTTTTTAAATAAACCTGAACATCGTAAATAATACCTTCTTAAAGCATTATAAATTAAAAAGAAGAATTTAAAAAAACAATATTACAATTAAATGATTTAAGAATTAGCCCAAAAGAATATTATTGATAGAAATATTTTTATAGAATTTAAGGAAAATAAAAAAAATTATATGAATAGAGTATAAGAATAGATAAAAAAGGTCAATGAATAATCAACACCAAACATTACTTTTATCATGTTTATATTATGAAATAATTTTAGAGCTCGTTATATATTTCCTCCTTATCCCATAATTTAAGAAGGAAATAAATATGTATTAGTTTAGGAAGTGGAATATTAGGTAACATCTTAAAATTATTGCTGGAAATTAACTAGTTTTTGCTTAATATATTTTACTTTAATATCTGATAGTCTTTATATATTTTATCAATATGGAATAATGGGATCTTTTGGACTTAATGCTTTATTCTCAATAAATCCATTTTATAATGATTAAAAAATAAATGAGTAAACTGGAGAAGTGTTAGATGATTAATTAATTTAAACAATCTGCTCAACTTTAAAATTAGTATATAAAGGTATGAGATAATCAAGAAAGGAATTTGAGGAATCAGAAGATTCTGGAATGTTTGGTAAGGGTTGTCAAAGAATTTTTAATTTATTGGAAGTCTATATTTTTCGATTCTTATTTGTTGGAGTATTTTTCACATTAATTCTTTAACCAATGTTAATCTTATTCTTTTCAGCATTGTTATTCTTTCTTTTCATTACTTCTTTTGTATGGGCTATATTTATTGCACTTTTTAGGTAATATATATATATAAATATAATAGAATGATGATATGTATATTATTTTATGATTTTGAGACAGCATTTAGAATTGAATTCAATGATTTAGATTATATTCATCATATATTACCACTGTTCAGAGTTTTCTTTGAAATTATGATAGGAATGTTTGAAATAATAGTATGTTTGATTTTCTTGTTGATTTTTCCTATTTTAGCTATGCTAATAATGTTATTTGGAATTATTAGATATATAATTCGTTCTATGTATGATTGCTTTATGATGACAGTATATATATAAAATTATAATTAATAGTTTGTATATTGTTGTGGAAGAGTACCTCGTCGTTCTGGATGTTTAGTATGGAGATTTGGAGGAGATTACGGTTAGAAAAAAATTGTCTATAATTATCATAAAGTATAATAATATTCTTAAATTTTATATTAGTTAACAAATGAAGAATTCTAACTATTAGCAGCTAAGGAAATAGAAAATTATATATTTGAAGAATATCAAAATAGATTAAAGATAAATATTTAAAAACCAGAAAAAGAAATAAATAAAAATTTGTAGCCTTTTTTCAATCATTTCAATGCTATATATTAAATAGAAGATAAAAATGCAAAACTTCTTTAAGATTAACTTTTTGCAAAAGTTGCTAATTAAACATAATATTAACCTGTTTTAGATACAGAAACAAAAAAATATATTAAATTTACAGAAAATGAACTTTTTGAGATTAAACATTATTTGAAGATATTTTTAATTGAATAAATCAATTTAAAAAACATGCATTCTTTTATTTGGAAAAGGACTAATTTATAAATAGGACAATATTCAGAATTTGTTGATATTATTTTAACTTCAATATTTGGTAATGAAATTTTAATACCAAATAAAGAAATAATTCAAGAGGTGTAGATTGTAATTAATTTATTAATTCTAATTAGAAAGTAGATAAAGAAAAAGGATTAGGTAAATAAATAGAAAGAGCAATGAATGGAGAAGTTAATTTAAATAGACCTGATTAATTTGTTTTAGAATAAAAACATGATATAAAGAAATAAATAACAAAGAAAGTTTATAAAATATATATCCCAATTTCAGAAGTAAATTAATAATTTTATAATTATAGATACTTGATAAAATATGGTTGGCTTAATAACCATCATAAGAATGGAGTTCATTAAGCAATAAGGATTTAAGATTTTTATTAAATTATTCTTTAAAAAATGAATGATTAATATAGAATCTACTTGTATTATTAGTATTTCTTAAAAAAAATAAATGTATTCTATATTTTCACTTTTGTTGTTTATATTATTTTCCTTAATTATTATAATAATTAATTAATCTAATAGATGTAAAAAATAGAGTATTTCATTATAATCTAATTTTATATAAGCATACATAATTTTATTATCATTATAAAGTTAATTCAAATAATGATTGAGTCTCGAGACAGTACTTTAGATGGTAATACCTATCCAAATCTAATTACTTTGTTAGATGTGGTAGAAATCTTTTTCTATTATAGATTACTTCGTAACTGCATCATTCTCAATTTATTTTTAACTCTTTTAAATTTATTTCCTTTTTCTATGATAGCTTAATTCATTCTGTTTCTTCTCAATTTTAAATATTTTAAGATATAATTAAATGGAAATAGCATAAACTTTTACATTTTTTCTATTATATCCTTTTACCAATGATGAATATTTTTATTTGCTTAATCAATTATTTTTTCAGCATTAAATTATGAATAAAAAAAGTCATAATTTTATATGACTTCAAAATCTTCAATCATTTTTTGATTTAATCTCCAAAATAATGGTTCTATTTAAGAAATTGCCTTTTTAATAATTGGATCTTCTATATCTTACTTATTTAATTTATTGTAAACATGAATAATGTTGTCATTATGTGTATTTTAAAATGTTTAAATTTATAATGATTCATCCCAATCCTCATCTTAAACTTACTTAATGATAAATGTATTTGTTGGACTTTTTTTAATTTATTTAGTATTATTAGAAGGAAACATAGTCATCTTTCTAATAAGTCTACCTTAATTTAATTATTGTCTCAATTCTCCTTTGATATCAATTTCAGGTTCTTTAAGCTATTTTGGTTCCATTCTGACACTACTTAATAAATCAATCTATTTATTTTAAACTTCTGTGGAATATTAAGGGAGTAAAGAAGAAACTCTAAAAATATCCACTGAAGTTGAAGGATCAATAATATTACAATCCATCTAATCTTATTCATGATAATAGGTAATTTTAAGTTACTAATTTATTGATTATTGATTATCACTAGAGTATACTTTAGCAAATTCTGCTACAAGATCTTTCTCTGATAAAGCAAGAAACACATTTTTCTTTCTTCTTCTTTAAAAACTAGACCTCTATTATATTTTAGGATGCTGATGTTTTTTAATAATAACTTCAAAATTAGGTTTATGTTAAATGTATGGACATTTACTTAAAGTATGTTCAAATTACTGACATGCAGGACAGTAGACACTTTTTTAAAGTACTGTTTAATCAATATTTAGTACAATAGAGTCTTTTAATTAACAATACTTTTAAAAATCATCAGGATAATCTTTTAGAGTTGTTAGAAAATCTTATTTTGATAGTACTAACAAACTCACATATCCAACAGCTTTGAATAATTCCATATCAGGATCTTCAATGATAAATTCTTTAACACATAAGAATTCTCCTAATCCTATGATAGTATTCATTTTGGATCTTTATTTTTCATCTTTATGTTAATAGAGTAAATGTCCTTATTCTATAAAACATAAATGATGTTGTCCATTGAAATCAATATAAAAGGTATTTTCAGGAGGTATTACTTATAAATAATAAAATTAAATTTATACTTTTTCTCTTAATACTTTTAAATAAAGCATTTCTAAACTCTTCACTAAAGAACTATTAAAGTAGAATAGACTTTTCAATAAAAACTTTATGAGCCTGTCTGTCTAATTCTTCTTTTAATTCATCAGATAATTAATCTAATAATGTTTATTCTATTTCCAAATCTACTTCATCATCTTCTTTCCAACGATATGTCAAATATTCTTTGATTCTTAAAAATATATTAATAATTCTTACTGATGTTGTAATGCAAATGGTATATTTCTTTTATTCATATATTTATTAATTACTCTCATTTTTTAATTTCTTTCAACCTAATTCTAGGTAATATCATTAATAATTCCTCCAATAAAATTTATACTGTAAGAAAACCATAAACAAGCCCCCAAAATGAAAATAATAGTTACAATTTTTTCAGTTGAATTTTTAGGTACATTATCTCCATATCCTATTGTCAACATAGTTACTATTGCAAAATACAAAGCTTCTAAATATTAGAGTTACCAAGGTTTGTCTGTTAAGTCTTTAAAATCGATCCAAGAGTCTTCAATTTATAAACTGGAAATCCAAAACCAAAAACAACTAAATAAATGTAAAATATAATAAAGAGTTGCCATAAATTTTAATAATCCTAATATACCTCTTTAAGGTCTTGTAAAATAAGAGTATTATTCACTTTTAGATAGTATTTCATAAACATATGAATATTATGTTAGAGTTACTAATGTAAATAAATTATAATGTGGATTTTCAGGAATTAAAGATAAAAAGATCAATAAAATAATTATAGAGAGAAAGTCAATGAATATTGATTTTTTTACTTGAAATATTATTAATTTCCATCTATCTCTAATAGCTTAACCATTAAGATATTATTATGTATTTATTCTAATAAAAAAGTCCATTATTAATACTATACAAATTATTACAGTTAATGCTGTATTTTCTTAAAATAAAATTTGAGTGTGAAATGCTACTTCTAAAGGTATTAAGATAACTAAAATTATCCTAAAAACAACAGCAAATAAATCCCAATAGACTTTGAAAAGGGATTCTGGTTAAATTAAAGGAATTAGATTAATTGTGGTTTAACAAATTTTAATTATCTGTTTTTTAATATTCTAGTAGTATTGCTTTAAATTTTCCATTTTAGTCTCTTCAATTTAAGACTCCATTTCGAATAGCTTTTTCATAGCCTAGAGTGTGAATCCAGCTCGTTAAATTGATTTTGCATATTGAAGCAATATATTACTTTAATAGTTCTTATATTTACCTATCAGCAGCTTTATCTCCTATTAAATTTAGATGAGTATAATTTAATGTTTCTAACATTCTCCGTTTGATTTATAGTTTTTCCAAAAACCTTTTAAGAAGAAAGAAAGCCATCATGCTTGATCCTGTAGAATGCTATTTATAAGAAGGAACATTTATTATAGTCTTGCTTGTTTCAGGAGGACTTTTTTGAACATTTCTTAATGCAAGTTGCTCAAGTTTTTTCACATTGTATTAATCATATCCTTCAATACTTTTTACACTCTACGTTTAACTGTAAAGATGAGGATAATTAATTGAAGTCTCCCTTTTGGTTGATCGCAAACAGAAACCTAAATATTATTACTCAAAGTCTTCGTTTTATTCTGCTTATAGTTCTTAATCTAATTCAACATTGAATCTAGGTGATTCAAATTACATAAATATTAAATTATTTAAGGGTTGTCTTATTTTAAAAATTATTAGATTTTTTACAAACATATATTTTAAAATTTCAAATCAACTTAACTACATCTTTAGGTTTTTTACATTAATGAAATATAATCTTATATTATTTTCATAATATCATTAAATTTCACTATTATTTTCATTAATCTCAATAAATACAATAGAAATTTAATCAATATTATATATAAATTATTGTATCAACTTCTAAATAAAGGAAATTAAATATATAATTATTTAAGATTATGAATAATAATAAAAATTGACTCTACACATTCCATAATACATATTTAAATCAATCAAAAATAAATCTCTTCTTTCCTACATTGGCTTGACAAGAAGGACAAAAGTGAACAGCATCTTTACAATCCTAGATGAAACATGGTATTAAACAGCAACTTTAAATTTAAAATTATACATACCCTAACCATAATCCAACAGCTGCCAATATCCCTCCAACTACGTAAGTTCCAGTGCCTGGTTCATAATTTACAACAGTTTGTACTTATCTTTAACAATAAACACATGTTATTATGCTTGGGTATTTAGAATATATAGGTTAAACTATTATGATAATTTATCTTACTTAATTGAATTGGTTATTATGGATTATAAATTGGTTATTCATTTTAAGAATAAGGAGATTATTAATAAGGAACTTGATGTATAATTTATTAAACTGGTATTTATTATTATATTGGTTGTCCTATTTAGATTTATTAATTCTGTATTGATGGATAAACCACTTAAGATATTGATCCCTCACTTGGAGTGGGTGTCATTTCTTATTGAAGTTACACATGTTGATTATTTTACATTGGTATAGTTTTATTTATATAATTTAATTAATATCAAGAGTTTCTTGATACAGTTTATAAAGAATGAATAATAATATATAATTCGTTAAATGGATTATGAAAACTTGCTTCAAAAATATCCAACTTCTTCTTATGCAAAAACATAAAGATCATCTAGTGTCAATCAAAACACTTAAAAATAAGAAAGCACTCAACAAATCAAACCTTAAGCATTATTAAAAAAATTGGAAGAAATCCTTTAATAGAGACAATAATAACTAAATTAAGAGAAATAAAAAAAGAAAAAGAATATATAATAAAAAGGAGATTATACTGAAAGGATATCTGAAAAAAAAAATGTTTAGAAATTATTAGATAATTAAAAATGGAAGGCTGATTTATAAAATTTTGTATCTATTCAGAAATACATTTATATAGGTTACTGAGAAAAAAGAAAGAAAAAGTGCTTATCCAAATTTGATGTCATTATAGCCATCCACATAAAATTTATTTGATATGTTTTCTCAAGATAGTAATAGCAGAAATCCAACTATAACAGCTAGAAGTAAAAAGGGTGAAGGTTCACCTAAAAAAGGAAGGGCTAATGTAATTATAATCTCATTAATCATTTTATAGTCTATTATGGAAGGATACAATCTAAATGAAAGAGATAAAGGAACATTGATAAAATTGAATTAGTAATTATAAATTTAGAATAATCATTTAAATGAATAACTTAGATTTGAATAAAGTTAAAACACTAAGTTAAGTTTATAGATGATTAGTATGAATGATTAAATTACATTATTAACGAAGTATTATTTATTTTTGTTTAGGGTAATTAAAAGAGAGTTAGAAACAATTGGAATATAAAGATAAGGAAAATGATGAAATTATGAGATCATTAAAAAGTTAATTAGATATGGTTAGACCTGAATATTATAAATAATCAGAATAAATTGTAAATTTGGAAAAATAATTAATTGGATATCAAAATATTGAAAAAGACATGAAGGAATTAGAATAGATGCTACCATAAATTTCCACTTTTACAACATTATTTGTTGAATAGAATGCTTAAATACTAGAATTATAAGACCTAATAACCTTATAAAATAATATTATTGATAAAGTTTTAAATAAAAAGGATTTCCCATTAAATAATTTAATTTTGGGTAGAGAACCAAAAAAATAAAAATAATATACTAATGATTTACCTTTTGAATCATCATAGCATCTTGAAAATTTAATTAAGTAGACAAGATATTAAGTCAATACATTAACTGAAAGATTTATTCATGAATTATTAGTATGAATACAACTATTTAATAGAATACAATTATATTTTTATAATTAATTCTTGAATATATTAAATATATATTAATCTGAATCAATTTATTAAAAATCTTAAAAAAATATTTATCATTATTTTTTTTGCAAACTATGAGCCATTTCAATGAAGTATATGATGATTACGATAGCCAAGATAATTTCCAGAACAAAACAAATCTAGGCTTTGGAGATATTTCTATTTCAAATTTTTATTCAGAGAATTAAAATAGTCATTATAATTTAAATTCTATTAAACTTGACCATTAAAGTTAAAATGAGGGTCATGATAGAATTAAGAAAAAAATTAAAAGAATCTAAACTGAGAACAATAAGCCAGGAGAAACTAAAAATATTCCTAAAAATCTTGCTAGTGTATTAAAGAAATTCATTGAGAAAATGCTATCAAATAAAAATGATGAAGCTTTGAGATCTTTTTCGAAATGCAGAGATTGGATTAAGTTCAAACATATTCCACATGATAACATTAGGAAAAATTAAATAGAATTTTTTTTATAAACTCCTTTCGGAAAATTAATTGGTAGATAATTTTTTGGAAATTGTCTATGGGCATCCTACTTTGTCTAAGAATATAAAACTAATGTAACCCTTTATTACAAATACACTTTATAATATTTTCAGTAAACCTATAAAACACATTAAAAATCAAGTAAATTCACAAAAAAATAATGATATTTATTTAAATTATTAAAAAAAAATTTATTATTATAGCAGAAATCAATATTTAAATAATATTATGAATGAGTAAATAATCACATAAATCTTCAGTCAATTTAAGATGTTTTTGTTTTTCCTGATACATTAGTATTTAATTTTGATTAGATTCTTTTTCCTTTAATCCACTTTCCCTTTATAGAAGTTCCATTAGGTTTAATAATTTATCCATTACCATGAAATAATCCTTGTTTCCACAATCCTAGATATTTTTAACCATTTGGCCAATATAGAATACCATATCCTTCTCTTTCATCATTGATGTAATAACCATCATATTTGGATCCATCTGGCCATTGAAATACTCCCTTTCCATATTTTAGTCCATTTTTCCATTCTCCTGTGTAAATTCTCCCATCTTAAAATTTGAGAGTACCTATACCTGAAGGCACATCTCTCTCAAATGATCCTTCATAAATAGAACCATCTGGAAATCTTAATATTCCTTATCCATTCTTGATTCCATTTAGAAAACTTCCTTACTTAGATATACAATATTAATACCTTCATATCTCCAACCATTTGAGTAAGTTTGAACACCAATGCCATTAGGTAAATCATTCTTCCATTCCCCTTCATAAAAGGTACCATCAACAAATGTATATTTACCTTAACCTTCTACTACATTATCAATCCAATGACCCATAAAAAATTCTCCGTCTATCAATTAAAATGTACCAAAACCGTTGGCTTTATTATTGACCCATTCTCCTACATATGATGAAGTATCAACCATAATATATTTACCAAAGCCATAGGCTTTCCCATTCTTCCATTATCCCTCATAATAAGCTCCATTTACCATTTATATGATTGGTAGTTTAATCTATGTTTGGGATAATATCAATAATTAATCGTTTTTTGTTTTAGGAATAAAGCATAGACTTGTCATATCAAATGAGAATTATTTTTTTAAACTTGATGGATGGCTAAATTCTGAAACCTAACTTTGATTTTCTTGAATATCCTTGTTGCAATTTGATTAACATAATTATTAATTGACTTCAACCTATCTTTTACTTTTTTCTTCTTCTTCTTCTTGTAGTTTATCTTATATCAAATTTTATTTTAGTATAAGAGACTGAGGTTAATTTGGAGAATCATTAATATTTGTGAAAGTTTCAAATCCTAAAATGTCATGATTTAAAATTGGTGAACTATGCTTTTATTATGTGGATAATAAGGAAAATTATCTAATAAAATATTATTAATGAAAGTAATACTTTCTAGTTATATATCCTTTGAAGACAGCTTGAATTTTGATTACTCCCTCAATATTTTGGGGAGTAAATTTATTAGCAAAATTCAGTGTATGTTTGGATTTTGTTAATTTTGTTTTTATTTCTGCTGTCTTATTTTCTAGTGTAAAATTAGTGCATTGTTAACAATTTCCCATTGTTGATTGAAATATTTCAAATAAAAATTATATACTAAGACATAATCATTTCTTAATGTTTATGATAGTGATAATTTATTACATAATTATTTATTTTTATATAATAGGATTTCTAAATGCATTAATTTGAGAATGAAACAAATAAATTTTTGGAAGAATTAAAAAATGGATCCAGCAATATATTAGTAACGATTTTTCTATTTTCTAGGTAGCAATAAGAGTTAGGCCTTTAAATTAGAAGGAAAGAAGTGTATCAGAGTTTGAAACTATAAGAATACTTGATGGAAAAATGATAGTATTGATGGATCCAGAATCAGAAAGAGAAGATGAAGTATTGACATTATATAGAATAGTTATTAAGAAAAAATAGGTTAAAGGAAACTAATTTTGCATTTGATTTTGTTTTTGATTAATGGGCACCACAATAAAAGATTTATGAAAACACAACAGAGTTTTTATTGGAAGGAGTATTGGAAGGATTCAATACAACTGTATTTTGTTATGGTGCAACAGGTTCTGGCAAGACATTTACGTAAATTATATATAATTAAGTATAGAATGATAGGAACTTAATAAGAAGTTGGTTTAATGCCAAGAGCATTATAGTCACTTTTTAATTATTCTTAATCAGATCGATTCAAAGAAACTTAATTTAAGGTCTCTTATGTTGAAATATATAATGAGAATATACGAGATTTGTTGACATAAGAAGATAAAAATTTAGAAATTAGAGAAGATAAAAATAATGGAATATAAATAGCAGGTGTTATTGAAATTGAAGTTAAAACAGTCACTGAAGTGTTATCTCTTTTAAAAGTTGGTAATAGAAATCGATCCAAAGAAGCAACTGATGCAAATAAAGAATCATCTAGATCTCATGCCATATTATAAGTTTAAGTAGAATGCAAAGATAAAGCATCAGGATTATAAGAATAAATCATATAAAGCAAATTTAGTTTGGTAGATTTAGCAGGTAGTGAAAGAGCTTCCAATACAAATAATAGAGGTTAAAGAATGGTAGAGGGAGCAAATATCAACAAATCATTATTAGTTTTAGGCAATTGTATTCAATCATTATCAGAAGCAAATGAAAAAGGAATCAAAAATCCATTTATACCATTTAGAAATTCTAAATTAACTAGATTATTAAAAGATTCTTTAGGTGGTAATTGTAGAACCGTTATGATTTCTAACGTCACTCCATCAGTAAGTAGTTTTGAAGAAACCTACAATACATTAGTCTATGCAAATAGAGCTAAAAATATTAAAACTGTTGCTAATAGAAATGTCTTATTGGCCTAAAATCACATTAGTAATTATGCACTTCTAATTTAAAATCTTAGATAGGAAAATGAAGAACTCAAATAATTGATATAATAATAATAATTAAATTCCATTACTCCTTAAACAAGTAGCAAGTAAATCTATTAAGTAGGATTGCCTTCCATTAATTAAAAAACAGTCCCAGTTCCTTAATTAAATTTGAAATAATAGGTTAATGAATTGGAATCTATTATAAATCAAAACATTTCTGATATCATAGAAGCAAAAAATAAATTATATGATATGGAACAACAACAGAATCAATATTAATAAAATATTGGTTTTTTATAATATCAAAAAGGTCGCTCATAAGATAAATTCGAATAAATGAAATTATTAGAAAGAATTGATAATGCTAAAACACAAAAAGCTATTCTTAAATAAAGTGAAGATGATATGAAATAATAATTACTTGAATATGATATTAAAAAAGTTGATATTTAAAAGTAAGTATAATAAATACCAGATCTAAATCAAAAAACTTATTTGTAAGGAATCATTAAGTAAGGAGAACTTAAAATAGTAATTATTATTATCCTATATTATAGGAAAATATTGAACTTCAAATTTAGGAAAAAAGAAGGAGATATTAGGAATAAATATAAGATGAATAAGTAAGATAATTAAGAACTTAAATACATTAATAATAATAAACAAAAAATATTTAAAGTGCAAAATCTAAATCTAGTTATTAAAATGGACCCAAAAAAGGTATATCATTAATTTAGTATTTTAGTTCCTAGTTTACCTGGAGTAGATTCACCATACTATTCTATTACTGGTGGATAAACTTATGCTGTACAAAGGTATTTAAATCTTATTTTTAGCAGAAGTTAAAAACAAAAATCTCATCTTAAACTTCCACCTGTGTTATAAATGGCTTAATTGCAAAAATCTCCTAAAACTTAGAATTCTAGTTTGAATAGTAAACATTATAATCTATTAGGTAATCCGTTAAAATATAGAATGGCTTAAAGATACACAACTAGATTGAATAGACCTCCATCTTATCGTCCTCCAAGTTCTTCTAGGAAATCTGCTATTGGAAAATATATTAATAGATCATTAGATTTAGGAAGTGAAAGAGAAAGTGTCAATAAAAGTTCTGGAGATTTATAAAATTCAGTTAGTCTGAGGAAACTTAAAAAACTTCATTAAGAATATTAATAATAGAGATTTGAAAGAGTCGTAAGTGGTAAAAGGAATTAAAAATCTATGCCATATTTTGGTAGCAAAGTTCTTTTGCCAGGTATGGTTCACAAATCACCATATGTTAAAAACTTTTAGAATAATCAAGAACCCATTGAATTAAAAAAAGAGAGATTGAAAATGCTAAATATTAATCTTAAAGCTTAATATGGCGATAAATTTTCGCTGCAAAATTGAATATAAATAATAAGTTAAAGTACTACTTTAAAATAAATCAATTCAAATTTTATTCACTTATACTTAACTAAATGATTTTGATTTAAATCTTTAGTCAACAGCTAATTTTTCTTATTATTCAAATTATCGTTTAACTTTTAAAAGTCTAAACTTTATTTTTTTATGTTATTTATATTCTTATAACTTCTATTTAAAATCAATCTAACTGTGTTAATCTAAAATTCTTTTGCATAAGTTTATATTTTCATCCAAAATTTTAAATGTTTGTTCTTTTGATTATGAAGATTTTAGTGAAATTTAGAAATTTTAAAGTTTTTATGGGACTTAAAATGATCGTGCATGTATTCTCTTTAAATTTGAAGCTAATAATTAATTTTTATGGTAAATTTCAGCTTATATCATTTCATCTTTAATATTTGTTGATTTTGGTAATTTAATTGACTTACTTCTATGATAACCAATAGCACTTTTTGATCGTTTTATTTCTTCTAATTTTTATTGATGTATCAGAAAATCTCTATAATGATGTTTGATATTTAATTTACCTATCTCTACGTAAGAGTTCATTTGAATCATTTGTATAATATAAATATTTAGACTTATTCATTTACAAATAATAATAAATAATAAAATATATAATATTATTGTAAATTTTATGTTGTGATTATTATATTAACATTAGAAGATTATTAAACTCTAGAGTTTTATTCTAAAGATTATCAAAATTAGACTTTTCGTAATTTCTCAAAAAATTAAGTTTAACAAATATTTCACTTTAATAATAATTTCAAATTATTATTGTTATAATTATCTATAATTTATAATTATTTATAAAGTTCCTAATGATTAATCAAACAATATTAAGAATTCTGAATACAAACAATATTAATCTTGCTGATAGCGCACTATAATTGGAAAAGGCAGGTTAATTAAATTTTAATATTATATAGGTATTCAAAACGTCTTTAATTACTTATCTAAATCAGATGTCACAAAAATAGTGTTTCCAGAGTAGGTAATAAAATTACTATGCGTATTTCACTTTATGATATAAAAAAAAACTTTAGATTTACAGGTCTTTTAAGATTGTAATATTTATTGGATTACAAATGTTTTGAATAATAGTTTTATAATGGAGAGGTTATCAACAGAAATGAGTTCTTCAAGCACATTTGCTAGAAGTAGTTAATTTTCATCTTTGAGATCTTCACAATAATAGACAGATAGGAATAATCCTCATTTTTAAACAGAGTCAAAATCTTAAAAAGTACATACAAAGAGAATGGATTGTTTTTAAAGTTATTCAGAAAAATAATAAACTGAAAGACACATAATTAGAGAACCTCTATCATATTAATCAATGTTATAATTATACTATACATATTTAAAACGAGTATGCCATTATTCATCAAGTGGAATACCAATAATAGAATTGTATGTAATATAAAACATTTGTTCAATGGGATTACGTATAATTGAAGGATAGAAATGTCCAAAATTAGATTTTTGTTTTTAACTTATATTAAAAGATCTTGAAGAATTTTAAAGTTAATAAATTGATTATCTGAAAGAATTGATAATTGATTTAAAAGATAAGAACAATGAATAAATGTTTGATATATTTGAGATCTATAAATTATTGTGTTTAAATGGAAAGTAAATTAAATTTTTTGGAGTGTTGAATAAATTAACAATAAATCAATAAAAACTTAAAAGTTTTAAAAAGGAATGTAAAGAATTTGTAATAGAATGTAAATAACATTTAAGAAAAGTGAAACTCTAATAAAATTAGGATAGATTAAGTGTTTCTGAATTTAAAACAAATAATTTCTTTGAATATGAAAGAAAATAGTTGTATAACAATTATTGATTTATTTAATATATATTTATAAATCTCATCATTATAAGATTTATACTTTTTCACCAACTCTTTAAGTAGCTCTAAATAATGCTGCCAAAACCTAATGAGTAGTTAAACTTTTATGATGCCATGAATGATCAGTCTTCTTAGAAAGAATAATATTAGCAAAAGTATCAATCATTTTTACTGTATGATTGCAAGCTTCAACTTTAATAACTTCTTCTTTTCCTTAAAGATCATCTACAAAAAACCTTTCACTTCCAATAAAGTTTTCAAAATAAGCATTGAAATTTCCAGTTCTACCAAATCCTCCAACTAAATCATCTATTCTAATTTATCCATTTTCACAAACAATATCAACAAAAGATCTATGAGGAAAAGTTGCTCCACAATCGAAATATGCATATCTTTCATTTTCAAATTCTAAGAATCCAGAAAATTCTATTATTGTATCAACTTTATTTAATTTGTATTAAAGACATTAAACAAATTTTGGTAATTCATAATCGAATGCAAAAAGTATTGCTCCAATAGGATACCATCCTTAATCACCTAAACAACCTTAAGGTTCTTAATTTTTATTTGTTCTTCCATTTCCTCCATGTAACCATTCTTCATTAGGAGCTTTGAAAGTCATTGCAGCTGTAACTTTGAGTACTTTTCCTAATTCTTATTTCTTTTATTTAGCAACCTATGTTCTTAATGAATGTAACCACATAGTTCCATCTAAAAATTGAACTCCATTTTATTCACAACTTTTAATCATATCTTCCAAACATTAAGAAGAATCAGCACCTGGTAATGGTTTTTCGACCAAGACATGTTTCTTTTTGTTAGCAGCTTTAATTGTCCATTCTTTTTTTAAAGATGTTGGTAATGGTATATATACTCCATCAACATTTGGGTCATCCAATAATTCATCATATGAACCATAAGCAATTTTTATGTTATGAGCATCAGCCCATTATTTAGCTTTTTCTAATGATCTACTAGCTACACAATATACTTCAGCATATTCAGAAGAATTAATAGCCTAACATACTTTATGAGCAATTTCTGCTGTTGACATAATTCCTATGCGAACCTTACTATTCATTATAATAAATTTTAATATTTGATAATAATGAGTAAAAAAGAGGGAGATTGTATTGATGCTTTGTGTTTTCCTAATGCAGAAGATTATCAAAATGATTTTGATACAGCTAATTAAGTACTTTTGGGATCAGGATCTTATGGATAAGTTTATAAAATGATATTTAAATCGAACCCTTCTTAAAGTTGTGCAGTAAAAATAGTTCAGTGCATTAAGTAATATCTTTTATATTCTAGTAAAAAATCATATGATTCAGCTTTAAAAGAGGTTTAATTGAACAGGTAAATTAATATTCATCCTAATATTATATACTTTGACAAAATTTATGCATGGTCTGAAACTATTCCAGTTTAGAAATATATTTTAGTATTTCAAATGAAATTGGCTATGGGTAGTTTAAAAGATCTAAAAGATAATGAAATTAAAGCAAACAGAAAAACATTTAATGGTATATTTACATTCAAAAATTTGTAGAAATAAGTTTCTTAAATATTATAAATCAATTATTATAAGCATTTCAATTTTTATAATAGAAAGAACTTTATCATAGAGATATTAAGCCAGAAAATATCTTATATGATAAAGAAAACGATAAAATTATAGTAAGAATTGCTGATTTTGGTGTTAGTAAAGCATTGGAACATTTTAAAAATAATTTTAAAAATACTCTTGTTGGTACACCACTTTATTTATCACCAAAATTATGGGAAGCTTATATTAATGGTTAATATAATGATGTTAAGTAATATTATATAATATTTCTCTAGACATAATTTAGAAAAATCTGATGTATTTTCTTTAGGAGTTACTCTCATTTAAACTTATTTATTGTTATAAGATCATGATATTGCTGGATTAAATGATTAAAAATAAAACAAAATCCCTAATATTTTATAAAAGATTTATCATGATAAAATCAAAGAATTATTGACAGGAATGTTAAATTATGATGAAAAATCTAGATTTACTTGGTAATAGTCAATAAATTGTCTTAATGGAATAGATAAGATTAATGGAAGCATAGAGTAAAATTAAGGAGGAAGTCTTTAAAATAGAGAAAAACATTATGCTTTACATATTCCTTATGAAAAGACTATTACAAATAAATCATAATCTATTAAATTGAGAAAAATAAATTAGATTTATTGTTAAGAATTGAATGAAATTACAAAAGGATAAATTGCTGATGATTAAAGTATCATAGTTTTTAGTGATAATTACTTTATTGAAATTAATTTTGAAGGATAAGTTATTCTAAAAAAACAAATTTAAAGTATCTATAATATATATATATATATTTATTTTAGATCTAAAATGTGTATGTTTGATTGAATAACCAAGGAAAATTATAGGATTATTTGAAAATAATACAATCTAAATTTTGGATGATGATTTGTCTCAACCATTTAGTTTAACTTCATCAACATAATAAATTAATGTTATAAGTTAAATGACAGAAGCTAACGTTCTTTTTGGGTTTGGAAATGGAGAGGTACAAGTATTATAACATTTTGACAAAACTTTTAAAGTATTAAATACATTGAAAGATCATACAGCTTAGGTTAATTTAATCTATTTTGATAAACTCAATCAGATGTTGATTACTTCTGATAGTTCTCGAATATTAAGTGTTAGATTTTTATTTAACAATAAATTGTAGATATTTCTTATTACTAATTAGTTCTTATCTAAAATTAGATTATATAGCATAACATGTGGAATTATTGAATGATACATAAATTGTAGTAAATGGATAAAAATTGAATGAAATTTTAATTTTGCATATCTCTCATTTATAAAAAGAACCTGGAATTAAATTAGAAATTAAATAAACTTTATCTCTACAAACTGGATGTGTATTATCCTTAATTAATTTAAGTGAAAAATGCTTATTTGTATCAACTGAAAAAGAAATAATTATTTATGAATTATAATCAATTCAATAAGACTCAGGGCATCTTTTCAATAATGATATGTAATAAACATTTTATTATTGTAATTGGATAAGAGATCGTGGATATTTGATTACTAATGATGGATAAAGAATTATGAAATGGGAAATTGATTATGAAAAAAATTAATTATTTGGGACAAATCGTATTGTTAAACCTTAAAAAAAGAAGTGTTGTTGTTGTGAAAGTTGTTCTATAATGTGAAAATATATATATATATATATATTTAAAAGAATTTGATTATTTAACTCTTAATTCATATAGACAATTTAAATGTTTTTCATATTGACATGTTCTCATTATTTTATCAAAATTTTAATACAAATTACATTTTTGAAGTCTTACGTCTCATTCATATATCGAATTTAACAATTTATTCAAGTGATATCAAATGATAATTATTATGCAATTTTTTTTTCTTTTTAGATTGATTTAAGATGCATAATGAATGAGACATATGATTTAGAATGATTTTAATGATGATTTACTTGATGCCATAATTCCATTATATATAAATTATTTTTTATATATTAAATAATACAGAATGCATTGTACATCAATAATTGAGTCATCAATTAAAAACATAAATGTAATTATAGATTATTCAATAATTAAAATTACTTATGACTCATCAAAGACCTCCAGTCCCAAAATTCAATGATGAATGTCTCACTCCAAAAATTGAAATGTCTTTATTAGAAGAAGTTCAGCATTTGATTTTTAAAATGAATTTGGATTTTGAGATTGAAAAGAAAGCAATAAGAATAATTTAAACAATTCCACTTTAAAATAATGTAACATCAGCTAAAGGTGTGATTTTCTATTGTCTCAAAGAATTAAATAGAAAATTGCCTTTAATGGATAAAAAGGTCGAATACGTCATTAAATTAATTGAACAATAGTAAAGCCTGAACTTTTCTAATGTCTGTTAAAAAATGGGTTTCGGTGATTAAGTTTCAAAAGTTTGTGAAACTTTGAAAAAGCAACTTGTTTATTTAATTGGCAAGTTAACGATAAACCTTTAAATAGCTATAACAATAAAAATTGCTGCTGACATAATATTTTATAAATAAGGAGGCTTAAATACAAAGTTTTTAGCATTCCACACAAAAGTTAATGAAGAATAGTTAAAATGCTCTCTCAATAGAATTAAACCATTTTCAGAAAAAATCATGACTGATCTCTTCAATCATTACAATGACAACCCTCTTTGATTAAATTCTTATTTTTGTTTTAATCTTCTGTATTAAAAGTTTAAAAAATATATTAAATAAATAACTAGTATTAACCAATGTTTAATAAAGTATTAATATCAACTATAGTACTTAATATATTTGTATAAAATGATTTAAATAAAATTACTTGTATAAATAATTATTCTTAAATTTAATTGAAAAATAACAAAAGTATGGAATCTAACTTTAAAATTGAGTGCTTCAGACATAAAATATTGGGAAATAAGTAATGCATATTGGAAGTTACTAATGATAAAATAATAATTACAAACATTACAGACTCACCAAATAAGAGAAATGAATTGGACATTAATTATAATTTATTTGTTGATTTTAAAGTCAAGAAAAAATAGCTACAAGCTATTGGTTTGACAACAAATAAACACCATTGGTATTATGCGGATCATGACAATTTGATCAATTTAAAGTAAATTTTAGGAGCAAGAGTAGTGTTTAAAGGTGTAAATACTTTATATAATCCATTATAATAAATTGGCTAAGGAACCTTCTCCAATGTTTACTTATTACAATCCAAAATAAATAGTCTTGAATATTATGCTTGTAAATGTTTAGACAAAGCTTAAGTGAATGAATAAATTGGTAGAGTAATATATTTAGTAATATTGTTAGTAAGGATTGTTTGAAGAAATCTAAGCGATGGTTGCTTTGAAGCATCCAAATATAGCAGAGCTTCTAGAAGTTTATGAGGGTGATGTATCTTATTATATGGTAATGCAATATTATGATCTTGAATTTACTGACATTCTAAAAGAACTAAACATTCAAGACATACACATAATATTTAAATAATTAGTAACAGCAGTAAATTTAATGCATGAAAAAGGATACATGCATAGAGATTTAAAACCAGAAAATATTATGTTTAGTGATAGTATTTACTAATTGAAACTCATTGATTTTGGATTGACAACTAAAAGTTCAGGAAGATCAAAATGTGGTACACCTGGTTATGTTGCACCTGAAATTTTAAATCTTGATACAAAGATTAATGAATATAATGAAAAATGTGACATATTTTCATTAGGAGTTATATTCTATAAGATGTATAATTAATTATTATTATTAGGCTGACTTAGAATGACCTATTTTAAGGAGCAAATCATGAAGAGATTTTAGAAAATAATGCTCGATGCAATACAAATTTTGAACTTTTAAATGGAAATCAANTATAAATAATTATTCTTAAATTTAATTGAAAAATAACAAAAGTATGGAATCTAACTTTAAAATTGAGTGCTTCAGACATAAAATATTGGGAAATAAGTAATGCATATTGGAAGTTACTAATGATAAAATAATAATTACAAACATTACAGACTCACCAAATAAGAGAAATGAATTGGACATTAATTATAATTTATTTGTTGATTTTAAAGTCAAGAAAAAATAGCTACAAGCTATTGGTTTGACAACAAATAAACACCATTGGTATTATGCGGATCATGACAATTTGATCAATTTAAAGTAAATTTTAGGAGCAAGAGTAGTGTTTAAAGGTGTAAATACTTTATATAATCCATTATAATAAATTGGCTAAGGAACCTTCTCCAATGTTTACTTATTACAATCCAAAATAAATAGTCTTGAATATTATGCTTGTAAATGTTTAGACAAAGCTTAAGTGAATGAATAAATTGGTAGAGTAATATATTTAGTAATATTGTTAGTAAGGATTGTTTGAAGAAATCTAAGCGATGGTTGCTTTGAAGCATCCAAATATAGCAGAGCTTCTAGAAGTTTATGAGGGTGATGTATCTTATTATATGGTAATGCAATATTATGATCTTGAATTTACTGACATTCTAAAAGAACTAAACATTCAAGACATACACATAATATTTAAATAATTAGTAACAGCAGTAAATTTAATGCATGAAAAAGGATACATGCATAGAGATTTAAAACCAGAAAATATTATGTTTAGTGATAGTATTTACTAATTGAAACTCATTGATTTTGGATTGACAACTAAAAGTTCAGGAAGATCAAAATGTGGTACACCTGGTTATGTTGCACCTGAAATTTTAAATCTTGATACAAAGATTAATGAATATAATGAAAAATGTGACATATTTTCATTAGGAGTTATATTCTATAAGATGTATAATTAATTATTATTATTAGGCTGACTTAGAATGACCTATTTTAAGGAGCAAATCATGAAGAGATTTTAGAAAATAATGCTCGATGCAATACAAATTTTGAACTTTTAAATGGAAATCAAAAGATTCCAAAATAAGCAATACATCTATTAAAAATGATGCTTCAAATTGATCCAACTTTAAGGATTGATTCAAAAGATATTTTACAACATTAGTATTTTACTATTGAAGAATAAACTCATAATAATACCATAAATAGTGCTGGTCAACTTTCGAGAAAGCATTCATCAGTGATTAAGATACTATCCCCAATATAAAAAAAAAACGGTATGTTTACTTCTCCTTTTTCAATTCATGATGATGAATGTATAGAAAATGAGGCTTTAATGCAACCAATTCCTACAGTAATAATGAAAGGAGGTTCAGTACAAGATATGGTTAAAGCAAAAACACAAGGAATAAATAGAAAGTTGTCTAAAGATGCAACAAAGAAATATCAAACAACTGATTTCGATGATATAGTCTCAGAAATTAAGTAAAGTAATTATAGACCACCTAAGCCTAGTTAGTTATCAGAAATGTATAATAAATGAATATAAGTTCATATAAATAATATTTGGTTTCAAGACATTAAATTATTGTAAATATTTATATAATAACTCACATTGCTTTTTATATAATAGAATTAAGGATTCCTATAACTGCAAAGACTCCTCCTACAATAGCCAATAATTAAACAATAAAATGATAGACAGATTTCTTTTAAATTGAATAGACCATATTGACTGGACTAATTTAATATTTAAAATAAATTGAATCGATTTCTGTAAAGGTTCTGGGCATTGATGCTTCATTGATAGAGTATTTATAGAGAGTTTGATAGTTTAGTTCATTTACATCATAAAACTTCACAGGCAAAGCATTAATATAATATTCATAATCTTGTTTCTCACCTTCAGGTACTGATTTTTCAATTTATTTCCAGGGTAATTAGAATTTCTAGAGAGATTTTGAGTATTTCTTTAATTTGGCTGAAGAGATTTCTCCAAATCTTAAATCATAGATAGTATGATCTAATTTTAGTTTTCTAAAAGTTTATAATTCTCTTTGATGAATTCTCTAAATTAAATAATGATGTGCATGGTAACTGATATGGAAATTACCTGGGACCTTATTTATTTAGAAGAATCCCTTTAATTAACATTAATCTCCTTGATTGATTGCTTTAATTGCATCTATTAATTCTTATTCACTTCCACTATAATTAGGTCTTTCGTTATTATCAATCTTTATATGAATATTATTGTTTAATTACAGAGGGCAACACATGTCTATCTTTATCAAGAGAAATCTTTTTCAATGTACCAGATACATCCATTACATGTACTCCTACCTCATCTTATTAATCCAATGACAAAACCATACATGGAGCTCCAATAATTATATCTAAATGAACTTTGATAAATTATTCAGAGTCATTATCAATCACAGTTTAATAGTTTAATTCTGTGATAAAAAATAATCTACATTCATTCATTGTTAAAATAGTCACCAACTATCAAGAAATATGTTAAAAATTTTACTGCAAATGCTATAATAGTTAAGAATCCACCTAAAGATGATGAAGTATCACCAATATCAGTATTTAATTTCCTAAAAAAATCCAATTATCTCAAACCCATTTATATTAAATAATTGTATTATTTTTAAGACGATTTCAATTACTCAAAGAATAAATACTAAACATATATAAGTTTACAATAAATAAATATTTAAGACATCTAAGTTGTTAAAATATATTTACTAATATATTAATTATAATATGAATCTTAGACCACAAGATAATTAAGAAGTATCCATAGTATTCATCATTAATTTTAGGGCAATCAAGCATAATACAATAAAAAATATGCAATTTATTATTAAAAGCCTGGAGTAGAGGAACTTAAACAAATAGTACTTGAATTACCCAATATATTCACAGTTGGTGACTGTATAGATTTTACTATTGAATAAATCAACATTCAAGATCCCAGTAAATATACAATGATAATCATTATTAGCTTTTAAATTCAAAGGGTCTGCAGATTGTTTTAAATTGAGAGTAGCAAAAAAGAATGGTAAACCAAAAGATGATTTACCTGGTAATTAAATAGATATATTTTAGCTTTGGATCATGAATAATAACTCATTGATACTGGTGCAATAGTATTTGCATTAGTTTTAAATCCAAATTAATAATAATTAGAAAAATAGATAACATTTGCTCCAACTAACTATACCAATCAGACTTAACAATCTTAAGTCAATTAATAAGATTCCTCCATTAAACAAAGAACTTCTTACAGCAATAGTTTAAGCAACAAAAAGAAGGTAATTTGAATCTACCATATGTTTAGAATAAAAATGGAGGAAATGATTAAAAGAATGATGCAAATGGATTTTGCTTCTTTAAGTAATGCGCCTGAAATGAATTCGTACTACTAACTTAATATATCCCATAACATTAAAAAATATCTAATTATAATAATCAAATATATTTTTCTTTTGAATTATATATTAATCATAAAAATAAGAAAACTAAAATCATTCCAAAACCAAATAGATTCATTGAAAATGTGAAAGGTAAGAAGATTTTCTATAATATTTAATCCTATTCTTACCTTAACATATGGAACAATAGTATCTCGTAAAGATTTTTCAGTATTTGGATCTATTTCAGAATCAATAAGTTCAATAAACTTAACCCTTAAAGTCAATTATACTGAATTACCAGTATAACTAGCATAACTATTTATTATAAATAGATAATACTTTATAGGTATATTAGTTACATTGGCCGAGATAATAGTATTCTAAAGATCTCCAACAAATCCAGCCTTTTAGTAAATAATAGTTAATTATTATTCTATAGGTAGAGTACAAGATGATGTAACATTTTCTATTTATGTTGTATTTATTTATATCCATTCACCAGTTCTGTTATTACTTGATGAACCCCATTTTCCAATGTAATAAAAACTACCAGTGTTATCTTTAAAACTCTTCATTATTTCATAGTTGACACCACTAGAACAGTATGTACCTAAACTAACGGTTGCTTCAAGTGAACAACTTAATACAAGCTAATTTAATTAATATGTTACATCTTCTCCAAAATTTATAACTTTATATAACTTATTATTATAATCTGCTGCTCCAGTACTGCAATAACCATTGGTTTACCAAGCATAAACTCTTAATTCTTTATACCAAATAAGATTAAAACCATCTCCATTAGATTTACCAACCATTAAAGGTTTTCCTTTGATATATCCTGGATTACCAGAATAATATCCTTAAGGTAATAAAGATGTAGGATTAATATATTGAGGATTAGTAACTAAAGTAAAAAGTATGCTTCCTGCACTTACAATATCAAAGCTTTTGTAATCAGGTGTTAAAGTTTGAGTATCTTCAATATTGGCAAATACACCTGCATAAGGTAATCTTTAGACTGCACTACACATTATATCATTAATTTAATTGAAATGATATTTGTCATCAAAAACATTTTATTTATTGACTAGATCGCCACATTCTGGATAAAAGTAATCAGTTTCTGAATTTGAATTCAAACATATTCCTAAAATTGTCCATTCTTCTATAAAAGTTTCTGAGCATCTAACATCACAACAACATTATGAATCACATATGTTAATAATAAGATCACACATACATGCTCCTTTATTTGGATCTAATATTGAATTTGATAAATGAACCTGAATAAATTCTAGTACTTCTAATTTAAATGTTTTCAGCAACAGTATTAGTTGCATTCTCATCTACAACAGGGACTTAAATAGTTTTAGTAAACTACGAATATACATAAATTATGAACGATGCAAATATTAAATACATAAATATTAATATCAAATTTATTTCAATATTTTTTCTTCAAGTTTTAGATAATTATTCATAAAAATCAGCATTTGATTACAAAAATTCTCCTTTAATGTCATAATTAAATATTTTCAATATATTTGGATATACAATAGTGATGTACCAGCATTAAATAAAAATAGCTGGAATAAACTTAAATTAATTAAAATATTACTATTAGAAAAGCTGTTATATAAATATTATATGTTTAGATTATCAATAATGGTAAAGGTAATAATAATGGTAAATAGAAAAATAATCTACATATCTTAAAAGTTAAATTCTTTTAATTCATTGAACTAAAGTATTCCAATTAATTAAAACTTCCTTAACCAAAAAAACATCCTTATATGAATGAAAATATAAAGGAGAATAATGTCCCATTTAAAAAACAAGCATTATATAAAACTTTTGTATGATCTTTTGTGTAATATCCAATCTCTTTATGTTTACATTAAGTAATTTTATACAACCATTTATTAACTTCTTCTTCATTTTAATTAAACACTTTTCTGTTCAATTCCAATAATGTAATATCCATCAAAATTACAACAATGAACATAGCTGAAATTGAAACAGACATTCTTTAAAATCTCACATTATCTTCCGTGCTCATTTGCAATTGATTTTTAATGTACCTTTAATTATCAAGAATTAGTACTATAATAAGAATCGATGACAATAAATCTGATAATTAAAAACTATATAAAGTCCATATATCCATCCCAAAGAAACTTATCCTATTGTATGTACTCCCAAAAATACTCTTGATAATCCAGTCATAATTATGCATAAAAATGCTAAGATATTAAGAAATATCACTAATCCTTTTTTATTTTATGGCTCATCTTTATTACTTTTCTCCTAATTATCAGAAACTTTGACTTTGTTAAATATGAAAGTGGATGGATAAAATATAAATAGGTATGAGTAATATATAATGACTGAAGTTTAAGCATGACCAGATGGTTTACCAAATTCCATATTACATCCAATACTGAAATATCATAATTATTCTATATACCCTTCTATTTCATCTTCAACCCAATATGGTCTAGGTTAATGATATGCATTTTTCAATAGACCATTACTTGTAAATCCAAACATGCATAAAAAGATGTATAAAATAGATTCTATCTTTTTGCTTGATAACATAAATTATAATCCTCCCAATAACATAGGTAGTTGAATTACATATGAAAAAAATTAAAATATCAATTTTTCTCCTGGAAATGTGTTATTCTGTAATAGTACTGTAAAATCAATGTTTATCTTCCAAAAATAATCATTAAAGATAATATCCAATGTTAGATAGGAAATTAGTGCCAAAGTTGAAATGATTAAAAATTTCATATTAAAAATTTATGGATTACAATCGAAACGATATCATCACTCAAGAGCTAAAAGCAAAGTTTGATCTAGATGTTCAGTACTTCATTTAAACTACTTAATAGAATTAAAGACCCATAATCACGTCTCTTTCTTAAAGGATATTTTAAATCAGATTCTGAAATACATTCTTCCCGATTTGATAAAGATGACATTATGTTAGCTCTGGGATGCTCTAATGGATTAGTCTGTGTTTATGATCTCACCAGAAGTATTAATATATACAATCTAAGGTGAAAAGACAGCATTTTATACATATCTCAGTTCTAAATCAAATATGAAATTGCCATGCACTTCTCTTAGGTTTAATATTCAACTATAAATAGATGGTTTTCAAGTGAAAAATCTACCAAAATGAGACAAGTCTTGATTTCAGCAAATACTGATGGTATAAAGATATATCTAAATTAGGTACCATAATGTATAAAAATGTGAGAACTGATTCTACTATCTATTAATTTAAAGAAGAAGATGACAATGAAGTGTATTGCATAGATGCTTTAAAAAACTAATTAGCAACTTGTGGAAAGGATTGTAAAGTAATGGGCATTTTTGTAATTTTAGGTTAGAGTGTATGATATTGAGGCATAAACATTATAAGCCACTTTAGAAGCCATATAATGGGTTTAACCTGGCCATAATAATAGATTATTCAGTGTTAAAATTGTACCTTATGATAAAAATTTAGTTATCAGTGGAGGTTGGGACTAGAATATAGTTATATGGGTAGTTTTGTAAATGATATTAAAAGGATTTGAGACAAAAATCCTAGGCTGGATGTATAGTAGGTCCAAAAATTGCAGGTGATGCCATCGATATTAGAGAAGGTACAATATTAACAGGGGCAAACAGAATGAGTGAACAATTATAAATATGGGATTTGGGTACTATGAAATTGATTGAAAATATAAAATGGGATGAGAAAGTAGATGCAGCTGGGGCATTTATATATGGATCTTAATTTGGAAAAGGAAGAGGATATTGTGTAGGAGGTGTTGCTCATGGAACAAATGAATTTAAAATGTTTGATAGAATAAAGGGATCTTATAAGGAAGCCATGTAATTAGGTGGATTTAAAAAAGGTTTTTATTTGTTATAATAAAATTCAGGACTATATACAATGGATTTTGCAAATACATCAAATAAGTGTGTAATTGGAGGAGGAGATGGTATATGCTTGATGTTAGCAATTGTTCCTAATAAGGATCAATGACGAGTGATTTGATTATTATATTAATCTATATCAAAAGAAATTGTTTAAAATAAAAAAATTAATGAATTACAGAACAATTAAGTAATTGACTATTATGCCAAGATTTTATCATCAATAAGAGATATTAAAGCCATCAAAGAAATTTACACTTAAGCCTAAACCTTATTGTGAAACATTACATTTTTAGAGAGAAGTAAATATTATTTAGAATGTATTTAAAGAGAAATAAAAGTAGACTAGAATGGTTATTTGGAACAATTTTTGCATTATTCTATTTTATGAATATCCATGGAAAAGAATTTATTTATTTTCCATGGTTTTAGCCATCAAAACCAGAATAATTGTGATTGGAATTTAAATAAAATAATTATAAATTATATGTATATTCTTAATATGTTCAAATATTGTTAATTTTCATAAATACACTTATAAATTAGTGAATTGATTATTTAATCTTAAATTTGCTCTACTTAAACTTTGACGAGAAATTGTAGATCTATGAATTTCATTTGATTCTGTTTTAATAATAGATTTAACATCATGACTTAATCTTGGTAATTATCGTGGAGTATATATAGTAAAGTTATTCATCATTGAATATCTATTTAATGGTCTTGAAGTCATAATTGGTGATACACATATATGTTCCTATTATGGAATACATTTAACATCTAATTTTAATGATATCTTAGTTTTTTGAGATTCTCGTTTTTAAGCATTAGTAAAAAAAGGATGTTATTTAGCTGATAATATTGATATTCTATTTTCTGGTTATGAGTCTAACATCTTTTTCATCAAAGATAATGCTTCTGAACTACAATCAATGTCATCATAATTAATATCACCTATTTCATTCAATTTAATAGTTTATTAATTATTCTTACCAATAAATGGTCTTCTACCAGATAATAATATATATAATAGAACACCAATACTGTAAATATCTACCTTATAATCATATGGTTATCCACGGAGTATTTCAGGAGCTACATATCCTGGTGTACCACACCTACGATATAAATAGTTTCCATCAAATTTATAAAAATCTGCCAAACCAAAATCTCCTATCACTATATCATTTAAATTGTTTTTTTATCTTAATATTAAATTTTCTGGTTTTATATCTCTGTGAAGCACTCCTTAAGAATGCATATACTAGATTCCATTCAATAAATTTTATATTATCTAAGAAATTTTCAATTCACTTAATTTCTCACTTCTCTCTAAGTATTCATGTAAATCTCCCCCTTTTAATAATTCTTAAACAAAATATATGTAACTTGAATTTTCAAAGACTTCATAAATAGTCAATAATTATTTATGATTCATTAAACGAAGTATCTACATTTCTTTTATTAAATTTTTCTTGTCTTTCTCATTATAAATATGTCGCTTTTCAAAACATTTCACTGCATATTCATTCTAAGTGAATTTACACTCTGCCAAATAAATCTAAAAATAAAAATAAATTTATTACTGTAGCAAATGTTCCCTTTGCTATCATTTTCTTTATTGTATATCTCTAAGTGAAATTAAATTAGATACTAGTCTTCTTCAGTTGATCAAATATTGATTTTATTTTACCAAAAAACTCAAAAGTATAATTTCCTTTGGTTATTCTTACTCCTTAATCGTTATTAAAATCACTTGTTATTAATTCTAATCCAGCATTTTCCACGTTTGTACTATACAATCTCTATTTATTATAAATCTATTATTTTACATCATCCTATTCCATTATAAGGTTTTTCTTATTCAATCTCAGATTGCAAGGAATAGTTTCAAAAGGAGTCTAAATATAGTAGAGATCTTCCATTAAATATTTTTGGGTCTTATCAATTTTAGTGTTATCCCAAAACTAAGTACATTGTTAAGAGAAATAAGATTTAAAGCAATATTTTTGATTCATAGCTAAATTTAATGATTTGTTTGTTTGATGATTTTTGTTAAATGATAATTATTTATATCAAAAAATTATTAGTCTGCCTCTTTTACTACTGCCTATCCATAATATATAATAGATATAAATGATATATCTCAATTTATTAATCAAATTTCACTATTTTAATCAATGTATTTTATTGAGAAATACAAATTATAAATATTTATATTACTTTTCAAATTCGTGTAATCTAATTTAATTTTATTTTAAATATTAATATAATATAAAAATGAAAATTGTTGATAGATCAATTATTTTTTACATTTGAAGAGTTGTAAAATAATTGAATAACTAGTCTCAAAGTATTATAATAAAACTTAATAGAAGAAAAAAGAATTTGTTAAAAAAATACAATTTTTTTTATAATATATATATATATCATGAACTATATTAATTAATTAAAGGATTTCATTTAGTAATCATATAAAAAGATTAAAATTTATGAACATCTTAATTTCTTATAAAAAGTATTCTAGATTATTATCTTTTAAAGCATCAAATCAAGTATATTATTTCTAATAACTTTTATTTATACCATTTTGAAAAAGATGATATTGTTATTCATGTTGTTTTAGATGATATTTACAAATTAACATTAATTTTAAAGTCATCTTTATTTTTATTGAATCTTAAAATATCAATTTTTACATATAATTTAAACTAAACTTTAAAAGAAGGAAATTTATAATAATAAAATGGTATGTTTTTTTTCTATACATTGAATAGAATGAATTAAATTAATATCCACTTGTATATAACTCATTAGATAAAACTCTAAGAATCATATGAAAAGATATTTATATTATAATGAATCAGAGATTAATGCATATATTTAATTTAAGTTTACTAAATGCAGACTCCTGACTAAAAGAAAAAGAAACCATAAATTGCTAAAATTAGTCTTTAATCAGAACAAGCTTAACCTGTTCTTAATCTGTATTTGGCATAATAAAAATATTAGTTCCGAGAATGGATCTCTCATTCTCAAAGAATTTCGTCTAAATGGCTAGGGGCTTAAAGTTACTCATACACATGATTAATGGGACTTTTCACTCTCTGAATCTACTCATAATTTATCACTTGAAAATTTAGTAACAGTTGGCCATTTAGGTCAGGGTGCATCAGGTCAAGTTGAAAAAGTTTAAGATTAAGTCACAGGACAATATTTTGCAATGAAAGTATTAACAAATAAGTATTTAGAAAATTCCTGTTGCCTCTGATCCACAATATTTGAAATAACTTTCAGATGAATTAAAACTAGCTTTAGAATGCAGTTCACCTTATGTTGTCAAATGTTATGGTGCATTCTATAAATCTGGAACCTTACATATAATTCTTGAATATATGGATGTTGGGTCTATAGATTCTTTGATAAAGAAAGTAAAAAATCTGAATGAACCTGTTATGGCTTTGCTTTTATATCAAATTCTTTTAGGAATTGATTATTTACATAACAAAAAGAAAATCATTCATAGAGACATTAAACCATAAAATATATTAGTAAATAAGAAAGGTGAGATCAAGATAACTGATTTTGGTATCTCAGGTACTATAGAAACAATGCAATAAAGAAAAACATATGTTGGAACTGCTGTTTATATGTCAGTATGAATTTAATTATAAATTAGCCTGAAAGATTGAATGGTGAAATGTATGGAAAAGATTCTGATATATGGTCAATTGGTATATTAACAGCAGAATGTTTGATGGGTAAACATCCCATCTAGAAAACATAATTTATAGATATGGTTAATGAAATTAGTTCATTTAACATAGAAAATGTTTAAGCTAAGATTTCAGCAGAAATGAAAAATTTCATATCTATGTGGTAATCATATTAATTAATTTAAAGTGTAAAATTAAAACCAGAAGAGAGAGCAACAGTAGATTAATTGTTAAATCATAAAATCATTTTAAGAACAAAAAAAATTGATAAAATGGTTTTCTTATAATGGTTGAATTAAGTGACATAATTATGAATTATAATTAATCTTATGTTATATACATTATTTATATATTTAATTTATATTTAGAGAAATTGAAAATTAATTAAAATTAACTAGCATTTAATAACCTATATTAAAGACTCTTTACTTGATATATTATATTTTTTCTTTTCAATATTAATATTAGATAATATCTTTCCTTTTTTTACTTAATTCACAAAGTGTAAGTATTTATAATTGTAATAAATATTTTAAATTATTATATCTATAATTTCAATTAATAAGAGCAGAATTTAATTCTTTTATAACATCCTCCAATTTAGGTCTCTATTTTGGGTCAGAATTAATCATTTTAGAAATTATTTCATACATTGTTACACTATATGTACTCTTATTATCCTTACTATTTAATTTTTCAAGCTATTATTGTAAAGATTAATATCTTTTTTCTTTATTCTTAGTACAATGAAAATTAACTTGAATAATAAATTCCAAGAAACATATTCCCATTTGCCAAATATCATAACTTTCTTCATAAGGTTATTCTTCCATATTTTCTGGAGGTAAATAATTTTAAGTTCCTTTAAAATTATCTTTACCTCCTTTTTCTATGTTTGATTCATAATCTATTATTGACCATTAAAGTTGATCAATTTGATTTATATTTTGATCTGTAATTTCATGTAATTTATCAGTATAAATTTCTTTTGCCGTAACCATAATATTTTCTGGTTTTAAATCTCTATGAATTTTTTTTCTGTCATGTAATTTTTTTAATTCAGAAGCTAATTTACTACAAATTTTCATTTTTTCTTTTATATTTAAAATACCATTAGCTCTTACTGAATACTCTTTTAAAGTTAAACTAAATTTTTATAAGTACAAAAGTGTTGAATTTTATAACTCCAAATTGTAACAATATAATTATTTTATGTTATCATTATTGTTTTCTATTTTCAATTTTTTATAATTTTCCACCTCCATTAATCTATTTTTTTAATTTTCCACGCATACCCACTTTATAAGGATATAATCTTGTTTAGTCTGAATGTAATATGGAACTTTAACAGAAAAAATATGTGTAAAATTTTAATTATAGCATTTTGAGTCTTTAATCTCTAGTCCATAGATAGATTATAGAATTTATTGTCTCCAATCATCTTTTTTTAAATTAATATTTAATTTTTCTAAAATATAATATAGTATTTCTTCAAAGCTCTTTAATTTATTAATATTAAAAGGATTTAACCCAAACTTAATCACTTAGAATATTTACAATAAATACAAATATCTTTCAATAAATTTAGAAGGTCATCTTCTTATTTTGGTCTGTCTTCTTTTATAAGAGTTTGTTATATAAAAATATCTAATTTGTCTAATTATCCACAATCATTTACAAATAAGTCTTCCATTCTTATTTTTTCAAGTTTCTATCCTTCAAAATGAATTGTATTTAAAACTACTTAAAAAAACTTTGGTACTTATAGTTAATTAATACATCAACTTTAAAATTAAAGTCATAGGTAATAGTTCATTTTATTAAACCAATTAAATCAATGGTATAAATTTAATATTAGGCAATTCTTTGTGAAGTATTCCTTTCTAGAAAATCATTATATTATTTTCTATTAAACTTTAAAAGCTATTAAAAAAATATATAAACAAAATTTAATTTATTATCCTTATCATGATAATCTCCTATCTAAACTCTCATAATGCAATCAAATATTCTTTTCTTATCTATTTATAGATTGAAAAAATATAGTTTATCATTAAAAAGATGATCTTTAAAATTAATTAATATATTGAGTAATATTAGAATTGATAGAATAATTAAAAATTAATACAGAAATAATTATAATAAATAATAAATGATTGATCTAATAAATAAAAGCCTCATACATAGTGTGATAATATAAATCAAAGTATAAATTCTCGTAATAAAATTAATTAAAATAACAAATAATAAAACAATAATATTATATTCTAATTTATTTTAATAAAAATCTCTTAAAAAATTCATTCCAAATTTCCCCTTCTTTATATAAATTCTAATAATTTTTCTCTTGCCTATTTTTCAGATGTTGCTCTAATTTTTTTATGTGTTTAATAAGTATTCTTATCTCTCAATACATAAAGATTTTAACCATCAATTGGATCCTCATCTGTCATTGTAATTTCAAATTCAGATTGGTTTTTACCTTTAAAGTATCTAAATAAACGATCTTGAGGATTTTTAAATATTTAATTTGGTGATGTAAAGTGCTACATAAAGGGCATTAATAATTTAAGAACAATTTATTTAGTTAGATCATAATTAAATGAAGAATCTACAAATATAGCACCAACAATAGATTCGAATACATCACCTAAAATTTTAATTATTGGTTCTTAAGTATACATCTTACTTATATCATCATAATATTCATTATACATAGACTTAATTTTATTTAGTGTTATGTTATTTTCATGATTTGTCTTATGTAAATCTTGATGTAATAAAAACTAATCCAATTTATAATGAATGGTTACTAAAGCAAGAGCTTTATTGCAAACAACACATTACTTTTTTAGAGCCAAATCTTCAACTTTTTCTCTATTAAATTCTTTGACTAACCATTCCACTACAACTGAATCTATAACTGCATCCCCTAAAAATTCTAATCTTTCATAACTCATATCAATTCTATTTTAATTTTAATTTAATTGGGCTAGTAAAGATTCATTAATTTCATTATTATTTAAATTTTTAACCTAAATTAAATTTTATTAACTTTTAAATTCAACAAAATTGCATTTGCACTTTTTATAATTGTAATAATCTAATACATTAAGAAAAGATTAATAAGTAATAGCTTAAATTAATAATGAGTGATCATTGAATTTATATCCAATAATATTTTCTAAGGAATTTAAATTCTTTTGAAGTAACCCTTTTGCTTATTAGGTTTTTGAATTTTTTATTTTTACTTATGCTAAAGGGTATTTTAAAACTCCTATTCTATTTAAGAAAAATTAACAAGCATTAATATCCTCCTCATATTAAATCAAAAATGCTCCATTTAATGCTTCAACTACATCTGAATGAACTTTTTCAGGAATAGGCTAATAGTTTTTTGGTAATTCATTTATAACTTCACCATTTTGTGTATATTAATATTTTGCATTCTCTTTGTTCTCTTTTTATTTTTCATTTTATATTTCTGATTAATCTATATTAAGTTTATTTTCATTGAGAATAAATTCTGGTGGATTATAAATGAAGTTTGTACATTTAATACAATTAAAAAATCTATGAATAATTGAAAATTTCCTTAAATTTTCATTAGAAACTATCCTAGCTCTTTCTAAATGCAATATATGTTCATTAGCAAATGGTAATTCAATGAATACTTAAATACTTGAAAGTAATTTTAAATTAGCATCTCCTAAGAATTCTAATACTTAATAATTTGTTTAATCATCTTAATTAAATTATTGTGATTGAAAACATCTATGTAATAATTCATTATCTATATCATGGATAGAATAATTAAATTTTCTTTATTTTAATTATTTTGAATGATCTTATATTTTATTTCCCAAATTTAATTCTAAATTTTTATTAAATTAATTCAATAAGTCTTAAAATTCTGAAGAATTATCAACAAAAAAATTAATTATTTCTTATGAATCTTAAATCATTATATTATCCATAACTTGATAGGTTTATGGTTGATAATTGTTTAAATCTTATTTTCCAGAATCAAGTAACTTAGAAACCTAAGATTTAAAAGTAAAAGACACAAGAAAATCTCGTAATTATTATAATATATGTTTAGTTAATATTCTTAATTCTAATGCAGTTAATATATCTAATGGAAATTGATAAAATTCTCCTGAAAAATATTAATATTTAGGATCCTTTAAATCATTTTTCGTTATTATTTCTCTATTTTAATTAATATGATTTTTAAGGAATTTCCTTAAAATAGGGGCAGCATATAATTCTTTTTCATTTTCAAAATTAAAATTTATAACTAACTTTAAACTTCTTTAAACATTATTTAATTCTCTCATATAATCATTTTTTCTATCAATATCAAATCTTTCTAAGTTTTATTCAATAGGCCTTTTTGAATCAAAAACAACTTTGCTGAAAAAATATCTATCTGTTATATTTTAACCAACAATTCCTTTAAAATTTGATTCCTTTAATATCTTAATTAGATTTCCATCATATTCTAGACTATTCCAAGTTTCAAACCTAATACTCATATCACTCAATCTTTATCTTTCCTCTTTAATCTATTAATTCATTTTTTTCTTTTATCTTATAGAATTCACAAAATTAAACACTTTTTTCATCTTTTCAATGTATTTTACAATATTATTAGAATCTTCATAATTAATATTGACTTCTTCAGTATTTAAGTCTTCATTCAATAAGACTAAAAGAGCATATTATTTTTCATCATCAATTAAATTGAATATCTATTTTTTACCTTATTAAAATAGAGCAGATTCTGATGAAATTTATTCATTTGTAACAAATGAATAAAATGATAAATCCCAGTCAAATGAAGTTGCTATCAAAAATTAATGTACTTAATTTAATAATTAATATTAATCTTGAGTTAGTGTAATCTTTTTAACAAATTCTAATCTTATCTCTTTTCCTCCTGAAAATTGATATCTATTACAGAATTAAGAATTATGAATAAATCCAATAACTTATTATTTATCTTTTTCATTTTTTATATGTTATGGTAACTCATAAAATTTAAATTTGTATAAATATAAGGGTTATTGAATTGAAATTTCAAATACATCCATTTTGTAAGGGAATAATTTTTATCTTAAATCAACTTAAGGTTCTACTTTTATTACAACACTATCTTATATAACTTAACAATAATTTGGATCTTTTAAATTTGGATCATTTTTTCTATCAGATACAAAATGATATGCACTTTTTACAGGTCTTAAATCTTCAGTTAACATTTATTTTTATCTCAAAATTAAAACTGCTTTAAATGCAGCTGATCTTTTAGCATCATCTTTTGTTTTCATTAAATCTCCTATAAAATATCTATCAGAAAAATTCTTTGGTAAAATTAAAACACATTTCCAACCCAAAGATGGAAATTCAGAAAATTGATAAAATATTCCTCTAATATAGTTTTCATCTTTTCCTCTATATTCAAAATTCTTAAAAATATTAGCATAATTAGAAAGTATTTCTACAGCCCAATTCACATTTACTAAAGCAAGACTATCTTTAACCAATCTACAATCATAATATTCATCTTCAAACTTAGGTTTATTATTTATTTGCCTATTTAAAGTATTTATTCTATTTTTAAGATCAGAATAGTAGTTTTTCTAATCTAATTCTAGTATCTTTCTTTCTACACATTCTTTTGTCTTAAATAATACTGTTTCTTTTGCCTTCCACATTAATTCTTTTTCTTTTGGTAAAATAAAATAAAATACAGAGTCATCTGCTCTTGCTCTTCCTATTTTTTAAATAAACTATTTTAAAGTTGTAATTTCTCCAAATACAAAAACATAATGACAATCTGGTACATCAAATCCTTCTTCAGTTACATTAGTTGAAACTAAAATATTGCAACAATCTTTAAATTTTTTAATTGATTCTTTTTAAGTTTTTGAGGTTGTTAATGTTTGATCTAATTTTTTACCATAATTTTTTACTCCTTCTAAAACTTCTTATAATTAAGATCTTAATTTCATTTTAGTTTAATTTTCATCATCATCATTATTTAATTCTATATCTTCTTCTTATCCTTCTATATTGAATTAATCATATATTTTTTCTGCTATTTCTAAAGCATTAATATTAGGAGTTAAAGATATATATTTATTCCTATCTTTTAAAATTGTCATTTACAATGCACCAGATGTCAAATTACCAGTACCTACTACATATGTAGAATCCAATTAATGCAATTCTAATAATTAATGTAAATATTTGGCTGTAATCTTATGATCAACAAATATTAAAAGTTTTTTATTATCTTAATTTTTTTTCATTATTTCTAATACTTAATTTCTTAAAGCTATAAATTTTTGTGATAAATTTTGATCTTCTAAAACTGTTAAAGGTTGTAAAATTTCTAAATAATCTTGAAATAATTTTTTTATTTTATCTAATAATTTCTAATCTTTTTCAACTTTATATCTAACCTTTATTTCTCCAAAATTTACAAATAATTATTTAATAAATTAATAAAATGAGAAAGCACCTAAATCCTTATAAAGAATAAATCCATACAAAGTAACAAAATGATATAACTAATCTACTAGTAATTAAATACTATATGAAATCTTATCTTTTTCTTTTTCAAAATATAATTCTAACCATAATCTAAAAAAATCACTTAATGATTAATGATTAGGAATGTAAATAGTTGAAATACCAAATTACTAATCATATGTTATGACTTTTGATTAATAATCTTTTTATTATTTTTCATTACTATAAACATATCTAGAATGTAAATTTAATGCTAGTTGAAGAATGTCTACTTCAATTTATAAACTTGAAACAGTGCTTAATTTGACTGCTTTTTCTATGTCAATAGATGTGACAGGAGTGGCAGTTAAACCTAAAAATTTGACTTTATCACTATGTTATATTTATTTTCTAACTTTTTCACATTCATAGAATTCTTTAATTATCAATCTATAGGAATGTCTTTTTGTACAATGATGACATTCATCAAATATTATTAATGAGAAATAAGGTAATTTCAAATATCCTCTTCTTAATGCATTCAATAACATTTAACCCATCATTACAAAAATACCTGATTCATTAATAATTTCATCCCATCTTTCTTTTTTCCAACCTTGAATATCCATATCATCATCACTTGCCAGAACAGACTTAGAATGGATTGGAACAATGAATTTTCTTTTAAAAGAATTGTCCTTAAATTATTAAATATCAAAATAGTAGTCTTATGGAGCTAATTTTTTTTTTTCCATTTCTTAAGCAACAGAAAATATTTAATCTCTAATTAATTCACATTGTTATTCAACTAATTAAATAGTATTTGCTAAAAATACTAATTTTGTATTCTAAAATCCATTCTTTTTTATATAATGATAAATATGCATTAAAGCAATATGAGTCTTACCTCTTCCAGTTTCTAGAAATATTATTGAATTTTTTTCTTTTGATCTTTAAAACAGATCTATTTAATAATCTCTCAATTCAAATATCTCTTCTTTATTTTAAAATTATTCATCCTCAGGAATATTATATTCCTCTTCTTTTATTTCATCTAATTATTAAGAAAATAAATCCTACAAGTCATTAATTATTTCACTTTAATCTTAAATTTGTTTTACTTCTTATTATTCAGAAATAGATGACACATCTGACATATCAAACATGTCTCCCTTTTATGAATCTAGATTATCATAAAAAGAAGTAATATCATAATTCATTAATTATTTTTTTAATTTTAATGCAAATTATATAAATCTCTTTCTAAAATCAATTATTCTGAATAATAGTACATTAATTTTTATATCAATTCAATCATTTATAAAATATCATAAAAAACATAGTGTATTCATACAAGAAATAAATTTTATAGATATATTTAATAATATTTAAAATTAATATTAAAAAATAGAAATTCTTAAGTTAATCTCATTGAAGCGGTTCATTTTCATTATTATTTTTCTCTATCTATCACCAATATAAATAAAATTTACTTTATCAATCAATGAGATTAGTTTCTTCTATTAAAATAGTATTGTATATTTTTTATTATCTATCTGAATAAAATAAACAAAGACAATAACAAAAAGCAATTCCAATCCAAATATTTATAATAAAGACGATATCACTGCTGATACTATACATTTACCGAATATATCATCTTTTGAATCGATGAAAACAATTAAAATTACTACCAAATTGGCAATAACATAACCAAAATAATACATACTTCTTGATCTGGGATCAGAAAATGCAAATTTTACAGTTTTTGGATATTTTTTTTCTAATTTCTTGAATATACATTCATCATAAAAGCAATAAAAAGTATAATAAAAGACTTTTTAAAACACAAGTCCTCCAAAACAAATTATTGGTATGTATAGATATTTATATATGTAGTCTTACATAGTATCCTAAATATTATTTTGTTATTCATATAATGATTAAGCAACTTCTTAATTTGTGAAAATAACAAATATATATATTACTTTTTCCAAACAAATCTAAATAATTTGATTACTTTACTAATTTGTGATTCTTTTTAGTTTCTAAAGGCCAAAAGACAAATGCTTCTAAAATCTATTCTACACTAGAATTAGTTGCAGTTTCTTTCTGATCCTAAATCTTTTTATTGAAACTCTTAGTATTTGTTTTCAAGATCAAGAAGATTGAGGATAAATAAAGAAAAGCAATTACACCAAAGTTAATCCCAGCATAATCTAAATCCTCCATTAATTGTATTTATTGAAATATAATAATAAAATAAATCTAATATACAATAAATCTTTAGATTTATAAAAAGTAACAAGCTAAATTTTATCGGTATTTTTACTATATATTTAGAGTATTGATAACAAAGAATAGAGATTATTAAACCAAAAAGATAATATTATGATGATTGATAAATATTGATTATAAAAGAAGTATTAATGCATCATCATATTATATTTAATTTAGCAATATTTAATATATGATTATAATAACAAAACTATATGAAAATTGAATAAGTTAACTATTTTCTCATAACATTTAATAAATATTTAAGATTATAATAAGTACAACTATACTTTTAAATAAGAGCAGTATAATTTATTCTATATAATTCCAAAGTTATCAAATATATCTTATTTATACATAATTAGAGTGTATTTTATTATCTTCAAAATATTAAATAAAAATTAGAATATTATATAATTAAAATTCTATTATATGAATTACTTAAAAGAAGGGAAGATGTTATCGAAAATTAATATTTGGAATATTGAAAAGAGATAATATAATATTTAAAGTAAGTAGTCTTTAATATAGCTGATGAATCTTAATAAAAGAAGAAAAACCCTAATTTTTTACTCTTTAATAGTTAAATTCTAAAAAATTAATATTATTTATTTAATAACTCATTTTTTAATTTCAAAAATGATTTATTTTACAATGGCAGTTCTTTTGAAAATTTAATACATGAAATACTAGAAAATATTTATAAAGAGAAAAGAAATGATAAGTAAATTAAAATTTATATAAATGTTTTTTATTATAATTTTGGTAATCAACAATTTATACTTATGATTTATTTTGATCTAATTCTTCAAAATGTAAATAATCAAATAGAATAGTAAGCATTATATAATAGTGATTTATTGCATTTATTTAAATAAATTTTAATTGTCATTAAATGATTTAAATTTCAATTATAGAGATTTAAATCTATAATACATTATAATTAAAGATATAAATAAAAATTATATTTTAAAAATTGAGAGTATTAATAAACAAAAATAGAAAAATAAATAAATTTATAGATTATTTTATAAAAAGGTTTAAGTAATATTATGTATTGCATCATAATTAAAAATATATAAGAATTCAGTTTAATTAATGATAATGAAATATTAAGTTCTAGAATTATAGTTGAAAATGATAATCAATCAACTTTGGATAGGGATTAATTTTTCGAATTTAACCAGTCAAATGAAATTTGGAAAATATAAAATTTTAATCAAATTTTCGAAAAAAATCTTCTGTCTTAATTTACTTTTTCCAATGATGATTTCTAACCAACTGCTTTTTATGATTATTATTTTTAATTTAACATTTAGCGAGATCTAGGATTATTTTTGACTGATTGAACTAATGGTACTATATCCTATGATTTATTTTATCTTAAAATATTTAGGAGATTTTTAAATACCTTCCTTAACTATGATAAGATGACACACAAGGAGTATTTGGTTATAAATTAGTGTGTGCTAGCCATTCTTTGTAGACAGATTTAATTTAAGTCTCTTAAGGAGATTCATAATAAAATGAAGAACCAAAAATAACTGGTAAATTTGAACCTTTATTAGAACCAATCATTTTTCTAAAATCTTATTCTCCTTTTTATGATTCTTTTTCATCTAAATTCATTTTTAATGGGTCTGGACGAAATGGAGGTTTAACTTTTTTTAGTATTAGTTGTTTAAAATCTATTTAAGCAAAGAAAGGATGTTAAAGGATCTCTTGTATACCTCCAGAAGCTCCTAATCTTTGGTTTGGATTTTTATCTAATAATGACATTAGAAGACTTTTCACTTCTTTTGATAAATTTAACTTAAATTAAATGAAAAATATTACATCATTAGGAAAAGTTAATTTAGAATAGAGTATATCTTAATATATTTAATTTGTATCTGTTGAATAATATGGTGGTAATCCAGTAAGTAATTCATAAAGCAATGCACCTAAACAATAAAAATCAACAGTTTAGGAGTGTCCTTATTTTAATAGCATTTCAGGAGCCATATATTCTGGAGATCCACAAAAACTATATGCTTTTTCTTCTCTACTTATTTCTGGTTTACTTAAACCAAAGTCTGCAATTCTAACATGTCCTTCTATATCCATTAAGATGTTTTCAGGTTTAATATCTCTATATAATATATTTAACGAATGAATTTCATGTAAACCCTTAAAAATCAATAGAAATTAATACCAAACAAATTTCAGATATATAAAAGCATGCTTATTCTTCACTCATTCTTTTGATTTGTTTCAATTAGTAAAATAGTTCTCCACCTTAACAAAACTCTAGAACAAAAACTACGAATTGTCTGGATTCGAATGCATATGATAAATGTAATAAGAATGGACTGTTAAGGAAAGTCATAATATTTCGTTCATTCAATACAATTTATTATTTTTTCTTAGCTATAATGAATTCTTTATCAATAAGTTTGAGAGCATAAAATTTTCCTGTATCTTTTTTTCTAACCAAATAAACTAAAGAGAAACCTCCTACACCAATGTTTTTCAAAAAAATAAAATCCTTTAAACTAACTTTAGGTTCTGATTATGTTTATAAAAAGAATGCTTCTAATTTTAAACCAGAATTCATAAAGACATTGAATTGTAAATCTGGTTGAGCTATATAATAGTCAATTGGTATTGAATGTTATTATGAAATGAAGCTAACAATTTAATTGACTGATGGTTTATCCTTAAGATTGGCATAACATTCTTATGGATTTGCAAATGTAGTATCATGTAATCTTTACAATATTTAAAACCAAATAGATCTCATATTAATACTAATTTAATATCATTTTAATCTTACTGAGCTTCAAAATAAAAGTAATAATCTTAGTTGCCAAATTTTACAACAACATTATGATGTTTAACTTATTGCATTTATTCATCTTGACCTAAGCTTTTTGCCTTATTTAATAATGATGCAGGATTTCCCATATCTGTTTTTATAGTTCTTTTAACTGATTCTATGGCTTCAATAGTTATAGATTAACCAGAACGCTTTTGCTAACCACCTTAATTACTAACGAAATTGGCATTAATAAAGAATTAGTTAGTTTAGGCAATTGAATTCTGAGATGATCGTTAACTTTATTTACTCAATTATTGTTTCATTCTCACCTCATTCTTTTTTTGTTTATACAAATAAAATTTTTCTATTGCATTGTCTGGAATTTAATCAATTGATATAGGTTTAGTTTAAGAAGTTTTACGATGACTAGGAGTAGTATGAAATTAATTAAATTGATTTTTTCTTGAAAAAGAATCTTAAGTTCCTATCCTTAACATACCTTAATTTGACATCTAATATTAAGTTTAATTAATATAATTATAAATATTCTCAATTATAATCTATAATTATTATTTGTTTAAATTATATCATCCTAAATACTAATTATTAGATATTTCAACAGAAATAAAATGAATTTAAATTAATTGATAAATGAAATGAATTATCTATAAATTACTTCAATTATCCATTATAAAGTACTACTTTTATTTCTTATTTGAGAAATGAATGTAAATTAAAAAGATATTTGATACAAAATAATTAATTCATTTTTATGTGTTTTTGTATGAAAAACGATTATTTATTTGAAGTGAAAGAAGACAATTTTATAATCTTAATATCTTTAAATTTTTATTGAAAATAATGAAACCTAAATTCAATTTTTATAAAAATAGAAAGACTTCTTATTCAAATCAATAACTATTTTTTAAAGAATAATTGTATTAAAATATACTTTATTTAAAAAATATGAGATTTATACAATTAAAAGAGAAAACCAATTGGAAAACTTTTAATTTGAAGTATATTAATTTTTTTAAAACGATAATAATGTTCATGAATCAATCTTAGGCAGGAATATCTTATTAAAATATATATTATAACAATTCAGCAATCAGAAATCTATTAATTATGAATTTAGGATGACAAACTTTAAACAGATCTATTCGTGGAACTTTTAGCTGAATATTCATCAGCCATTTTTCTCCAATATTTAGTCGATTCTATCACGACTCTGTCTACTATTGTTCTTTATTTCTTTTTTAACAAGATGTTCGGTTATGGTTATGATGAATTGTTGAGTCTTTATTACCAAAAGTTAAGCGAGTTTTCTATAATATTGTCCATTGAGTTTAATGATTTATAATTTTTATATTATTTTTATTAATATATATAGTATTAATAATGAATTATTAATAAATACAATTTACAAATAACTTAATCATTTAATTCAATTAGTTAATCCACTAAACTGAATAAACTGTATTAATTTAAGTAATTTTATTTTTTTTATAATAATATAATTATCAAAATCATAAAAAGATTATGAAATACTGTTTGAATTATAAAATAAAAATGAATAAAATTTGAAAATCAATATATCTATCTAAAAGAGAATACAACATTAAAAATTTATATATTATAATTAATTTATGGAATAGCAACCACTCAGTAATTAAAGAGTATATTCATTTTTCTAATTTTAGTAAGACTTTAATGATGACTAACTTATATAAAGAAGAGAATTGACTGCTTATGAATCATGTTTAGATTGTTGTGGTAGTTTTTCAGGATTTTTGAGAGTAACTATATTAATATAGAATTTCAAAGGCATGGCTTCCATGTGTATTTTGTTGTTGTGAAAATCCATTCTATGCAATTCAATAAAGCTCAATAGGTTTAGTAGAGAAATTTGGAAAATATCACAGGAGTCTACCACCTGGCTTAAATCAGATCAATCCATGCACAGTATATTTTTATTAAGAATTAAGGATACAGTCATACCAGTAGATTTAAGAACAAGAGTATTAGATTTGGATAGATAAATTATATTAACAAAAGACAATATATAAGTTAATATTGATACATGCATGTATTTTAGAATTATTGGTATGTAATTTAATTTAATACTCTTTTTTTTTTATATGTAGATCCTGTAAGAGCTACATATAGAGTTTCTAGATTGACATAATCAGTTAAAGATATGACATATGCAGCCTTAAGATAAGTTTGTGGAGAACATTAATTATAAGATTTATTAGAACATAGAGAAATGGTTTAAGATGCAATTGAAGCCTATCTTGATAAATCAACTGAATAGTGGGGAATTTATATTGAAGAAGTCTTTATTAAGGATATGGTTTTGACACCTTAAATGTAATCTGATTTAGCAGCTGCTGCTAAAAATAAAAGAATTGCCTAAGCAAAAGTTATATCTGCTTAAGCTGATGTAGAAAGTGCAAAATTAATGAAAGAGGCTGCTTAAGCTTTAGATAGCAAAGCAGCTATGTAGATTAGATTTTTAGAAACACTTCAACTATTATCGAAAGGTCCATCTTAGAAACTTATGTTTTTACCATTAAGTCCAGATTCCTAAGGAGCTCATAATGGATGAAAGTCTTGCTTTATTAATATAGATTTAATTTAAATATTGCAACCATTCTATAAAATATTTCAGTTATATTATTCAATAAATAAAGTATATTTTTTTCACAAAAGAGAGGTTATCATATTCATAAAAAATTAATTGTGATCACATAAAATTCTAACTCATAATTCATTAATCATTTTTCTTACATCTGCATGAGTTAGTTTTCTTGAACTTATAAGAAGTTTTGCAAGTTCCATTACATTTTAATAATGTGTAAATGAAAAATCAGAACTTTTATTTTTTACAAATTTATTAGCCCAAGAATCAAATAATGATAATACATCTTTTATTGAATCTGCCATCACAAAAGTCTTTGCATAATGATTTCTATTTTTTGGTTCTCCAGGAAATGCTATAACAAGATGTAATAAAATGATTCCAATTGCATAAAATTCATCTGCCATTTCATAATGTGAATCTTTATTATAATTAGCAGTTTAATAACCAATAGTTCCAGTTGTTATTGTATTCTAACTTTTTATAGAATTTAATTCTTCTTCAGGTAATCTTTCATCAGTGATAATTGATAATTTCTCTTCTCTTACATCTTTTCCTTAATCAAAATCTGCCAATGCAACCTAACCAGTTAATTTTAAACATTAATTACTTATAAATCTCCCTTTATATTAATTGTAACAAATATATTTTCAGGTTTTAAATCTCTATGGATTATACCTCTTTAATGAATATATTCTAATCCATCTAAAATTTAATTCAAAATTGATTTAATTTTATTTATTTTTTCTTAATTCTACATAACATTTAAATAATAATATGAAAATGTAAGTAAATCTGTAGGTTGATATTTATAACCAGGAAAAGAACAATATTCAAGTTACATATAAAGGAAATATCCATCATTAGTAGATTCTATCCACCAAGCAAATAATCTAAGGATTGATGTTAATAAATACCTAAGTATATTTGGGTGAGTTAATTTTGATAATATTTTTGCTTCTCTAATTTTTCTGATATCAGGTGTTATAGGAGTATTTGAAGCTGTTGTTGAAAAAACAGAGGAGTAATCTAGATGAGTTGCTTACAATTTACTCTAAATTATTAATTAAATATACCCTTTTGAGAGCATAAATTTAATCATCTTCTGGACGATAGACAAAAAATATAGATACTCCACTTCTTAATTCATCTTAATTGGTTTATGATAGGATTAAATAATCATTAAAGAATTTATTATTTCTTATGAAAGCAGTTCTTGGATCATATTGTTTGTGTATTGGATTTATTTATTACAATGAATCAATAGCAAAAAATGTTAAGGTTATTTTTAAAGGAATCTTTTTAAATTATAAGTTGATTTTCTTTCTATTTATTAATTCAATAATTGATTTAGATATAAAAGCATAGGCAGTAGATTTAATTTATCCTGTCGATGTTATAAAGCCAATATTAATATCTTAATAAAATATCTTTATTAATTTATCACAGGCATCTTTAAATTATTATTTGTTATCTAATTTCTATAATTGTAGAAGAATGTTTCTAATTGCCTTTTTGATTGCTTTTTCGACATTCATTAAATGTTTAAGAAATGGATCATCATTTGTAAAATCCATTCGAATTTATGAAATAATGAGCATTTATGAATACTCTTTGCATTCTACACTCTAAATAAACTCTTATCTCTTTTATAAACTATCATCCTAAATTATATGAATGTAAATTAATAATACAAGCATCTTTTAAATTAATGTTTAATCAGGTTATTGAACAACTAATTCAAATTGACGTTCTTCTTCTGTTAATTCTTCAATAACTTTTGATCCATAAAATTAATTGATAATCTAATCAATCTTGTCTTTATCACTTTTCATTATATTTTTGTGATAATATTTAATTAAATTGAATGGATTAATCCTAAGGTGTAAATGACATAGCTCATGTATTCAAAATTATTTTACTTGGTAATTCTGTCATTTATTTTAGGAAGCACTGCTGTTGGAAAATCATAGATTTTACTCAGATTTACTAAAGACTAATTTAATCTATCTTCTAATACCACAATCGGTGTAGAATTTAGTGCAAAAGTCCTAGAAATTGATAACAAAAAAATTAGAGTATAAGTATGGGACACAGCAGGTTAAGAGAAATATAGAGCCATTGCAAAAGCATATTACAAAGGTGCAGTTGGTGCTTTTCTAGTTTACGATATCACAAAAAAAAATACATTCTTGGAGGTGGATAGATGGTTGCAAGAAATCAGAGAATATTCTGATTAATAAAATCTAGTTCTTATGCTTATTGGAAATAAGGTAAATTTGTATTAGAACAATCCTAGAATGATTTAGAAGCCAATAGATAAGTGAGCAAAGAGGAAGCCATAAAGTATGCTTAATCTAAAAAGATGGGATTTTTAGAAACTTCAGCATAAACTGGACATAATATAGAATTCGCATTTAAATAGATAGCTGAAGGTCTAATTTCTTGATAATATAGAAATTTTAAGAGATATAAGTGAGACTTAAGATGATGATGAATTTGAATAAACAAAAGCTTAGTATAGTAAGAATAAGGGCCAAACTTCAAATGCTTCAGTCTTAAAGGCAGCTGATCACCAAGTGAAAAAAAAAAATAATAATTCTTCTGGAACTTGTTGTTGATTAAAAATATGGAAATTTATATAATATAAACACAATTCTAAAATAAAGTTATATTCTAATAAAATTTGATATCAGAAATCAGTATATTTTTTTGTATTTAAAAATAATATAATATTTAATAGAGTATTAAGAAAATAAAAGTTTATATTTGATTTTTATAAATCAATCCTCTAATATATTAAAATCATCATCTCTACTTTATTTAGTCTAAGTTTTTTATTTATTTGTAAGTTCAACATCTTAATCAGAGCTATTTACGAATCCTTAACTTTAATTTGAGCAAAGAGATAAAATTTATTCTTTAAAGTAAAAGGCTCCATAAATTAAAGCAATAATAAAAACAAGAGCAAGTAATGGGAATAAATTGTTTTCTTTATAACATTTAGTTTCTTTAGGAGAGTAACCAGATATACATGTTTTACATTAATCTTAATCATCATTTTAATCATATTCACAAATCAAACATGATGGATCTGTACATTTTTTACATATATCATCTTGAAGATAATAACCTTATTGACATATATTACATATATTATTAATACAAGCTTTACAATTTTTAGTTTAACATTCTTCACATTAATTAATTGAATTAATAAAATATCCTATTTTACATTATTTGCATTTACCATCTTTACTTTCATCTTCACAATGAGACTCTACACATTCATTTTCTTTTAAATAATATTTTGATTTACAACTAGTACATTATTATTTTGAATCTTTTAAAGTGCATGTTTCACAATTACCTTTACAACCACATTTTTTTTCTTCTTGAAAATATATTGAATCTTTGCATTATTCACATGAATCATCAGATTAACATAATTCACATTTTGTTATTTTACATTTTTTTTTATCACATTAACCTTTATTATTTACTATATAAGAAGTTAAACAAGTCTTGCATTTATCTTTTGATTCACATTCTTCACAATTTTCTACACAGATTTAACATTTATTATTTAAAAAATATTCATTAGCATTTTGACATTCACATAATTATGTATCTTAAGATAATTGAAATCCTTCTTAACATTCATTACAAGTATTTGGAGTTGCACATTATTTACAATTTTATGGACATTTTTTACAATTTCCATCTTCATCACTTAGAGTATAATTAGGAGAACAATTAAAACATTTAATTTGATTTTATTCATTATTTCGTTCACAACTAATACATCCTTCTTAACATTAAACACAAGATCCTTTTTCTACAAAATAATTTGGATCACATCTTTCACATATCTATTTGTCTTTACAAACTTTACAATATTCTATTTCACATTTATTAACCATATTTTAACTATCAACATAATATCCTTCAATAGCTTAAGTACAAATTTTATCATTTTAACATTTTGCACAAACATTTTTATCTGAAATCATAATTTTACATTCTTTGCATTAAGATTTATCTAAATAATAACCATCAACACAATTGATACACTTATCATAAGAATCACATTTGAGACAAGTTTAAGGACATTTCTTACATTTATGATCTTATAAATAAAACCCATCATTACAACTAGTACATTTAATTTATCTATCTATACAAGTTCTACAACTTGAATCACATTAATTACATTCTAATAATCTATAATTCATAAAATATCCATTTTAACATTCACAAACTTATTTGTTAGATTCAAATTTTGATTTCTAAATAATTTATTCCATATTCAAACAATTATAACATTAATCTTATTTTATACAAAGTAAATATTCATTAGATAACATTTTTATACATTCATTTTAATGTAAATAATAACCATACTCACATTATAAACATTCATTTCCATTATAATATATACAATTTTTCTATTAATTTATTCTATTATCACATTATTCATCTGTTTTCACTTGACATTCACATTTTCCATCTTTTATTTCAAATTTATCATTACATTTTTTACAACTATCTTGATTTTCACATATTTCACAATTCTATATATCACATAATTCACAATATTCATCTTTTAAATAAGTTTAAATATCACATTCTGTATTTTATTCTGATCCTTAAATTTATTTAATTTCTTTAATTTTTATAGGTTAATTTTCATAAAAACATTTTCCTTTTTCTAATTTCATTCCATTAATACATTATTTGCATTAAACATTAGATTACTTTTCAGTAGTTTCAAAAGTACATGTCTTACAATTAAAAGGACATTAATAAAATAAAGTAAAATATTTATCTACTACTGAATTGACATGACTTTCTAATATTTTTTATTCTTCTAAACTTTATTTTTCTTATAATCCACATTTCATCAATAAGAAATAATAACTATTTGAAATAACATTTTTTATTTCAATCATTAGAATTAAATTCTATTTTTAATTATTTTCTTTTATTTAACTTAATCCTTAAATATAATTTATTTCAAAAATAGTCTCATTAAAATCTCTTAAAATAGGTCTTGATTTTATCTTTTATAAAAGTATTTTTTCAAATATCAATTTTTCATTAGTTTTTATATATGCAATAGAACTTTAGTTATTTAATTCTGTAAAATTTAATTATAATGTCGCAGTAACATTATTTATTTTTAATTTATATAGTTGATTTGTTTAAGCATACTATTCAACAGGTAAACAAAAATCAAATTTAAGACTTTCAAACTCTTTTGATTAAATTTAATATTGTAAATGTTCCAGATTTAAATCCTTGTTCTCTAAAATTATATTTATTTATACTATTAATGCAGGTTTACATTTATGATGAATAGATATAACCTTTTTTACAAATACATTAATTTTCATGGTCTGCATTTTCACCAAAACATTCTTCACATTAATTTAATTGAAATGGTTTACACTTTTTACAATTAGGCAAGCAAGCTATTTAATTATAAATTAATTTAAGTACAATAGCATTTATTCACTTTATTGTCTGAAATATAACCATCTAAACACTTACACGTACCTTGATCTAATCTTGAATTTGCCATACACTTTTTGCATTCTTATTTTTAATCTGTTTCTTCAGCACACAAATGAGAGGCCTATACTTAAAAAGAAAATATTAAGACTAGATAGATAAGTGTTGAAATATTCATAAATAAAAAATTTATATCAACTAATTATTAAATATATAGTATATATTTAGAAAATGGTTTTCTAGCTGGCAAAATGAAAAATATATTTGTTAATATTTTTAAGTTTATGTCATGTCGATTATATATTCCAAATTTTCTTTTTTAAATTAACTATGAATTTATTTTACTTGAAAATCTCACTTATCTATTTTTTTAACTACATTATCTTGTAATAAGTTTCAGTAGTTTATTTATCCTAGTATTAAATTGGTTGCAAAATAAAATTCAAATTCATCATATGTGTAAAAAAGGTTTCTTAAATAATAAGTTATTTTAAATATGTTAATTTTCATGAAATTCCTAATATTAATTGGGTAGGTTTTAGCATCAGATTAGGTTCAATTATATTCAATCAATCCAAACAATCAATCCATGCTTCAATCTGTTGATAAGTCTAAATTAAATGAATCATTAGTATTACAAATATCTATTAAATTTATAGCATCCCGAAGTGCGTCCGATATTACCTAAATCAAAATCAAATTAAATAAAAGGTGCTAAAATTGATCAGATAAAAGGTGTAAGAATCTTTATATCTTAAGAGATGTCTTTATTTTATTAATAATTTTTAGTACTAATGGATTGAATTCCCTGATTTAGATTCTGCTTCTTTTGAGAAACATAATATTGCTGATGGAGAGTATTATGGAAGATTGCAAGGTTGAAATAGAGAAGAAGATGGAGTTTTATCTCTCAAAAAGAAGCCAATATAAAAAGGTATATTTTTATTGATGGATTAGGAGAATGTCATTATTCTGATGGTACAATCTTTAATGGAATTGGAAATAAGATAATCTTAATGATTTATGTCAAATCCAGTTTCCTGATAATACTTTTTTTAGTGGATATTTTTATAAGAAATGAAACATACATTTGAAATTATAAAATTAAGAATATTTTGGTGAGTATGATTGTAATGTTAAAAATGGTCTTGGATTATTGATATAACCAAAAGAAAATTAAATGAATACATCTCATCATAGTCAAAAATTTAATATTGATGATATTAAGTTAACAAATAGCTGAATTACTGTAAACCTATATTAATGTAACTTTTAATCTATATATTTCCTTATTTCTACTTGTTAATTTTTCATAAAAATAAATAATATAAATTTATTAAAAATAAATGCAAAATTAAACTATTTTTATAAAAAAATAATACTATAAGGGAAGGCTAACAGTATACAAAAAAAATTGTTATTAAAGTTATTGAGATGCCATCTTCGTATAGTTGTTAGTACTTAGCGTTGTGGCCGCTAAAGCCCAGGTTCAATTCCTGGAGGTGGCACTTTTTTTATATATTTTATTTTACCATTAGAATAAACATTTAAAATAAAACAATTGCTATTAATATTTAATATACTTTTTAGAACTGAAAGAATATCATCAACAATATATTCTAAATAAGAAAATACTTTAATTTCTGTTAAAATTGTAACCATAAGTCATTATTTTTATCATACTTCTTTATTTCAATTTAAAATAATTTGATGTTAATATTGATTATAAAAGTAGATTAGAAGTTGATTATTTCTAAAAAAATGATATCTAGTAATGATTTTGTCAATAAATATTATATATATAAGATAATCATCTTGATTGAATTTAAATTTTCTTATAATAATTAAATGGTTCTATTTAAAATCAGGAAATTTAATCATTATCAATCTAAAATGCATTAAATTGAATGATTGTTTCTATAAATAAATTATTATGTTGGTTTAACTCAAGAATGAAATCAAGATAAGAACAATTTAAAAAATATTTATATATTTATAATTTATTTATTATGTGATTTATGCAGAGTTTACTAAATATTTAATTTTAATTTACTTATTTTATGAATATGAAGTAATAGTAAAATTATAAATTCATAAATTATTTTCCAAATTTTAGAGGTTTAGAATGTTAGATCTATAGCTTGAAATAATATTTATAGTGTTCTCACTTAATATTAACATTAAGTTATAATTGTGAAAGTTTTAAATGATGTAATTAAGTGAAAGAGTAGTATGAAAATACAAACTATCTAAATTATAAGATTATTGGAACAAACAATGGAATAACTATTCTATAATGTGAATAATAAATTAGAAACAATATTAATTAATCAATTTAGATTAAATTTCGAGTTAGGTTTTGTTAATTTTTTAATTTCCTTCTTTTATTTGAACACTATAGGTAAGGGTATAGCATTTTAATTTAATTATGATAAAGTTATACATGATGCAAATGGCTAAACTTCAGTTTTTTAATTTTTGTGTAAAGTTTTATCATAAAATAATTGTTAGTAATATTTTCTTTGTTATATTTTCAATCTCTGATTTACTATTTTCTTTCTTTATTAAATATCTTATTAAGGCTGAATATATATTGTTTTCAACAAGAAATGATCTGCAATATGATGCATTGTATTTAATCGTTATCTACATTAACTATTGAAACTATTTTATTTGGCAAGACTTAGAGTTCTAGTTCTTCTCCTATTTTCTTTTATTTGCTGTTCTAATTTATTCATTACGTCTTCTACATTATGTTTGAATTTAGACATAATTAATTAAATTTCATGAAATATTTACAATTGATATTAATATTAGGTCTTACTTTAGCATTAACAACAACAAGCTAATCAGAAATATTGGATCCAAATGATATCTTGTTTTCACAAGAAGATTATACATCTTCTACCAATATTCAAGCATAATCAATTGAAACTAAAGATCAATAATGGGTAGTATAAGAACTTATTCAAGACAACGTAAACTTTTGTTCTAAAATTAGATTTAAAATGAAGTCATGACTGATTTTGAATTATAACATGCTTTAATAACAAAAGATGATTTAAGTGACATACCTGATATTTAGATGGGAACCTAAAACGCACTTTTTTTATAAAGAAGAAAAAATTGATTAAGTATCATAATAAAATTAACATCATTTTACTCATTTATTTCTACCTTCCTTCAAACAAAGTAAACAAAATAAAGTATTAAATAAGAGGAATAACAAGATTGATATTAATACTTAAAACATTTGAAATATAAATATTATTTATCATTAACCATAATAAGTTGATTAATGATTCAAATTGCTTTATTTGAACTCATACCTTAGTATATGCTAGTTTTGTTATTTTTCTGATTTATTTTAAAATTTGAGTTTTTTTATTTTATTTATAATTTAGCACTATTTGCTCCTGAATTTGTTGAATTTGGAGATGAAAATAATTTTCTTTCATGACTCCTAAGTCTTAATGGAATCGAATGAAGATTTTTAACTCCAACGTATTTATATGAAGGACTTATTGGTATTTGAGGTGAAGCCTAATTTGTTGGACTTTAGTAAATTGAAGTACTTCTTGGACTATAACTAGAAACTGTATGATCTTAATATATTCTCTTTCTTTTAATAATTATAGTTTATCGATTAAATTTCTTAAATATAGTATTACATCTAGCTTCTTAGACAGAACATCTTTTAAAAGGATCAGGCTCTAACATTTATTTTAAGAGGTTCATAACAGTAGGAGATGATTAAACAACTGAAAAATCTATTTAACCTTATTCATTTCTTTAAAGGGTCTCTTAATAATCTTCTACAATAAATGGAGATTGTCCTTGAGTTAACATTTAAAAAAATATGATTCCAGCACTGTAACAATCAGCTTTATAACCATAAGATAAATCTTTTAAAATCTCTGGTGCCATATTACCTGCAGTTCCACATCGATGATATTTATATTAACCTTCTTCATTATGATATTCAGCTAATCCAAAATCAGATATAACAATCTCTTCTAGATTAGGTTTTCTCAATAAAATATTTTCTGGTTTAATATCTCTATGTATCACTCCTTTAGAATGTATATATGTAAGAGCATCTATAATTTTGAAGATACCTTTAATAGCATCATCTTCTGACAGTGCTGTTTTTGAAAGAATATCATCTAAATTTCCACTAATCAACAATTCTGTAATTATGAATACGTATTTCTGTGATTCAAATGTTTCTAATACTGTAATAACATTTGGATGATCCATTTTTCTCAGTATATCTAACTCCTTTATTACACATTCAGAATCAAATTTATTAGATAATTTATCATAAATTTTCACAGCAAATTCTTTTTCATCACTCTTCCTTATCAATCTATGAACCTATGAAATTATTAATAAACTATTATACATCTGCATAGTTCCCGCAACCTAATTTATTGCTGATAATAAATTGATTTTTTATCTGTTTTTGTATACAGAATTTTTTTAATTCTTTAAACCAACCATCTACATATCCAAAGAACTCTAAAGAATATGAATTCTTAGTTATCCTCAATCCCTAGCCTACATGTTATATCTCAAGCATCTCAATTATAGCATTAGAAACATCACACCATAATTCTAATCCCTTTTTACATCTCAATAAATTTACATTTTTTTTCAGTTTTTTTATAATTGGACCATGTCTCTTCAATACTTTATTTTTGTATGATTTTTTAGTATTAGAGTAGAATAGAAAATAATCTTCTTTAAATTCTTATTCCTTTATTTAAATCTACTCATTTCTCCAAAACTCAGAATCTGTTTAGAGAAAAATCGAATCTGTAGAGAATTTAGATTTCATTAATTAAATAAATATACCTTGATTTATGAATTATTTAATTTATATATCAAGTAAAATATATGTGTATCGTTTCAACATTTAATTTTTTTTACTGATATAGAGAAATTGAATGAAATACACATTTATGATTAAGGCTTGCAAGTTTAAAATAAATTTGCTATCAAATTAATTTAGCCTATTTATTAGGGACTTTTAAATTCTTTTTATTTCCATCAATAGAGTAATTATATATATATAAATTATATTATTTTTTTAATTATTTATAATGTATCTCTTTATCAAAATATGATTAATATTCTAGAATAAGAATTCAGTTTTAATAATAATTATTATGTAATATATAAAGAATATATATTTTAAATAATAAAATAACATATTCTAATAATGAGTATTAATTATTCAATCCCTATATGAAATTGTATTAATTTAATAAAAATTATTTATATAGTTTATAATTTTTATGAATTAAAAAAACTGAAAATAAATAGTATTTTATGTTAAATTATAAATGTAATTGATTTATGAATAGTAAGGAAATAATATATTTATATTATTATACGATATTCCAACATTTGATTTTTGTTATAATTAAGAGAAGAAAATCAAAGAATACATTAATTAAGTATAATTTTTATACTAAATTTTTTATCTGTCATATTTAAAATAATGGATTAACAACGTTCATCGCTTTGTGTAAGTTTGCATAATGTAGAGTTTGCAAAAGATTATCATTACTTCATTACTGTATAATTAAATGTAGATGGGGAGAAGGTAGAATGAAATAATTAATTTTATAATAGAAAAGAACTGATGTGAGTGCCTAAGTTGCAGCACCTGTATTTGCAGCGAGTACTTTTATAATACCACTTTCTAATTTTAAATTGGACATTAATGATTACTTGCATGTAAAAATAATACCTTATGCATGAAAGTTCGAAGCTTATGTTGTAACTGATCGTGAATAAGGACGTGGACCTGATCTAGACAATTAAGGTTAGGCAAGGTTATTAGGAGAGTGTATATTAAAATTGGGTGATTTCACAGGTCCATTGACAGACATAAGTGGAACAGGGGTTAGATAACATTTGAAATTTGTTCGTCGAAATGATAAGTAAGTAACTGTGGGAAGATTTATTGTAAATCTTAAATTAGTAGGCGAACAAATAATCCCAATTAATGATGAGAAACCATTAGAATCAGATGAAATATTCTAACCTCTTCCAGCATCTGATCCATTCATGAGCTTTACATGGAGATTAAGAGTAGATATAAGGGCATGTATGGATATGCCTTTACACCGTGATTCTCAATCTGGTTTACCTAGAGGCTTTGTAAAATTGGGTTGGTCTTAATATGATAATTAACCTCCATCTGAACATCATATGCATTTAACAAAGATTAGAGATTAAAATCGACATCCAATTTGGAACTAACAATTTTTGATTCCAAATCCTTAAACTGTTACAACTTTAGATGGGTATTTATATCTTAGTTTGATTGATGATGTTGGATAAAGAGAAATAGAGAGTGTGTATTTTCCAATTTCATAGATGAGACCCTTTTAACCAATGAATTTTGAATTACAATTTAAATTTGCAGAATATGAGGCTAGACCTAGATTATATATGTCAATAACTTTAGAAATGGCTGATAAATAGAAATTCTTAGATGAATTAATTGATATCATAGTAAAGATGGTTCATTATGATCCATTGCCATATGCAAGTAGAACTAATTTAATAATGACATTGAATTAAACAAAAATCAAAGAAGTTCCCTATTCAGTAATAGATTTGAAAGGTGCCCCAACTTTAGCTCAAGCTTTAAGTAATGCTCAATCTGATGTGTTCATATCATCTATAATGAAAATACCACCTCATAAAGCTGATAAAGTGTATAATGCAGTAGCAGTATTTACATTGCCTAAATCTTAATTGGAAGTATTCTTTATGTTGATCTTAATAGAGTGGAATTGCATTCTATTTAGCTACTAGAGATGACACAATCAAATCTATGCATTCAATGCCTAATGGAATAGTCGGATATTCAGAGATAATTGATGATTGGCTTCGTAAGTTATATTATTCCAAAGAGAAAAAGTAAGCCTTTTTTCCTATAACTTGGTCTGATGAATCTAAATAGAAACCTTTATTTATGAATAGTAGATGTTAAGTAGAATTGACTTGTATGGAAGCAGCAGATAATCCTGCAATAAGTCGAGTTTCATCATCAAAGAAATCCACTAGATTAGTACCCAGAACACCAGATATGAAAGCTTTGGCTGAAAATGTTTCAGGAGCAGATAGATCTAAGTGGGATATTTTGTCAAAAGAGCTTTCACAAAAATAAGAAATGATTCATAGATTAATGAAAGAAGTAGATGATAAAACTGAGAGTCTTAAAATAACAGGAACAGAAATTGTTGATTTAAGAAGACAAGTCAAATTGTTATAGAGTGAGAATTCTATATTAAGAAAACGTTTAGCACATGAGGAATCTCTTGAAATCTAATCTATTATAACAAAAGAAATAGCTGTTATGTCTATGGAAGAATTAAGATAAAAAATAATAAAAGTTGCTCAAGCTTATCGTAATGAAAGAGTAAGAAATGAAGAATTTGAAAAAGCTTTGAAAACTGCTTAAAAAGATATTGCTTCTGCAAGATAACTTGAAGTAGAATTGGAGTCATTATAAAGGGTTCATTAAGAGAATGCCAAGAAAATGTTGGTCATGTAATAAGAAATCCAAAAAGTAGGTGTCTATAAAGAGGCTGTTAAAAAATAAGAAACTGTTATATCTAAATTAGAGAAATTAATGGAAACATCATTAAAAGATGCTTAAAAAGCTAGATAGGCATAATTAGAGGTTGAATAACTGAAAAGCGAAAATCTCAATTTGTAAAAATAATTAAAAGGAATTGTATATGGAGAAGATATTGGAGAATTAGAGCGTTATAAATAAGAATGTTAGAGATTAGAGAGAATTGTTGCTAATATGAAAGAAGAGTTAAGGAATAAGAGACCTGTAAGTAATAGTGGGGCTGATTGGGAATAAGATAAAATGGAATTAGAAGTTAAATTACATAAAGCCAATGCTAGAATAGAGGCTTTACAAGATGAAATGACTTATAATGCAAAAAATTATGCTAAGGAAATAGCTTAATTAAAATTGATAATTGCAGAGAAACAAGCATTATTAGATTCTTTAACAATGGGTGGATAATGAATAGATATAAAACATATTATTTATCTTACAGAAATTTAATCTGTAAATTAATATGAATGCTAATATTTTATGTCTTTATGATATGTTTAAATTGATGTCAATCATTTGAGATTGTTTCTCTTGGTTGTTAAATCAGAATAATAGTATTAAAGCCAATTAGCTTGATCTTAAGCTCCCCATTCATTATAATAGAATGTGATCACACTACCTCCCAAGAGAATTGCAAGAGCAATAAGATTGTCTTTCTTTAATTCTTTCTAAATTAAAGGGGAATGTTTAATTCCATAAAATCTAAAGTTTAAGTATCTTATATTACCTGCCATACATTTCCTCCATTGTATATCCATGAATCATAGATTGTCTTTCGATTCCAAATTTGAAAGGCTCATACTCAAATGTTTTGACATCTATCTTTTGGGCCTTGAAAAGTTCAGGTTTAGTAGATGTGAATTATCTAGCAATAATCTGAATGTTTTTTCTCATTTATTAAAATAATTAATATCATAATCTAGCTTTGATTTTTGTGCCCATCAAATCATTGACAGCTTAAGGTACTCCTTTGATATTAACTGAATTCTCTTTTGTTGCCCATTCATAAATATATTCATAAGGTTTTCCATCATGACAACCAATGCAAGTTCTCAAAGCATTATCAGAGAAATTGAAAGCTTCAACTAAACCCAAAGCTTATGGTTTGAGTTTACTCAGTAATTCAATTTTAGTTTCATTGAGTTACTTGAATTACTCTACATTAATCCTACCTGATTCTATAAGAGTGTTTGGATTATCCAATATTACTTATAGTGAATATAAATCACATAATTATTACAATACTTCCTTAACTGATGGATTTGCAGTAGAAATGTATTCCTAAAATACTAAATAAGTGAAATATTCAGCATATCTTTAAGCCACAGATAATAATTGAACACCAACTACTTCATTCCAAATTTATTAGAAATTCTTACCTGTACCCATACTATCCTTAATCTTTTTAGCAACACTTATCAATTAAAGTGTAAGTGTCAATTTAAGTAATTATCCAAAATCTGTACTTTGATTAGCCAAAGTTTCTTTGATATGTAATACAAAATTAAAATAAAATGGAACCTTTTCTGGATTTTTCTCTACATATTATAATACTTTAAGTAAGTATCTTGCAACTTATAGATACATAACTTGATTCTCTCCTTCTAATGTAACATTAGGAGCAGTGTCAAAATAAATAGCTGGTATTCCTGAATAATGTGCAAAACCATGACCACCACATGATAATCTACACCATTCAGAAGTATCAACAACCCATTATGAAGACCAAGCCTTTAAAGCACTATAAATAAAATCATAATTTTATATACCTCAAAATAGCATGTGATTATTATAATGTACTAAAGTCTTTCTTTTACACTCTATGAAAGTTATCATCAACCAATTCTGCTATTCTTAATCCTGCAAAGATCATTCCATAACATGTTGCCAATCTTGGTAATAATTTATCTTATTATGTTTAATATTCAAGGACAGAGTTCTCAACACCTTTATCATTTGTGAATTATTATCTTGTAATTGAATATCTGATAGCCACTGTCAAACTCTAGGCAGCCATTCTTGGATAAATGAAAATTATTAATTATCTTGATACCATCATTGATGCATAAGATATCTAATATATGATATTATACTATACTTTCTCATTTCCATGTCTTGAAAATTATCCATTCTCAATTCTAACATATCTAGCCAATAAACTGTTTAATGGAATTCTGTAATTCTCAAATGCCAAGAATCCATTATCTTTTGTAGAATATCCTAATTTTGGTCCTATATCTCCAACTACAACACCTTTAAGTGGTTTATGTGTGGAATTATCTCTTATCTGAACCATAAAAGGATGAACTCCCTTATTCTTACCATTGAATACCAACTTTGCATAGACAAGTGCATAATTTGATAAAAATCCTAGTTCTCCAGGCCAAACTAAGTTATATTGATTTATTCTTACATTTGACAGCTGAAACTGAAGGTGTATGCAATACAAAATCATTAGTTTATGAATCATAAGTAGCTGTAGTTTCTAAATTCTATACATCACTTCCATGTCCAATTTCTGTCTAAGCATAAGCAGCTACAATTTCCATAGTAAGAAACTTAGGACCCCAGAGATTGAATTATTCATCTGTACCAAGAAATCTCAAGGCGGGAACAGTCATTCCAAATGATACTGCTGAAGGTGTTGTACCTTAGAATAAACTTAACATAGGTGCCCAATGAGCAGCATTTGCAAGATTGAAATGCTAATGCATAATTCTTATTTTTTCATATGATTTGATAATCTATTCTTTACGTCCCCAATTATGATAATCAGGATGATTTCTAATGCTTGGCTCACTAGCAATAATCTTTTAGGCTTTCATAAAGGTTTCATAGATCTCTTCATTTCCATAAATTAGTTTGGTTAGCTCTAAAGTAGGAAATGTTACTCTGTCTCTGGCTTCTTAAAGCAATTATGTTGTAGGATGCATATTTAGTGCGTAATTTAAATTAATATAAATTTTATGAATATTAAAAATATACAATAATACAATACATCTTAATTAAAAAAGGATGATGAAAAAGAAGTAGAAATAAAATGAGAAATTCATCACTCAACTTAAATCACAATATGATGATATATTTTAAGATTAGAAAACTGAACAATAATCTTATTCTCAAATCCAAAAAAAAGAATAATAATAAAATAGAACTAATATTCTTATAATCTTCGCAAATAAATAATTAGATTAACAATAATAAAATTAAACTCTAATTTAATAACCGAATTCTGTGGCAAAAAGATCTTGGCACAAAAAAATGGATAATTTAATTAATCCATCAGATATGAAAGATGGCAAATTCTCAGAATAAGAAAAGGAAAACATTATGTAGATTGTGCATAATTATTAAGCTTAAAATAATTTAACTGATTAGCAATTAAAGGATTACATTGAATTAAAAACTTTAGGGCACTCAAAGATTTGGCTTGAAATTACAAAATATATACCATCAAGAACAGTTGATTCTGTCTATAAAATGATTCGACGTAGTTTGGATAGTAAGAATAGACAAGGATACTGGAACAAGGAAGAAGAAGCTGAATTACTTAAATGCATATAATAATATGGTAGGAAATGGAGAGAAATTAGTAAACATATTAATCGAACACCTGACAATATTAGAAATAAATATTATTAAATAGGAGAACACAATCACCTTTTTAGAAACAAATCATATTGGACAATTGATGAATTTCTCATTCTTGTTAATCATATTCATATTCTAAGTGGCTATCCACTTTTACTTCCTAATTATGATTCAACACTCAAATAAAAACTTGGATCTGATTATGAAAATATTAAATTTAGACTTAATTATAGAAAAATGAAAGCTAATGATAAGGATATTTTTGATTTACTCAAAACAATTGTTAATATACCATCTAATATTGGAGTCACTATTAAATGGACAGAAATTTCATCTGAAATCAAAACTAAAACAAAAGATGATTTAAGATAAATGTGGTATAAATTAAATTGAAAATTGTTATGATTTCTTATTGACTTCACCATACATATATATATAAAGAAAATTCACAATCCATCTCTCAAAAAGCATCAATTAATTTTAAATGCCTTTTGATCATCTAAGAAGTAATTTCTTACTTCGATTATTTGATTGATTATTATTTTCTTTATTATTATAATGCGAGGCGAAAGTATTTAAACCTTCGCCTCGCTCAACCTCACCCACGTTTACCAGTATTCTTGTTTATGCCTAATTACTCACATGTTTTCACTTTGGCACCAAATTATAAATCATTTGCCTTAGAATCCTTCTCTTTCACTAAACTTCTCTCTTATCTATCATATTTTATTTATTATTAGATTTTCTCCTTTTCTTTTTGTTCTTTTTCATATTATCTTTAAGCCTCTTGTTATTATCTAACACTAAAAAAAATGTAAAAAAACAAAATTTTACATTTCCTAAGCTTTTTAATATTATTATGGTCCCTCTACTCTGCCTTAAGATAAAATATGCTACCACTTAATTGTATTGAAATTCTATAATAATGATACATATTCTTCATCAGGCAAATAAAATTCTTAATCTAACTTTATTTTATTAGCGTTAATTTATTACTTAAATGAAACCTAATGATGTTAATAATTCTGTCATTTATCTTATATTAAATAATCGTGTGGCTAATGTTTTAACTGTCATCTTTATATGTTTAAATTTATCATCATTAGGATTATTGATTATACTAATTTAAATCTTTGTAAATACTTAGTAATTAATTTTTCTAAAAGACCTAAAGCATCTGCAAATGCTGATGGATCTTCGTTCTTTTCCATGACTTCAAGTAATGATTTCGTTTAGTTACTAGAAATCATTTTAATTAATAATTTTTCTATAAATATAAATTTATTCATGCTTGCTTTTATAGTGATTCTACTAATCTCATGATATCTTCCTTTGTTCCTTCTAATTATTCATTCATTAGAGTAGAGTGACGACGTAGTAAGGTTTTTCGTTTTTGAAGGATTGGATCCAAATCAAAGTTCTCTGATGGTTTTTTTACTAACTATTTTAAAGAGTTTGAGATTAGTTTATAATTTTAAACCAAATTTGAAACATTCTAATGAGTAAAAATTTGTTTCAAGTTTATAACTTTTTTTTGATTGAATTTTGAAAATATATTTTCTTTAGAATTCAGCAATTATCTTGTTTTCATTCTTGATTCTTCATCATAGAAATGCAATACTATTTATTGATTTTCCTTTTATTCAACTTACTCACTATTTTTCTCTTTGAATAAATCTTAAAATTTACGATACTTTATCATCCAAGGGTATAAATCAATTGTAGCTGGATTAGAAAAGTTTTTTAGATTTTTCTCAATTTCTTTATCTAAACATGAATTTATCAATTTATGAAAATCTAATTCATTTTTTTATCCTTAAACTTTCATGTATTCAACATAAGATACAATCATTGGATCAACTTATTTACTTAATGAGTAATAATCATCAACCTATTCAATAAATGTACTAAATGTCATAGTATTCTTGGCAATTACAGTTATAAACTCTTATTCAGGATGATTTTTGATATAACCTTATAAATCAAAACATTATTTAAGAGTTTATGTAAATTATTAGGGTTCCCTATCATTTAAAGATTTTATAAAAGGCAGAACATTTTACACTATTTGTAATATAAAATTAAAAAAAGCTTTTTTTGTCTTAAGAATAGCTTCCATCCATTAATAAATCTTTTATTTTGGTGAATACTTTAATTGAGTAGTAATTTGATTGAGTTTGTTTTTGAGTTCAATTAACCATTTTTCTGGTATTTTTAACTAAAAAAAATTAATGGATTTATTTATATACATCATCAATAGTATGACTGTTATCAATAATTGAATCTTCATCAAGATCAACAATTACTTTTTCTTATATCTAAGTGAGTAACTAAAGATTTAATTTGATATTATACAAATTATTTATGTTTCTTTTCAAAACCTATGATATAAGGCTGCAAAGCTTAGGTATACTCCCAAATATCAATATTTGAACATGGAATATAAATATTTGACCATTTAAGTGGTTTTATCAAAGAAAGCAACCCTTCTGTAATCTATGGAATTTCACCTAATTTAAATGATATTATAGATTACTTATATTAGAAGAGAAAAAGAGCATTTATTTTTCTGAGATGATACACATAACTATTCTCATAATATTAACAAGTGATAATCTACTAAAAAGTGGACGAAAAGTGAAATTAGTTAAGGATAGGATTTCTTAATCATTTGTTCTGAATCTGAGAATTTCATTATGAACTTCACATTTAGTAATTCTAATTTCATGATTTTAATCTTCATCTGTTAATAATGTTTTCTTGTTGAGAGTGAATAACACACTAATATAAAATTCTAAGATGTCTTAATCCATTATATAATCTTATTCAAGTTATTTCAGATGTATTACTTCCTATTAATTCCATTCTTATTCAGCCCCATTTAAACCATGTGTAAGCACTAATCGTTCAAACTATTTAAGATGATCTTCACATAAGCCTATAGAATTCAATCCACGATCTATTATATAACTATTGTAGAAGAAAACAAGAAATTGTCTTTGCAAATCAAATGATGGTGAATGAGAGACTAGAGTAATTGTTTTAGGAGCATATATCAATTGAGTGTCTTCATCCAAAATCAATGGATTTTTGATGATTTACTTAATTGCTATTTTGGGGAATGTTTTGGATAGTTTTTAAAAATGTTTATGTTTATTTTTGACATATACTTTTTCCTTTGATTAGCATATATAATACATAGTAGAGTAAAGATGTACAAAACTTCTACTGTCCCTTCTCATCTGTGAGAACAAAATGACTCAATTGATCTTAACTTCGAATGTCTTCTGTTATTATTTATTCTGATTTATTGTCTAAATCTATTCTTTTTAAATCTTAGTTGAAATATTGCACTCCATTAGGGAAACACCACTAAATATATTATTAATAGTGTAAACCATTTTGATATTCTCAATGTAATCTGGAGCAGGCTAATCCATAGGATGCATAATGATCATTTCTGGCTCTTGTTTCTTATTGAGGATATTAGTTAACGATATTTCTAAATATACTTCAATAGTATACCATTTGATTTTGTTTATAATCCTATTACTAAAAAATAATCGATTAACATATTAATAAAAATGGCCAATAAATATGATGTGCAAAGGTTTCTTGAGAAAAAGTATGCACATAGTCAGTCTTACTATTACTCCAAAACTCTAAATGATTTTGTGAGTTCTGCCAGAACCCCTGATGTGATTGGGTTCTATTAAGTTATGGCCTATAGAGAGGATTCCGAATATCTGAAGAGATTCTATTGCTTAAGTAAGTATGCATCATCAAATATTCTCATTAGGTGAGTTGTTCCAAAAGCTTCGTCTCTTTACTGAATACTACAAATATCACAATGAGATACCTAGATTCTTCATGCCATATTTATGCGAGATCATGAGCAAGTATTATATTCATAGACATAGATCAGTTATCATGATAAGAGGAGAAGGATTGAATATTATAGGATCAAGAGAATAATCGAAGAAGAAAATAGAAATAACCCCAATAAACCAAAAAAGGCCATTGTTGGAGACTCACCTTAAGATGCTATTCCTACATCTCCCAAACTCTAATAAGTGTATAGCAAGATCCTATCTGGAATTTAGGATGCTTCAACAACTATTGAAACCATTAATAATAAATTGAATGCATTATAAATAAATGTTGGTGAGTTAAATCTTTAGCCATCTAATCGAGAATAAGAATAGTTACAAAATTTCATTTAATTTATGGTAGACAAATAAAAACTGAAGACTATCACTCAATATGTGTAATTAAACTCGCCTAAAACTTATAATAAACTTCCAATTGGAGTTAGTTAACAGACTATAAAACAAATTATATCAAGAACTTAGAAAAATTAATAGACTTTTCATTTGTCACCAAAGACAGGATAAGATGTCTAATTTTAAGGGGGGGCCTATACTTAAAGAATCCTTAAAGATCCTTTATAGAAGATGCTCACTCCTGCATAAATATACACGATGCATTCCCCATTAAATCATAATCATAATAACACAGCCATTCAATTGAAATCGAAGTACATATGAATTTAAGGTAGAATATCTTCATCGAAAAACAAATAATAGAGTCTCTCCTTGTCTAAGCAATTTAAAATAAGCGATGCAATACGTTTACCTTTACGAATGCACCAACATACTAGGTCTGATGTTCGCTTTTACAGAAAATGAAAGTTGTATTATTTATTTATTACTCAAATTTCAGAGAATTGTATATTATAAGTTTTCTTATCCCAAGGGTTCCTTTTTTCATCATGATATTCACCTGGGCCTGGGGATTAATTTTTAGAATTCTCATATTAAAATCTCTTTTCCTATTGTAAATATAAAAGCTTATAATACTTATATATTGAAAGGAGGTGCATGTTTCTTGACTTAAAAAGGCATTTTATATGGTTCTTTTTAAGGACTTTTTCTTAAGCTTTCTTCCTCTTCATCTAGCTCCTCAATCTTCTTTTCATCTTTATGTTAAAATCTTGGCATTGAGGACATAAAAGGAGGTTTTTAGATTTTAAGTGCAGGATCTTCCTCCTCTTCCATTTTAGTCTTATACTCTATTGTATAATTTTTAGGATCATATTATCCAGGAGCAGGCAATTCAGATTTACTCTATGATCCAGGACCTGTTCTTTTGGTTGAAGATTTAAAAACTGATTATGCTCCTTTTTCAGGACTTTTGCTTGTAAAATGGTATGATCCAGGTCCTGGCTATGGTACTTAAAATTAATTATCATCAAATCTAGGTTAATTATATCCAAATTTTCCTACTGGAGCTCTTTCCAATCTCTTAATCAAATTATATTCTAGCTAAATATAAAATATTAGTATATACAGTTTATTTAGGATTATAAGTCTAAGGTCCTGGTCTTTTTTCTTGCAATTTAGCATCAAAACGACTATTAGAAGACATAAATGGTGGCTATTTATAAGATAAACTCTTATTTGCTAATGGAACATCTACTCTATAATCTCCTGGTCCTATAGAGGTTGAAACTTATTCATCTTCAAATCTTTTTTATTTTGAACCAAAACATTATGTATCTATTTTAGTGGCTGATTTGGAATAGGTTGAAGCAGTTGTGGAATCTTTATAATAATATCCAGGACCTGGAGTGGCATCCTAAATTAATTTAATAATTATTTATATACTTCTATATATTCAATTTCTTCATCTTAAAGATCAGCAAATTATGGATTTGATATTAATTGATTTCTCTTTTTTTCAAATTGATATCGCATAAAACTTCGAGCTTTCTATCCTCTTTCCATATCAAATAATCTTTGTGTTTTTGATTAAAAAGAACCTGAAGGCATTAATTTATAAAGAGGTTAATTAACTTCCGGTATTTCATAATTGCCTGGACCCACTAATTGCTATTTTTCTTTTGAAACAACAGGAGCTAATTTTGGTTATTTTGATTTATGCCAATTAAATCCTCTATTTTTGTTTTATTCAAACAAGTCCTTTAAGTCATATTGTCCTGGACCAACTGAATCATTTTTTAATCCTGTTAATATTTCTTCAGGACTTTTATTTAATTCCAAAGCTTATTGTTTTAATTTAGATTATTACTTCCATTATCAGTATAACCATGTATTTGAGAATTGCTTGGTATAGAAGGAATTGATTTGTATTTATTTAACTTCATTAATTATTCTACTAAATTCTCTTGAGTAGCCATCTAATAACGTTGTTATTGAATCATTTCAGGTTCATAAGATCCAGGACTGAATTAGAATTTATTTATATTTACCCTGGATTCTCATTTTTAGAGCCCTCTTGAAACCTTCTGCACTTTGATGCAAATACTGAATGCTGCTTTGGCATCTCTAATATTTGCACATCTGATTAGGTGGATTGTAGAACAACCTTTTAACTATAAGATATTTTGAACAATATATATACCCTGCATTAACAAAATTGATATTATAACTCCCTGGTCCTGGAAGAGAGTTTTATTTTATTGGTTTACAACGAAGAGTTTGAGTATTGAATGGTACAACTTATTATCTGGCAGGTTGAGTTTTCAACAAGGTATATGTACCTGGGCCAACCTATTCCCTCATGATTCATAAGTACATTAGCTGGAACTTAAGTAGTCGATTGATTAAGATCTCTTTCAGCCTAAAAAACAAAGGCCATTATAATTATTTATAAACAAATTTCAAAATCAATTCTTCTTTATTTTTTTAATCATCTTAATCTCCTTCTCTAAAAAAGTATCAATAGATTCTTTCTTGAGCTAATGTATTTAGATTAAAGTGTTATGTTTTTATTTAAATCCTACTTGATTTTAGGTTTTATAATCAAGATATAAACTGAATAATAGTTAATATAGTTAATCATAAGACTAAAAACATTTTAGTTTTTAAATATTAGAATTGAAACTTATTTTTAAACAATTCATATTATAAGTATCTCAATTTAATTATTTCAATAATATAAATTTGAAATTATAATTAGGAGAATTCTTTTTAAATGCATAGTATATAATACATACATTCTTTACATTTCATAATTTTTCCTTATTAACATTGCCAAAATATTAAATAGTAAGAAGATAATTCAATCTTTAAGATTTAAATTAAAGTATCATATTCATTATTATAATAATTAAATCTCAATCCTCTTCAAATGTCTAGTATTTCATTTTGAAATCATTTTAGAATGCTGCATCATCATTCTAAGGTAATCTGCTAGAGGCAATAATTTTAGCACCCTACTCTAATTGAAAATCTAATTTATTTTTTGTATTTCTATATCTAAGTATATATAAATTATTTTATTTACCGTTTTATATAATAGCATAACCAGAGAGTCAAAAGTGCTATAAGCAAAATCATTCCAAATATTAAGAAGGTAAAAAATGTTCTATTATGATTTAAAAATTTGGCAAAATAATTTGGTACAGGTACTTGTATGGTTCTATAAAATACTTTCATTTAGGAAGTGGAACTATAATAAGAATAATATTAGTACTTCATGAAATTATCAACAGTAGCAAATACTCCAACTGATGCATATTCATATGTAACTAAATTAGGAAATTCAATTTCATAAACAATACTTCCATTATGATCAGCTAAACGATATGATTGAATACTCTTTTTGAATATTTTTTCATCATCAGCCTTATGATTTTCAAATTATTCATTACCACAATAACCTAACATTTATAATTTCTTTTCATCTTGAGCAATAAAAATGTGATAATTAATTTAGACTCCATCCAAATTACATTTATTACATGTAGCATGTTCAAATTCAATTTATATTGAATCAGCTTTTGATTTATCTAAATGCCATTTAATATGACCATCATTGCCAGCCATAATTTTACCAAAAGGTATATCTTTTTTATTTTAATAGAAATGATTAGTTATATGATAATAGGCTGGTGTAGTAGAGATTCCTTTTATGGCAATCCACAGAGTTCCTTTATCTACTGAAATCATTTCAACATGATAATCCTTTTCTGGTATATCTACAGATTCATCATAATCTTCATCAATAAAAGATTTAATATCAGCTTTAGAGAAGCTAAAGTTGATATCAGATGAACATGAGTAAAGTTCAACAGCCAAATAACCTTCAGATGGAGCATAAGTCTCATAATAATCAAATTCAGTTGGTTAAATATAACCACTATGATGTCTTTAGATTGGTAAGATTCTTATATCATTAGTGGAGGCACTTATTTCAATAAATTAAGTAGGATTAGTTCCTTCTCCATTTTCAATGTACTTTTTATTTTTTAAGATAATTTCATAGATTCCATTATCTTTTGGTAATTCATAACTACTTGATAAAGGATGTATTAATCTAGTTTTAATTGGTATTTCTTCTAAAAATTCATAATGATAATCATCAAATGATTATTTTTTAATATAAAGTACTTTTATTTCAATATCTTATAGAGATGTTTAATTTAAAGGAGATAGATTGAGTACTGATATCTATTGATCATAATTTTCATACAAAAATGTAATATTATTTTCTATAATTGCTAAATGTATTCTACCATCTTGTAATTTTCCATTAACAAAATCACTTGTATAATAAATTGTATAATTGCATGGATCATTTGATTTAGTAGTAACTTTGAGGAATAATTCATCATGAACAAAATGAGATGGTAATAAACCAATTTCAATTTCATCTTCTTATTTTTTATTTTTATTTTTATTTAATAATCCTTAAGCAATATCTTCTAAATCATTTAATAATTTTTAACTTGGGACAGTAATATGAATATATTTGTTATTTGGTTATGCCTTAATAACTTTACTTGAATTAAGATTATCTTAATTAAATGAATATTAAATAATAGGGTCTCCTGTAAATATTTATATAAATATTTCAATTTTACTATCTTAAGTAAAGAAAATAGAAAATTAAGATGAACTTTATTTTTCTACATAATCACTGTATTATACTCCAGCTGGTAATTTAACAAAATCATTATCTAAGACTACAGTTAATTAACCATGTAATTCACTTTCTTAAGATTCAATTTTAATAATGTATGTGCAATAAATACAGAATTTAGTTTTATCATTAGATTTAATTAATATTTATGAATTTTCATTACCAGCTGCTAAAACAGTATCAAGATATTTAAATTCTGCATCATTACTATCTTTTACACATTCAGCAATATTACTTTATTTATTACATATAAAAACAGACATGGATCCATATCCTAAAAATCTATGTAATTTAAAAAAGATATCTTGATTAAGATAATTATAAAATTAAACAATAGTAGGTTAATGATATTTTGCATTTATTGTATTAGGTTGACTATGCATAATTTAAATGTAATCCATATTCATATATGAAATTGTAAATTCTAATTTAATAGATTATTAAATTGAATTGTAATAACTTTATAATCCTGAAATTGAAATAATCAAATAAGCATCTTGAATTGAAATTTCTTTTTCTTTTAATTTTTCATTTAATTTATCTTTAGATAATTAAAAATATGTTCCATCTGCATGAAAATCAAAAGATCCATATAAATTTGGATATTCAAATTTATCACCACCATTTACAGTAATTGCAAAATAACCATTTCCAATAATTTATAATAAAGAAAATGTTAAATAAGCATCATCTCTAAATTTTTATAAATTTTTAAATGTAAAATAAACACACTCTTCACTTTTAATTGAAACTTCATATTTTTAACCTTCAATTACATCTTACATTCCCTAATTAATCATAATATGAAATTAATCATTATAATTATAAACATTAAGTTAAGAATCTTATACACTTTAAATAGATATCAATAATACACAATCAGGCCAACATTAATCTAATGCAGTTGATTTAATAGTTCTATGTATTTAATTTGTTGATCCACTAGATATATCAGAATCATCTTCTTTATCAATAAATGGCCAATCAGATTTATGTTTAATAGTATCTAATTTCCAAATATTTATATGTAAAACAAATTTACCATAAAAAGTAGATGCAAATAAATTAACATCAATAGATTTAGAATTAGGTTAATAATAGAAATGCATAAATTCTTCAATGTGTTATAAATTATATGATTGTTATAATCCATCAGTTAATTGAATTGCCAAATCTTATTTATGAATTGTTAAAGTATATCTAACTGGAGTTTTAGATAAACTTTTAACAACAATAAATATTTCACAAAGATGAGTGATACGATTATGTTCAAAACTAGTTGATTCATCTTCATCTATATCACATAATTTCTTCATTTTTTCACTCGATAGTGAAAATGTACTAACTTCATTATCAAAAAATTTATAATCATATTAATCCAAATTTTCATATAACATATTACCAATATAAACTTATAATTCTTTATTGACATCTCCACTTGATAATATGTTTTTAGTTATATAAACAACATCTTCATCAAAATAACTTAAAAAAGAGAATCTTTATTATTCTGTAAATGCTACTTATCCATAATAAGCTGAATTGAATTCTAAATTAATAACAGATTAAGCATCATATAAAATAAGTGAATATTTGATATCATTATAATAAGTTTCATTTTTAACATCTTAATTATTTTAAATTTACATTTCAACACATGCTATAAATCTATCACTAACTAATTATAAAGCTGAATTTCCTGTAATTACATCATAATCTCCTTTTGTTGGTATTTCATCATCAGTATCAATATTAGCATAACTAATAAGTTTCTAATTTGGTCCATGTATTAAAAGTGTTAAAACACCTTTAGTAGTTTATTCATATTTAAAACATTATTTTTTTTAATTAGAATTGATAGATGATTTATAAATCTATCCTTTTTTAATATTAACTATATTGATTTTATCTTTTGGATGAGTTTCTATAATAAATCCATATTTTGCTAATTCCATACCTTCAATAGTAATAGAATATTAACCATCTTTTAATTAAGAATCACTTAAACTAATTGGTTATTCACTAGTTCCACTATATTCATAACATTTCCAATTAACCAATTAACATTTAGATGATTTACTTATTAAAATTTAAACATTTTCAGAAGTAACTCTAAAAATAACTGAACTATAATTTTATGAATTTGCTAAATTAAATTTATAATGATGTTTCTATTCTTCATCTATTTCTGAATTAATCATTTAATTTTCTGTAAGCATGTAGGCTTCATTATTATCATCAATATTTAAACTATATATTCCTTAAGTATTAATAGCAATCACAAACCAACAAAATTTATCTTTATCTGGATAATCACATTTTTATTCAACAGATTATGATGATTCTCCATTTTTTATTTTTTCAATTGCTTCACATTTATTTCCTTTACATGATTTCACTTAAACTTAAACATCTTCTCCACTATCTGCTGATACTGTAAAATGATTATCTTAAATATCAGGTAATTTCAATTTATAATTTACAATTCCATATTGTTATCCCATAGCTAAATCACTACTTTCAATAGTAATTATATCAGTCTAATCTATAACTTCTATTTAATAACTTATTTTTTTGCTAGAACTTAATTCTAAAGTATTAAAATCTTCATTCCATAATAAATTATAATTTTGATGTTAAAATGTATCAATAATTTAATCTATAATTATTTCTCCTTATTGATTTTTTACTTTAATTTTCATAATATCATGAGTATGAGATTTAAGTTTTATTACTTTTAAACCTTCAATAACATATTCATTCTTTTTAGATTTCTCTAATGCATCTATCATTACTTAATTAATATTTAATCTTTATTATTTTACATATTCAAATCTTTCAATTTCAAATTCCTATTCTCCAGTTAAAACCATAATTGTTTCACTATCTATTCCATCATAAAATACTGCTATATATCTTGTGTCTCTATACATAATAGTTGGTTATTCTCCATAATAATATAGATTTGCATCAATCAATTTCATTACACAATTATTACATTTTATTGAATATACTACTCTATAATTTGAATTCTATGCAATTTTCAATAATTTTAATTTTGATTTTTATTATGTTCCAATCTATAATTATTTTATTTCATCTTGCATAACAATTATATTGAATTTACATGGTCCCTTTGTGCATTTTAAATCAACTTCTAATTTATCCTTACCTTATTCAAAATAACATATTCTTTATCCTTGTTTTAATTTACACTATCCTAAACTAACTTCCTCTAAATTATATAGAAACACTAATAATACCATAAATTAATATATTTTCATCAACCTCTTCTTCTTCTTTATTAGTCTTTCCCTTTTTCTTTTTTTTCTTTGAACCTTCATCTTCATAATTAACTAATTAAACTATTGTTGGCAGATTAGTATTCACCTTAAAACATAATTCTTATTTCTTTCCATTCTCTAAATTTATAGATTCAGATTCACTTATTGATCTAATGTTATTTCTATTTTATTACTTGCATGCTATTGCTATTGAGATTATCAATGAAAATATGATCATATTTTATTAAATTTAAATTTATCACAAAACATAATTACATTAGTATTTATATCAATTTTAACAATTTAATTTAAACTAATTATGGATTTTTCACCAGATATTTCAGAACGAATCGATACTCTAAGTAGAAAATGTTCAGAAAAAAAGAAAGTCATTCTAGACTTTATAAGTCTACTCTAAGCAAGAGCTGAACTTGAAGAGTATTATTCAAGAAGTCTTGAAAAAATTGGTAATTATTAATTACATATTGTTAGGAGAATCACTTACTAAATTGATACATGGAAAGGATAGTTTAAAGGATTTATTTATTATATTAAGGAGTTACTTTCATATTTAATCAGAATAAACTAGGACCTTTGCAAGATAAATCAAAAATGATGTTATATAGGAATTGGAATAACATCTCATTAAAGAAGATGGTTGGTAAAAAGAAATGTAATTTTTGAAATAAAAGCATTCCAAAGAAATTAGAAGAAATATTGAAAGTTTAAATTAATTAAGAGATGAATATATTTAAGCAATTAATGAAGAAAAGAAATACTAAGTTAATAAATAAATTCAAAAAAAACTCAGTTACAAACAAAGTGAAATCAAATTACAACATTTCATTGCATTTTATAATTAATATATTGAATCTTATTTCTAAGATATTGCTATTGTTTAAGATAAGTTTTCAAATATTGAATTAGAAAGAAGAAAAACTATTTAAGATTCTGGTATTAAATTCTTTATGTTTGAAATATCTGTTGTTCGTAATCTTTAATATGATCTAAGTGGAATAAGTTAAAAAATAGAATAATACAATCCTAAAAATGAATTAAATGAACTCTTTAAAGATTAACCATCTGATAAACCACTTCTTAGTAAATTAAATTTTGAAAACTATAAATCATTTATTCATTCATAATTGAATTTCAAACCAGATAATTAAATGACAATTAAAAAAAAGAAACCTATCTTTGATTAAACTACAATTTCTGAAAATTAAATAGAATCTACTTTATAATTTAAAGAAACCAATTAAATTTATATGAAAATGTTCTAAAGTGCTATGTTTAATAATATTGTTACAGATGAAACCGTTACTTAATTGAATGAATTACTTCAACAAACATAACCAGCAGTCTATATTCAATCATTAGATAAAATACTTAAATTAAGATTGAATCAAGAAGATGGTTAATAAAATACAACAGATTTTTAAGTAAGTCCTGAAGGTTATGTTTCATTACATAAATTAATTATTACATGTTTAGATTATTGCAATAAAAAAAATGATTATGCTACTATAATAATAGATGCTTATCAATTAACTAGATCAATTTATAAATTAATATAATTACCAAATGATAATCAAGAAATAAAAATGAGTGTATTTGGTATTAATATTTAATTTAATATTTTTAGAAGGATTAACAAATCATGCAGTATTACATAATTCATAAATCTGGATTAATTATGCAATTCAATTATAAACTTTGCTTGCTAATAATACTAGTGTTTTTGCTGAAAATAGTAATTAATTTATATATTTAATATTTTAGATGTAACAAAAGAATAGACATAAAAATAAATGGATGATTATATTGAGTCTTTATAGAGTATTGGATGTGATTAATAAATTGTTGAAGCAGTCAAATTGTAATTAAATTATAATGTCATACAGGAAAGTCCTATTTAATGATTATAATATATTTAAATTAATTACTATTCATAATCAACTCTTTTTAACAGATTCTTTGATACAAATTTTAGTATTTATTAAGTCAATAAATAATTAACATTTATATACGATGAATTATTTCAAGTCTTTCAAGCAAAGATGCAAAACCAATTAATAAGTAGAAGAAGAACCTTCTTAATTATTAATTCTCTGCATGAATTGTTAAGAATATATAAGATATGATCAAACTAATAAACATGCTTTAGTTTGTACTCAAGTAACAAAGAACATCAATCATATTGATAAAACTTACTCATTATTAGAAGAGAATCACTTTAAGTTACAAAAAATTAGAATGAGTTTAATGGAAAAATAGAATAATATATTAGCCCTTAGACTCATTAGAATAATTGAACTTGTTATTCAAATTTCAACTATAGGAAAAGTAGAAATATCTTGTTGTCAATCTTATTTAGCTGAAATCAATTAAATAAAATACATACCAAAATCATCATTAAATCTAAGTCTATATATTGAAAGAATTCAAGTACTAATTGAATAAAAAATATCAATTTTGAGATCTAATCTAGATATCAAATAAGAACAAGATATTCAATAAAGTTCTTAGACTAAAACCAAGAATATAATGACATAAGATAGTCAATCAAATCAATACAGTAATAAACTATATTGTTTGAGTGCTGATCAATAAGATAATAATAATGTATCAAAAGATTAATTATTAGAATAAATTAATAAGAAAATTCAAGAATGTAATACATTAAAAAGGGAATAGTAACATTATAATAATCTTATTAATCAAAATTTTTAAAAGAGTAAAAGTCCTAAATGGATGAATATTGAATCAACTTAAGTATTTCTACCTAGACAATTACATAAAAAGTTGTCGACTTAACAAGTTCCACTTAAAATGAATGCCAAAAGTGAAATATTAACTAATATTTCAACAAATGATATTGGATTTTTAGAAGAATAATCAAGGAAATGTGATTCTCAAAGCCAAAGATTATTTTATTCTAAATTGTTAAAACTTAAATTATAGACTTCTAATTTATCTTAAGCCTAACAATTATCTGCTATAATCTTATGGGATGAAGCATAAAAATTGAAATTAAAATAGGAAGATTTTGATACATTTTTACAAACAGCCATAAAAAATCCAAATAAATACTTAAACAACTAATTTTGAAAATCTATTGAAATTTATATTATTAGAATAAAATAATAAAAATTATATGAACCAAAGTACAACGGGAACCACTCCTCATGGATTAATATTTTCAGGAGCCTTTACCTTTGGTGAATCACAAAGATTACCATGGGTTAAAAAAGATGATTTGATTTCTAGTAAACTAGAAGTTGAGGGATGCAAAAAATTTGATGATTAACTTAGAAGAACTGAATCTAGACTTTCTAGTAAAATATCTAGAAGAAAATCTAATCTACCATAAGATGAAAAAATGAAACCAGTAAAAGCACCTAATCCACCTGTTGGAGCATACAATATTCATAATGTTTAAGTTATTGATGAAGAATAACTTAAAGTTCTTTTAGAGAAAAATTAAACTAAAGAATATCAAGATAAGATCAAATAAATGTATACTATTTAAACATCAATGGGTAAAAGATTATCTGGAGGTGAATTAGATTTACATTAAACTTGGGCAATTCATAAACCTGAAGTTGTCAAAGAACATCCAATAGGGTAGCAACATTATATATTTTAGTCCTGGATCATATAATCCATCTTTAACTAATCAACATTCATAGCCAGTTTTTGGATTTGGTTATAAATAAGAAACTAAATGGGCTAAAGAAGGGCCTTCACCAGACTAATATTATAATTCTGAAACTTTCAGTTAATTTAAAACTGCCACAAGTTGGGCTACCAATAAAGGAAAGAAGACTGGATTTGGAACTGCAAAAAAATTATAATTACCAAAATCAATTGATGTTGGACCTGGAGATTATAGAGAAGTTTCTTAAGAATTAGCACCAAAATATTCTATACCAAAAGGAGAAAGAGAATTACCATCTCATAAAATTGTACCAAGTCCTGATACTTATTCTCCAGCTTTGAACTAATTTAAAAAAGCTTTTAGTTTTGGTCATAAATATATTCCTATTTTGACTACTGATTATTTTGATCCTGGTCCAGGAGGTAATTACAATTATTTATAATAGCTCATGATCCTAAACTTCCTCATCCTTCTACTGCCAAAGAAATCAAAATGTTAAAATAAAATAGATCATAACTTGTTACAAAAGAATCATTATTGAAACCTGGACCTGGTACTCATGATCCTTAAATGGTTCCCACTCGAATTACACATAGTAAATCTTAATTATCTATGGGAACTGGTGAAAGATATAATCCTAATACTGAATTTCGATTATCTTAAGATAGAGTTCCTTCTCCAGGAAAATATGATATCAACTCAAGTTTATAAGGTCCAAATTATTCAATTCGTCTTAAATATGAACAAAGAAATCATAATCATACACCTGGGCCAGGATAATATGACCCAGATTCTCAACTTGTTTAAGATTCATTTACAAAACCTCTTGAACATTACACTAAGGCCTAAACAGCACATGCCAGTTTAACAAAAGGTTATAGATCTGATCCAGTGCTTTCGAAATTTAAAAACATTGGTCCTGGAAGTTATTCATTACCATTTAATACAGGTCCAAGACCAAGGTTTTTAATTTTTGTATATTATTATTAGTCTCGGAAAAGCAGCTAGATTCCCTCCAAAAGAAAAAGAAGAAATAGGTCCAGGATCCTATTACATTACAGGAACTATTGGAATTATACCAAAATATCATTTTGAAAAAACCAGAGATAAAATGTAATCTTCATTTTCATAATTTGATAAATTTAGTAGATGATTTATTATTTTTATACCCATATTATTAGTATATATAATCATACAATAGTTCTACTCATATCATTTATTGCTATTCTTTAAGCTTATGTCAAATAATCTGCTACTAATTGAATCAATGTTTCTATTTTAGATTATACATCTGTTAAAGAACCAATCTAAATCTATTATATTTTAGTTGTCATATCATGTAAATCAATAAAAAGTAATTATTATTAATGATCTTATTTGAAATGATCATCAAGAGGATTAGGAAGTAATAAATCAAGTTATGGAGAACTTTACATTTGTATATGAGTTATGATTCTTGTATATTTTTGAACTAAGGTGATTAAAGTATTTAATGAGTTTGATAATTAAGCAAATTTAATATTGATATTTATTGAGAATTCATATTATTGATGTAAAAGTTCAGCATAATTTGCATTTTATTCTTTAATTTATTTTAGTTGATTATTTAAAATACAAGTTTCATCTGATCTATCCTAAAATGACAATGTTTAACTTTATTTAAATATGTTTTCATTAGCAAATTAAATTAATGAATGTTGTAACTCAGTTGAACATCTTTTTTAATCTAATTTTGCTTTTTCTATTTCTGATATCAACAACTTTATAGTTTATTCTTCCTTTTTTTATATGACATCTTTTTCTATTTATAAAATGTCTATCTATTTCTAACATTCTTAAATTTATGCTTTTAATTCATTAATTATTAATTATTGTTATTAACAACTTTAACAATTAAATGAATCACTATAATCTGTTCTTAATTAAAAATGATCATCTCCAAATTTACTTTCATTTTCTTTAAATTTAATAGCTGTTTTTTGTCTTATTTTTGATAGACGAGCATCAAGCATATAATTCAAATAACTAGTTTATGATTTTTTATGTAGTTAAGAATTCTTTAAATTCATCTTTAATTTATTTTAAATAATTTACTGTTTATGTTAATAATAAAATGTAAAAAGTATTATTTATAAATGAACAAGTATAAAACATTTATTTATAAGTTTAACATCAAATATAATTTCAGATTCTTAATACAATATTCAATACATATACTTACTATATATTTATATATTTCTAAGTTATTTATTAATATAAATGATGAAATTCATTTAGATTTGTCAAATGTATAATACTATTTTTATTTTTAAAGATAGTTTACATAATTATTCTGTTAACTTAATTATTTATAATTTATTCTTTAAAAATAAATTATTAAAAATGATAACAAATACAAATGGTGTTGCATACAACATATATCATTTTTTATGGTTTAAAGATGAATCATTATTAAAAGAATCATTTCAAATTAGAATACCAGACACATTAATTTATAAAAATGGAGTTCCATAAGTAATAATAATTATCTAAATTTAGGTTTGGTACTTTACCAGTAAGGAAGGAGAGATTATGACCAAGAAATCAGAGGCTAGAAAATCTGAAAATCTAATTAAACATTTTTGTTAAGGTGATAAACCTAATGGATAAGTTATTGCATACTATATATACCCTCAAAAATATAATCATTCTGATCCTAAAGAAGAAAAAACCTTTCCAAATTAATCAAAAAAGGCTAAACCTCTTTTAGACTTCGATGAAAAGATATGCATATATTATCTAACAAAACAAATGTTTCCTGATTTCGTTAATTCGCAAAACAAACCACCTTCTGGGATTTTATAAAAGTTTATAGAACCATTAGGAAATCATGAATCTTTGATTTAAGCAATTTGGAGTCCTTCTGTGTGTATACTTTCAAAGAAATAAAACAACCGTGATTTATATGATATGGCATATGATCCTTATGGTATTGATATTGTCTATCATAGAAAGGTGTACAACCTTTGATGGAGGAGAAGCTTATTCTAGAGTAATTCCTTTAAGGGGAAAGGAGATTTCATAAGAAATAAGAAAACAATGTTAAATGATTGTTCAAAAAATAACAAATTTGAGCTATGGACAAACTAATTTATCTAGAATAGTTTTTTATTTTAAAGCAGATTAAGTAATTAATAGTGTATATATTTTGTATAGAATAATAAAGTATGGTTTTTATATTCTTCTTCAATAAGAATATAAGGAGAAGCCCAATCATAAATAAAGTTATATAAACCTTTATGGGGTAATATAAATGTAAAAAAGAATAATACTCCAATTCCATTTAATACTAATTTCCAAAAACCATATTCAATTAAGAATATGCTAACAGTAAATACAATGCATCCAGTAGCTTTAATTAAAGATATTGAATGTTTTGAATGTGGATTATTATGTCAATAAAAAGGTTAATATTTGTATATAATATTTAGATCTATACCATTTGACTTATGAATATATCATTAAACATTTTGATTAAGATGTAAATTAACATCCACTTGTGAATAATATTGAAATAATTAAGCCTAAATCCTTTTAATAATGTGAAGGTCATCTTCGAGATATACATTCACACATCCCACCTCTTATATTAAAGCTTTATCCACATTTAACAGTGCAATTATTTGAATAATTAAAAGTGAATGATGCTTTTTTAATTAAATCAGTTCTAATTTGTGAAAGTTGTTTTTTAAAATATAGTGAATCAGATCCAGGAATATCTGGAGCTAAATTAAGAGTATCTAAATAATTAAAGAGAATTGTTAAATAATAACCTTCTAAAAGTATACTTAATAGAAGACCAGATTTAAAAGAATTTTTAATTGAAACTAATCTAGAGCTTTTGAAATACAAACATGCTCATTCTATAAGTTAAACAAAGGAGTTATAATCTAATAGTCATGTCACAACTTCATTTTTACATTCCTTTCAGAATGTTACTTAAAGTACAAATATGGGTAGAAGTCCTTCTTTAAAGTAATTCAGAAATCCAACTGAACCTGGATATATTAGATTACATACAGCAAAATGAAAATGTTATATAGTTTATATATACTAATTTTATTATCATAAGAAGATGTAAATGATTACTCCAATAACAAGAGCTCCAAATATTCCTATAGCTAAGTAAGCAACCCAATTTTATTTAGTATTAACTGCTGCTGCCCCTTTTTGAAATTGATTAGCCATTTGAGATACTTCTGTACTCTTGTGATGAATAACATGTAGTTGTTCCTAATTCATTTAAAACTTCCTTAAGTTTTCCTCCATTAATCCTTGGATAGAATCAACAGACTTACAAGTTATTTCAATTTTATCATCTGTAAAAGGATCTCTATCATATTATGTTAATAACTATTTGTTATTAAAAAGTATACATGTCTTAAATTTGGTTCTAAGGGTTGAAATTCATATTTCCCACTTTATATTTATCTCTTTAATAATTCTTCAATTTATTTTAACAATCTCATTGCACTTGGCATTGGATAAGAGGATGTAACTAATAAACTAATTACTATATTGTTCTTTAATGAACAATACCAAGCTCCTGATTATGAATAAATCTTTTAAACAGGTAAAGAAGGAACATGTTATGAATCTTATTAGTTCAAAATTTGCTAATATAATAATTAAGCTTCTTATTGTAAATCATTTATGAACACTGGGTTTTCAGCTACTAATGATAAGATTCCATGTTTGCTTAATGTACTTAAATTGATCACGCATGCACATTTAACTCTACAATTTAAATCCATTAATTAAGTATAAATTATTTATTATAGAAAATATTTATTTATACATATAATATTCTAAAAAAATAACTTAGTTAAATGAAATAACAATGTGAAAAAGATGAATAGTATGATCTTATCATTGATGAAAATCTATCTATTTAAGAATAATCAACATCAACACAATCTAAACAAAGTAATGCTAATTTGAATATGTTACAAGACAATTCTAAAAATTTTAAATAAAAAAGAACTCAAAGTAATTATAACTATAATTTTAAAGAAAGCTTACTTTAACTCAATCACATTCCTCCATAAAGAAGAGGATCTCAATCCTGTGTAGAACCAATTTAAATCATTTAGGAAGAGGTAATCATTCAATTCATATGACTATTAGTCCTATTAAACTGGAAAACAAAAACTATATAATGTATTTTGGTATGATGAAAATATTGATAATAAATATGAAATTTATGTATCAGCAACTTAAGACACTTTAATTTCTGATTTTATTACGTTAGTTATAAAAGAATTCAATTTACAACATGATTATATTCATTTCCCATTTATTGAAGATGGATCACTCCTTTATGAATTGTATATACCTAAAAAAAAGAGTGGAAAACCAAATGAAGATTTTCCAGGTAATTACTATTTAATATTCTATAAGCTTTTTCTGATAAAACCTAATTAGGCAAAACAAATATCACTTAATTTACACTCAAAGTGACAAAATTAGACTCACATTATGTTAATTCAATTGCCTAATAAAATTAAAATGTTTAGTTATCAACAACAAAGTTTAAAGATTAAAATCTAGGGGATGGAAAATCCTTTTGGTAAAAACTTTTCTTTTGCTGTAATTTCGATATTTGATTATATTTTTTAATGATAATTATTATCATCCTAATATTTTTGCTTCTTTTTTAAAAGAATTAATATCATTATTGAAGATTTCAGTAATTATTTCAAAATATTCTCTAATAATTTGTTATTATTTTTTTTTAAATATCCATAAATTATAAATACTCTATAAATTAAATTATTTCAATACTTATTATGATTTTGATAACAATATTTGTTTGAAATTGATCAGAAAATCTTTTTATTTTATTAATAATCTTTAATGTTAAAGTAGATATAATTACTTTAATTTTAATTGATTATTATCTAGCTAATAACAAAATAATATTTAAAACTAAATCAATATTGATTATAAAATAAACAATGTCTAATAAAATATAAGAATTGACAATTCTTAAGGTTTTCTCTTAGATTAAATCTAGGATGTTAAGTATTTAGTTTTGGATATGTATTGAATATGAATAAATACAGATATTTATTAAGAGATCTGTTTAGTTTGCAATAGAAATGATTGATATACTTAAATTAAAAATTTAGATTTATAAATAATTCAGCTAAAATTTACCTAAAATATATATACATTAATATAGTATAATAAATTTTATTGATGATCTAAATGCAAGACATATAGGAATCTATGATTCTTAATTATATTTCAAGTGATGAGGATGATGATATGGAAAGTCCTTTAATCAATTAAAGTCCAGTAGAAATAAAATAGAAACAAAAAAAATATGATTAAGACTAATCTATCACTTAAATACCAAGTGAGCTTTCATTCAATAGAAATATGGATAGAAGAATTAATGAAACAATAGTTCTACAAAATCATGCAGATGAAATAACTTTGAAATCAACTAAAAATGCAAAAGAAGCATATCAAAGAGAAATAATAAAAGAATTAGTTTCCAAATAGAAGAAGAGATTTAAGGTAGATGGATTCAATTTAGATTTAACATGTAAATTTAATATTTTAATTTAGATATAACTGATAATGTAATAGCTATGGGATTCCCAGCTGAAAGTTTTGAAGCAATATATAGAAATCCAATGCCGGAGGTTTAAAAATTTTTAAATAGTCGTCATCCAAACAATTATATGGTTATTAACTTGTAAGCTTACTACTCCTACCTAGATGTTCAGAGCGTAAGTACAAACATGAGTCTTTCTATAAAGTGGCCGAGTTTCCTTTTGATGATCATTAAGCACCTCCATTTAATATGATGGTCGAATTTTGTTAAAAAGTTCATGAGTGGTTAACAGCAAATTCTAATCATGTTGTTGCAATTCATTGTAAAGCTGGTAAAGGTAGAACTGGTGTTATGGTGTGTTGCTATTTGTTATTTAGTGGAAAATACACTTCAAGTTAAGATGCATTAGCTTATTATGGTTTAGTTAGAACATAAAATAAAAAGGGTGTAACAATTCCCAGTTAAATTCGATATGTTCATTATTTCAGTTATGCCTTGAAAAATGAGTTGGTTAAAATGCCATTTAGATAAATAGAATTAGTATCTGTAAGATTAGTAGGTGTATCTAATGGAACAATGATAAGAGTCTAAAATAATGATAGGTAATTAATAGAGAAGGCTTAGATTGTATCAGATAAAGAAATACTTTTTGCATTCAATGATATATTTTTATAAGGAGATGTTCTCATTTAAATATTCCATAAGTCAATTGTATCAGAATCCAAAATCTTATAAGCTTGGTTTAACACTAATTTTGTATCCCTTTCCCCTAGAGAACAAGTGTTTAAAGCTGAAGAATTAGATATGTCTAAGAAATCAATGAAGCATTCTACTTAAATTCAAATGGAATTACTGTTTGATTAAGTAATTCACACTAGATAAAGATCTAATTGCTTATCAAAAGGCAAATGATATATAATTAACTATCAAAAATCTAAATATTAAACTGCTGCTCCAATATCTATCAAATCAAATGGTTTGGCAATAAAATAATCAGCTCCATTCTTAAAACATTCCAATTTCTAATTCAAATCCACAAATGTAGCTATTATAATTACATATCCCTTATCAATTAAACTATTTCTCATTTACTCTTTTAAAGATCTTACTAAATCTATTCCTTATAAAATCTAAATATATTTACAAATTTATATACTGGCAAATAAAATTCTATAAAATATAACAGATAAGATTTGTTTCCACAATGACATGGTTTGTTTTGTTTATTTTATATTAATTTTTAAGCATCGATACCATTAAATGCCTTATCACATTTGATATTGTATTTTTCTAAGACTTTTTACAATGAAAAAACACTATAATGATCATTATCTACAATTAACACTTTAGCACAACAAGTCAATCTTAATCTGAATTTAATAACTGATGATAGTAATTTTGGAGTTAATTCAGGAGGATGAATAGATGGATTGCTCATTTCAGCTCCAAAATCAAAATTAGAATGTGTTTTCATTGAATCATGTTAAGAGTCACTTTTTTCATTTCTATCATTTCTTGTTTTTTTATAAGGTTATTGAATTATATCAGGAAATCCTTATTTCCAAGTACCAGAAAAACTATTACTCTATTCTTTTGATTATCTAGGAACTGATCCAGAATTTTAAACTTATTTAGAATTTGATGAATCCTATTTAATTCTTGAAATTTATGAGAAATATGCACTTTACACATCAAATGGATCTCCTGGTTTAATAGAAAATTATTTTGATAATTAAGTTAATGAAAAATATCTAGAATAAAATATGTAATTACTTTGATTCCTCTCTATAACCACTACTATCTTATGCTAATAATAAAGATAATGATGTTTCATAATATTTTCTTTAGCCTAAAATTTTAATAGGACCTGTATCTTAATGAGATTGCATTCTTTATTAATTTGTTTAGGATTCTATTACAAAAGTAAAAGTGCCATATCCCTAACTATCATATAAAAATTCTAGACCTCTTTTAAATGTACCAGACAATTACCAACATAATATCACACAAATTTATAATTCTAATGGATTATTAAGATCAACATCATAAAATGAAGTTAATTTAAGTGTTGAATTTAGTAATCTAACTAAATTTGAAATTGATTTTCTTGTATTATCATCCTTAGCTATCATACTATCTTTAAAAGATACCATAATACCACTTACAGTATAACTTTTAATATCTAATTTTAATTATGATGCTGATGTATATTTTAAACAATAGGATAATAAACATGCTAGGATTTATTTTAACTAATTTAATTATAATTATTATACTCTATCTAAATCACTAAATATCACTTAATTATTATCACTTAAATCTATTGATGTTGTCAAACTTACATCTCTAATTTTTAAATTATCTTCATATATAATTAATAATTCTTCAATTAAATCATTTACTTTAAATGCTGAAATTCTCAAAAATAACTAATTTTATATAAAAAATATATAATCCCTCATACTGTTAACAAATAGAATATATCTCATACTCATCATTCTCATAGGCATATAATAATGATGTTTTAATGATATTTTCAAAGTATTTTCATGTTCATGTTATGTAAGTAAAATTAGAGTTAATATACAATTGATATAACTTACAGATTCATGCACAAATGTAGAAAATATATTGATGATTGGTTAACTGTTGTCATCCTTTTTTTTTTGAGGAGGCTACTGTTCAAAAAGGAAGATTAAAAAGGAGGATTCATTGACCTTATTCACAAAAGCCTTGATTTGGATATTCTCAAAATCGAACACATCGCTTCTCAATCTAAACAATGTCACCATACTTGGCCGCCATCTCTTTAATTCCAACTAAACTACTTATCGATCTCGTTTTGCATCATCAAACTCAAATCTCTAATTGTCAGATTCGACTTCATTCGGCATTTATGATAATCATTTACTCTACTTAGCAAAAATGAGCCACTTTAAATTATTAATTAATTTTATTACTCACTATTCATAGACTAATCATTATTATTGCTATTGATTTCCATTAACTCTTTACTTCCAACTAAAATCTAACAATCAAGGAACAATTCTTCATAGTCTGGCTTTGATTGTTATTATGTTTATTATTCATCTAAATTTGATTATTTTAATAATTTCCCTAAAAATATATTCTAATAAACTATATTAAGCTTTTTATTGTAAACTAAAGCAGACTAATTTTGTATCCAAGCTACATTCTATAAAATTAATTCATCATCATTGCATTCCATTTTTATTGCATTGATTTCTTAACTGACTGACTATTATTAATTTGATTTGCTTATTAAATCTCTATTTTTTATTGATTCTTTTACTATATAATATATTATAATTGATTAGATATACATTCTAATGATTTTAATTTAAATGTTTAATCTACAAATTCTTCATTTGATTTAACAGATTTCCATTTCATAAACATTAAACCAAATAAAAATACTACATTAATGAAATATAATAAATTGAATGGGATTTCAGTCACATAATTATTTTTTTATTCTTATATTAGATTTATTAGAAACACTGTGCTTAAAATAAATGTTTAGATAATATCATCTTCAATCAAATGTACAATTATCATACAAAATTAACACATTTCTATATTTATTGAAATTTGAATTAAAATGAAGATAATCTTAATAATCCAAACTTACTTAATATGAGTACTATTCTTATATTTAAAGAATAGATAAATCAATAAAATTATTGAATTTAAAGTAATTGGTAAAATTGAATCAACTCCTTAAGATTAATATAGTCCTACTTTATTAATAATCATTACCTAAAAGTAGAGCTAAGAAAATCAACAATTCTTTTAGAAGATACTGTCCTGCATTCTTTTGTGACATAAATATAATTAATTTTATATTTATCTATAGATTATTTCAAAAATTCAAATATAAAAATTGAAAATATATAATGACAAAATTATTATATAATATACTTATGGATAATTCATATATCATTTTAATTTATGTATTCAAACATTAAATAAGATTATTTTTAATAAAAACAATTTTATTTTAAGCTATTAAAATTAATAAATATATAAGCAATCAAATAAATTTGAAAATTCAAAGTAATTTCTTCACTTTTCTTATTTTTGATACAACAAAACATTTAATAGAATAAGATGATGTTGATAAATGTTTCTTCCTACATAAATTATTATAATTCTATGATTCAATATATTTTTTATATCTATTTATTACCTAATTATAATTATTATGTGGATTATATATTTTGTATTCACACATTTTTTCGAATTTATTAAATAAAATATCATTTAAGTAATATCCTTAATTCTAATTTTTATTAATAATATTTTACTTCAGGACTTGTTAATGCTTAAAATTATGACATTTAATTTGGAGTGCTCTTAGTACAAGATTTCAAACTCCTATTATTATTGATTCTATTTTATTCTGTAGTTAAAGACTTTGAACTATTTAATTTTCTTGTACCTGTCTATTATTCCATTACTCTATCTTAACTTGATTACATAGATTATTTTTAGGATCTATTTTATCTAGAATTTGAAGATGGATTATTTGAAATATCTTTAGAAAGTGAATTAGAATAAGTATTAGATCTATTTGAAGTTTATCTAATTGATTATTTTATATTTGAAGGTTATTATTATTGGTAAATTGCTATTGATTATTATTATTAATATGAATCAGTTTTAATTAAATCTTCTCTATGTATACATTGAGATTATTCCTTTTAATATTGAAAAGTCAATTTATTTGCATTGTAATTCCTAGAAGTTTAATATAGAATTGTTTTTTCTTTGTTCATTTAATGTTCTAATTAACTTAAGATTTCTTTGTCATCCTTTTCAACTATTGATAAATTATTATTATTAATTAAATTTGGTTCTATAGCAAAACCAGCTGTTTTTAATGTTGTTTTATTTGAATTCTTACGAATATTCTTAACTTAATGTTCTTAAAAAGGAATAGTTTATTCATCTTAGATTTCTTAATCTATATTAAATTATTCAAAACTCTCTACATTGCTATATGATTAATATTATTCAGGACTCAAATTCTTTTGACCCATAGAATTACTAACAAAACTTACAGACTAATATGTTTAATCTAATATATTAAAGAATTTTACTTTCAGAATATGGTAATTATGAAATTTCTGGTAATTCATCAGATATCTATTCTTAACTTTATTTATTAACATATTATTTTGCTTTATCTTAATTTAAACTTAGATCTTACCAAGCAAAACACTTACGTATTCTTCTAGTCCATCTTCTTCTTTATTATTTCTCTGTATATAAATATTTCTCTATTGTATTTAATCTTTAAGGGAAATATTAAATGTGTTTGCATTCTACTATATAATGTCCTCTTATTTTGCAATAATAACATTCAAAGATTTTTTAATTGTAGAATGCATTGTCTTTCATTGTACAAAATATTTCATTATCAAAAGGATAATTTGATATTATAGAAGTGAAATCAGATCTCTTTAATTTCATTAAGATAGTTGATCCTGAACTAAAAATACTTATATTAGATGGAATTCCAGTAATAAAAGAGTATTATCCAAATGTCTATCCTTCTGATAAGGTAGCTACTTCTCTTTTGTTTGTCCCAAAAGAAGACCCTTAAAATTACACCTTCACTTAGCCTTTCAATATGTAAAATAATCCTAAATCATCTGCTTAATGCTCCTTTTGTTACTAAAAATATTTATACTATTATGATATTGTCTTCTGGATTAAATTACACTTATTCTATTTCATATAATAATTATTATTTAAAATGTGGCGAAAATCTATTCATTAATTCTATTTTATCAATCATTGTAGATCTTAAAGAGAGTTCTATTTCATCTTCCAAATCTGGACTCAACTTTTTTGTTAATTGATCTTTGGCTTTATTGAGATCTTCCTTTAAAATTTGAAATAATTCATGTACATCTATTCGAAATTCAAGATAAGAATAACATCTCCTAAGTAAATCATCATTTTCACATTTCTCTCTAAATCTTTCAACAAATCCTTTAAGTAATTTCTACTTTTCTTCTTGAATCTCTATTTCTGGTTTCAACCAAATATAAAATATCATTGAAGTATAAGCAAGACATACATATGATAGAATCATATAAATTGAAATTAAAACTGAATTTTGATTGGAAATCTCAATTGCTAAAATTTATATAAATATAATATTCTTACAAATATTCGAACAATGAGTAAGAAAGGATATTGCTAATACAATACTGTAAGATAAAGGTATATCTTCATCCAAATTAAAAACTCTAATTATATTATAATAATACCTTAATAAGTACAAACAAAGGATATTATTACTGTAATCCACAATTAACAAATAAAAATGAAATGATGTGTTGATCTATATATGTTTTCAAAACTTTCATTCTATCTCAACAATGATAAGATCATCATTACTAAAATAGTTAACCATTTGATATTAGGAGATATTTAAAAGAAATTGTTGAATATTAACAGTAACATTCGACTTGTATCTAATATTTTTTTTGATTCATCTTAATAATTGACTTTGATAATTCCTCTACACATTTTATATGGACCTCTTTAAAAAAATAAATCTTAAAAAATAGAGATTAAATTAAATCCAAATATTATGTGAGACAACACTTAAAAAAGTAATGGTACTTCAAAAAATTATACTAAAGGTATAAAAATAGATGCCAGAAAATTCGAAATGATTGTTGATAAAAAAATGTACATAGTAAAGTAATGATATTTAAAAGGTGATACTAAATATAATTATAAAAAAGATTTTTACATTCCTAATATTCTTTTGTTAATAAAGGATCATTATATTTTGAATAATGTATTAAATTCAACAATTTGACTTTAATTTAGTTTATGATCATTTTGACTTTTTCCTAATTGATTTATTTATATTTTCTACCTTCTAAAATAGATCTCATCTATAAAATTGATAAATAAGGAATTTAATACAGAATTTTAAGAAGAGGATATATTTGAAGTTTCGTAACGATAGTTTAGTTATTATTGTTTTTTATGATCTGACTTAAAAGCAATTTATTCTACACTTTTATTAGAGATTATATTGGAAAGAATAGTAGGTGCCATGAAATCTTCACTTCCTTAACAATCGACAGGTTATTAAGGAAAGGTCCTTAGAAATGTCGGTTTTGAATGATCATATTTTTTACTTAAGTATATAGATGGTTGATCCTCATCATCTTGATATTATTAGGTTTATTTAATTTGATTTTATTTTGAGATTTTGTTGGATAAGTTAGAGTTAATCTATAATTGGTCATTGTTTTACAGAATTTATTGATTCTTATATTTCATCATAATTATTCAAAAAATATATTGATTAATAGCTAAACTCTAATATTAATCATATATTATGTTATATTATCTAACCTCTACAACATCTATAGTTATCTTAAAAGAATTGTTGAATTTGGATAATAATTTGTTTAAAAATGTTTAATGAAAATTTGATATTATTTTATATGTTAAATATAATAAGATACATAATAATGAGTATTTTAATCATCTATTACTTTATAGATGATAAATTTCATCTAAAATAAGATCAGCATAAAATTTATATGGCTTAATTAATTTTGTTTGCATTTCTATTCTCCTACCTATTCTCAAAATCAAAAAAGTAATCTACATTAATATACTCTAATAAATATGTGAGTTTGTACAATTCTTTTAACTTATATTTTAAGAATCATATCGAAAACTTATTTAAAATTAAAAAAATACAATTCTTTGCAAAAGATTTTTCTCCAAAATTTTTAATTGCAATCTCCAAATCAAATTAAATATTTATACAGAATGAATTTGCATTTTATAAAATTAGAAATCTAAATTGATATAGAATACTTAAATATTTATAAATAAATCTCCATAATATTTCACATTTTGAAATGTATATAGACAAATCAATTTTCATTAATAAATTTATAGCCAATTTATTTGTGCAAATAATTAATCATAATTTAAATTGATCAAGATCTGGATGATGTACTTTTGGTTCAGTCTATGGAGTTTCAAGTGGTGTTTTTACAAATGTATATGATTCAGCTCCTTTCATAGTTGATTTATCCTAATTCATAGTTCGAATTATACATTCAAGCTTTTATTATGTTCTTTGAAAAAGAATGTAAGATTATTTGGATCCATTTCCAAAGCTACTCTTAATTTTTCTCCAATTCTTAATTTTTCACTTTCTCTTCTGTCTTTCAACCATATTTCTAATAAATTTCTTCTTTCTCTAATAGACAATACTACACCAATTACATTATCATCATCAAATTCTTCTCCTATACATGCTTAAAATGACTTAACAATTGATACCAAATACTAATGCTTCCCATTTCTTATTTAATAATTCATTTTCTCTTTTCTTAAAATGAATAATCCATGTACCTCCTTCTAAACATTCTTCCCACATTGGTCTATGACCTTTTCTAAATAACATTATTTTATTATCAATATCAATCTATAAGTTTCTTTAAATATTTACTTCACTAGGTCTGCCTAAAAAACAATAATATGTAAAAAATTCTTCAACTGTATTAAATTCACCAATTTCTTTCAAATTTACATCATAATGATCTGAACCTGCAATAGCTTTTCTACCTCTTGGAGCATACCAAAATACCCAATTTTATGATAGTTTATGAGCCATTAAAATATTAATAAAATTTGATAAAAATGAATGAATAACAATGTAATTGATTTCAATTCTAAAACTAGTTATGAAATAAACAGCATAAATATTTTGTTAGGATCCTAAAATAAGATAATCTTAATGTATAGATGAAAGAATATAACTTTATGATTAAGTGTAAAATACATATTTTAATATTAATTCAGATTATGTAAAACTCTTGGTAAGACCTATCCAACAATGAATCAAACTGTTAATTAAGATTGTTAATTAGAAAAGTTGCCACAATAAAATACTTTGTTAGATTCCTTTATTAAAAATCTACTTTAGAGTGATAAAGGGTTAGTATNTCTCCATAATATTTCACATTTTGAAATGTATATAGACAAATCAATTTTCATTAATAAATTTATAGCCAATTTATTTGTGCAAATAATTAATCATAATTTAAATTGATCAAGATCTGGATGATGTACTTTTGGTTCAGTCTATGGAGTTTCAAGTGGTGTTTTTACAAATGTATATGATTCAGCTCCTTTCATAGTTGATTTATCCTAATTCATAGTTCGAATTATACATTCAAGCTTTTATTATGTTCTTTGAAAAAGAATGTAAGATTATTTGGATCCATTTCCAAAGCTACTCTTAATTTTTCTCCAATTCTTAATTTTTCACTTTCTCTTCTGTCTTTCAACCATATTTCTAATAAATTTCTTCTTTCTCTAATAGACAATACTACACCAATTACATTATCATCATCAAATTCTTCTCCTATACATGCTTAAAATGACTTAACAATTGATACCAAATACTAATGCTTCCCATTTCTTATTTAATAATTCATTTTCTCTTTTCTTAAAATGAATAATCCATGTACCTCCTTCTAAACATTCTTCCCACATTGGTCTATGACCTTTTCTAAATAACATTATTTTATTATCAATATCAATCTATAAGTTTCTTTAAATATTTACTTCACTAGGTCTGCCTAAAAAACAATAATATGTAAAAAATTCTTCAACTGTATTAAATTCACCAATTTCTTTCAAATTTACATCATAATGATCTGAACCTGCAATAGCTTTTCTACCTCTTGGAGCATACCAAAATACCCAATTTTATGATAGTTTATGAGCCATTAAAATATTAATAAAATTTGATAAAAATGAATGAATAACAATGTAATTGATTTCAATTCTAAAACTAGTTATGAAATAAACAGCATAAATATTTTGTTAGGATCCTAAAATAAGATAATCTTAATGTATAGATGAAAGAATATAACTTTATGATTAAGTGTAAAATACATATTTTAATATTAATTCAGATTATGTAAAACTCTTGGTAAGACCTATCCAACAATGAATCAAACTGTTAATTAAGATTGTTAATTAGAAAAGTTGCCACAATAAAATACTTTGTTAGATTCCTTTATTAAAAATCTACTTTAGAGTGATAAAGGGTTAGTATATATATTTTACATCAAATTAGAGCTATGTTTTGTTATAATTAATACTAATAAAATAGATTACCCTAACCTAAAATAGAATAAAATTAGAATCAATAACGAATTCAAAGATAACCTCCAAATTATAATTACAATTAAACTTAATAATAAGACCGTTATAATGAATATCAAATACCTCCTTAATAAAGACATGTAATAATGGAAAATTAATATCAACCAAGATTCCAAGGATTATCTCAACCTTTTAATAATTCTTAATTGTATAATTCCAGAGTATATAATTAATAAAATGATCAATAACAAATTTATACATTTGATATAATTGAAGAATCAAAAAGAAGAAGAATCCAATAAATTCAAAACTATAGATATAAATGATTATTAATATTTAAAATATTCATATGCTCTGAATACTGTTTCCCTCAAATTCATCTTCCAAATCATCATCATTAAACTAATTTTCACCATCATCTATATGCATAATTTATCAATTATACTTGCTTCTCCATCTTAAATGAAACCCATATCTTCTCTTCTTTGATTTTATTATTATGTATTATCTTCATTCAATTTATATGCTTCTTTCAAAAATGCTGGTACATCTTCTATTTCATATAAATCCACTACAATACAATCCTATTGATATTATAATGTTTCATACTTTCTTCTAATGAATCATCTCTGAACACACTCTACAACATGTTACTTTATGTTTCATACAAAAGAAATGTTTCACTCTATCATTATGAAATTCACAAAACTCTAATCCTGAATCTGGATCTACTTAAGGATATGCATTTTATTATTATTGACGTGCTTTTTATGATTATAATGCTGATTATTAAAATTATGTAAACAAATATTATTGTGGATCTATGACTTCTGTTCCTCCATGTTATTTACTCTTATTATTTATATCATCTGCCATTCTAGTGAAAATTGTATGATTAATCTATCTATTAATATTATTCTTTTACTGGTAATCTATCAACTGAATCAAGATGTTTAATTAATTTTAAACAAAGTGGACATCTTACTCTTCTATTTCTAAATTAATTATATATAATTGTATATTACCTATAAAAATTAGTTAGACAAGCTGTACAAATTGTATGTCCACAATGAATCAATATTCTAGGCAACCTGTCTTTCATATTGTAATCATTCTTGCATAAAATGCATTATCTTTGATTAAGCAATTTGCTGACAAATTCATTGATTTTTGATAAATATTCAGTTGGTGGATTATTTGATTATTCAAAGAAATATTGTGTTGGATTTTGAACTACTTTCATTAAATAAAATAATTTAATTTGTTAAGAAAAACATAAAATTTGAATTCATTGTTTATTTATTATTAATATATTTAATATCTTTATATAATTCATTAATTTTAGGAGAGTTATAAAGTAATAGAAATATTCTACTTTTTATTTTTTTTAATTAATAGAATATCATTATTATTAATGTATTACTATCTATATGTAATAGTTTAATTATTTATGATATATTATAAAATTTAACATTTGCTGTCTTTAATAGATTTGATTAGTATTGAATAAATAAGAAGATACAAGTTGATTTTTATTAAGTATTATTATTTGTGTTATTCTTTTATAAGTTATTAATTATTTGATTATTTTTCTAAAAAATGAGGTATTTTTTCAAAAGAGATTTATAGACTTAATATATACTAGTATTTATAACAATTGTAAAAAATAAATAGCACATTTGAATGTTTAAATATTGATATTTTTGTTTTTAGATTAATTACTAATAATTAAATAGTTAATGAATTAAATATTCAATTAATTTTTAATATTGACTATCAGTATGTTAATATGTTTTAAGCAGATTTTGCATTAATTATTTCAGATAAGGTTAAAATTAAAATCATTTTTTTAAATTTAGAATTAATATTTATAAGTGGCTTATATAAATTTAAGGTTAAGGAGTAAACTATCCTATATTTTTTTAAAAAAACTAATAATATATATAATTAATAGATAATATAAAACAAACCTCAAATTTAGATAAATATCATATTTTATTATATTAATTTTAATTGATTATATTTATATCAAATATAAATATCATTTATTATCGTAATTATTTAATTCATAATTATGTTTTTAATATACTTAAAATTAGTATTGCCCTTAAATTTATTATATCCGCAACAACGAAATGATATTCAAAAAATATTTTAATTTAATTTAAAACCTCTTCAAATAAATGAACGGTCATCGAAAGTTAACTCTTAATGAATACCAAACAAAATTAAAGCAAATCTAAGAGAACAGAAGTCCCAAAACAAATAAATTTCACACTCCCTAACAAAAAATGAATTTGCCTTCTCCAAAGATATAAATTGCTTGCAAATAGCAATAACACAAACTATTTTCAGATAGATCCACTTCTACATATCAAAATTTAAATCTTCCTTTCACTTCTAAGATGACAAAGTTGTCTAAACTATAATCCTTGGATGAATAGTCTAAACAACATGAAACTTTGAATTAAAATCTAACAAATGAATAGAAAAGTCCAAAATAAGAAGGTATAGATAAATTAAGGATATAATTGAACGAATAATTTTTAAAGGAAAGCTCTTATAATAGAGCAGGTGCTTGTCTCTAATTTCTTGAACCTACTCTGGTTCATAATTTATGTAATAATATCAAAATAAATTTAGTAAACCTATCACCTAAAGTTAAGATAAATTCGGAGCTTCGTGCATCGATTTCTTCAAAAGATTTAAATGGTAACACAGCTCTTCATTTTGCTGCTAGAAATGGTAATACACATTTAGTTCAGGCACTAATGTATAAAGATATACAAATAGATGAATAGAATGAAGATAAAATGACACCATTAATATTGAGTGCTTATTAGTACTATATATATATTTATATAACATAGTGGAAAGTTAGAAACCTTATAAATATTAGTTAATGTTGGAGCTAACATCAATCATCAAGATATTTATGGTAACTCAGCTTTACATTATGCTTGTAAGTTTAATTTTAAATAAATTGTGGAATTTTTATTCTAAAAATAACATCTTCTCTTATAATAAAATTTAGAATAGAAATATCCAGATTACTATATTGAGGACTAAGATATTGCATAGATTTATAAAGAATATTTAGAATAAACAAAAAGTAATAATATTAATTTACATTTTAGAAAAACAAACAAAAGAAGTTATAATTCAAACAACATAAACAGAAACAATATTAAAAATGTTTTAAAGAAAAAATATTAAATAATTAAAAAATATTATTTAAACAAGTAAATCATAAAATAATCTTGATAAAATATAGGTGTCATCTCCTAAAATAACATAATTATAAAATAAATTACAATAACTTGAATAATTTAAAACTTAAATGTAAGGATTAAAAAGACAAACAACCTTATCAACCAATTATTCTGAATCTTAAAAAAATATTAGAGAAGAGGAGGAAATAACTTTGTCTTAATTTTAAATTTTAGGTTTAATTGGTAAAGGTAGTTTTGGTCAAGTCTATCTTGTTAAAAGATAAAATTAATTATATGCAATGAAAGTTTTAGATAAATCTATGATATTAAGTAATTATAATAAACATAATATAGAACATAATTTATTTCGTTATGCTTAGACTGAAAGAAATGTATTATCAGTAACTTCACATCCTTTCATTGTAAAGCTAAGATATGCCTTTTAAACTTAGGATAAATTGATTATGATTTTAGACTTTTGTCCTGGAGGAGATATGGGACAACTTTTGGAAGAGAAAAAGAGACTTCCAGAAGATTTAGTCAAAAATTATATTTGTGAAATAATCCTTGCTTTAGAAGATTTACATTAAAGAGATATTATATATAGAGATCTTAAACCAGAAAACATAGTTATTGATTCAGATGGACATGCTATGCTTACTGATTTTGGACTTTCAAAAGAGGGAATATTTGATGCAAGCTAAGGAGCTAGATCATTTTGTGGTTCTGTTGCTTATTTGGCACCTGAAATGCTTAAAAGATAAGGACATGGAAAAGCAGTTGATTGGTATTTACTTGGAGTTGTAATGTATGAACTTTTAGTTGGAGTGCCTCCTTATTATGATAATGAAAAAGAATAACTTTTTCATAATATTGAATATGCTGTTCTCAAAATTCCTTCATATATTTCACCTGAATGTAGAAATCTTATAAAATCTGTAATTATTAATTTCATTATATAGCTTCTACAAAGAAATCCAATAAAAAGATTGGGATCAGGAGTAGGTGATTCGAAAGAAATCAAGTAACATCCTTATTTTTTAGATGTTGATTGGGAAAAGATCAAAAATAAAGAATTGGATTTACCTAAACCAACAAGAAAGATTCGAATTAATACATAAAATGTTTAGAATCTTTTTTAATAAGAACATTTAGAACCATCATCTCATATTCATGGTTGGTCTTATGTTCATACAGAATTTTGAAAAATTGTTTATCTTGCTTAACAATTTAATATATAAAATAATTTATTTCATTTAAAAAAAAAATAAGATTTATTTACTCAAAAACTAATTTAGGTTATTAGTTTAAACTAGAATTCAAAATAAATATAAAGATTATTAGAGTTTTTAATTGATTATTTGAAGATTTATAATAAGTTCTTTTATTATATGAGTAAAATATCAATAGAAAAATTATAATTAAATTTTATTTGATAATGTCCATAAAAGTTTCAGAGTTTTTGTAAATGGATAGATTAAAAGATTATTTTTAAAAAATTTAAGAAGAGGAAGATAGAAAACAAAAGATTTAAGAACTTACTGCAAAGCTACTTGAGAAATCACAAAAGAGACTTAAGTAATTATTAAATAAATAAGATTGTAGAATAGAAAATAACGAGTTGATTAGAGATTTAATGATAAACTTAAAAATATGAAAGAGCTCAATACATTTATTGATGTTAAATAAAAAATTGTTGAATAAAATGTATTGAATGATGCTAAGCTAATCAACTAAATATAAATGGAATTTAATAATGCAAAAACAAAAAATGAAGAAGAATGGATATAGAAATAATTGAATTCTGATTCAATTAAAAAGACTTAGAAAAAACAATCATTTTCTACATATTCCACTAAAAATTTTTCATTATTAAGTTCAGCTGTCCCAATGAAAAGAGTACTTGATAATACTTTTCTAACTTAATCTATATAGAATTTTGTAAATGATCCCAAATCTACTGCATCATAATTAGGTAATGGTCCTTATAATTTTGATACCTTGGTTGAGAATGGACTATTATCTAAAAATTAAAATTCAATCAAACTCACAGTTTCTAAATATTATTCAAAATATTAAAATAAGACAAATGAATTTATTAAGAATATGAAATTACATTGTATTGCAAAATATAAACCAATATAAGATTAAATGAATAAAAAAGAAATCAAATTATCAATTAGTCATTCCTAATATACACCAAATCAATAAAGAGGCAGACCATAAACTTGTTTCCTTAGTGAGACTACTTAATTAAGAACATAAAAAAAAGAAAATTAATAGTAATCAAATTCAGAAAATTAAAAAACTATACTTAAAGAAAATGTTAATAATAATATTGAAAGATCCTCAATTGAAAGAACAAAAAATTTATAAACAATGATAAACTTTTATGAAAATTAAAGTGGATAAACTGATAAAAGATTTAAAACACCTTAATATCGTAAGAGAATAGGTTAATCTTTTCTTAAATTCAATAAGTCTTTAACAGAAGTGGAATCAGAACTAAATAAATCTAGTTAAAGTAACAATGATATCTTAAGAAAGATGGAAACTATTGTAACTGATGTTTATGATAGATATTAAACATAATATAGCTCTTATAATTTTTATTGATTAAATATTTTAATGATTTATTTAAAAAAGATTAATACTCATTACATTAATTAATAGATTATAAATATATATAATTAATAAATTTTTTATATTTTTATAAGTTATTGATATAAAATTAATTATCAAAAATTTGTTTTAATTTTGTTTCACATTTCAAACAGAATATTTAATAAGGTTTCACAATAGTAATCTTGATTTAATCCAAAGATATGATTGCATTTCATTATAAACATATTATTATTTTTCAATTTCTCTAATTCATAATTTTCATCTTATGATTCTTAAGTTTGCAAATGTATTATGGATTACAAAATTCGAAATATTTTTTAACAAACATCTAAATCTAATAATTCTTAAGGATAATCTGCAACATAATTAACTAAGCAATCAATCAATTATAGTTTAGTCAAATCTTTAATTTAATTTTCATCGGCTTTCGAGAATGCTGCAATTATACAATATACTAATTCAATTATATAATCTGATTTAGGAAATCCTAATCTAAACATTGCAGGTATTCTTATAAGAATTCCACATTATAAAATACTTGTAAGATCATCTACAATTAGATTTGTTAATAATGAGTAAATAAGTATTTGAGGGACTGATTTTTCATTTAAATGTACTTAGATAACACTTAAAATGCCTTGATCAATCATACTTGAACCACATGATGCTAAACTTAAATTATTAAGAAATTGATAGATATTGCATACAAGATTGTAATGTTTATCATATTTAAATAGTAAATCTACAGACCATCTAACATATTAAAATTCTAAGAATTTTTCAAATAATTAAACCTATTGAATAATTTATGGATCATAATTTGATAAACAATTAGCAAGAAATTAAAAAAAATATTCCATTACTTCTACATATTGTGATTATTGAACATTTGAACTATTTTATAATTTATGAAGAATAGGATGAATAAGATTATATTCATGATATCCAATTTAAACTAATTTATGTAGAATCATTAAAAGATTTTTAAGATTAATTAAATCAAAGTTTGTATTCATAAGATATTTATTAGTTAATATAGTAGGAAGGTTATGTTAAATCAATAAAGTTTAGACTTATGGGAAATCAAGCAATAGATTATACAATACCTAACATATTCTATCCAAAATTTTGAATTTATTGGTTACTTTTAATATTTATAACAATAGATCTAGTAGATCATCTAATTAAAATTCTATTTTCACATAATAAGTGAGTTAATTTAGATATAATAACATTTCTTAAATAGTACATTCTGAAATTTCAAGATCATCATCATTAATTTGTCTATTTGATTAATCAACTTCATAAATATATTAAGCAGTTGCTTATTATATGTAAGTTAGAGTTTATAGATGTAATTCTGTAAATTCAGGTAAAAGGAAAGTGAGTTATTGAAAAAAAGTAGTGAGTGAAATTTGGTTTTATGAAATACCTTATAGAATAAGTATTGCTTAATTGTTATTTGAAATTTGAGTTGGAAGCTCTATTATTCTTTTTTTTTAGAATATGAGTTCCCGCTAATTCCTTCTCAATTAAATATGAAATGCTTCTCTTTTGTGCTTTACAATCATAAATTTAAATAATTTAAAATGAGCTCTTAAAATAAGTAAGTGTATTTAGTTTATTTTAAGTTAAACAGGACTTTTTCCGAATGCGTAAGGGCCAACATCCAACCTATTTGGCTAGAATACAGGATAAGTATCTTCACTTTTTAACTAACCTGGGTAAACATAGAATTAAGGCTCTGTCTTTAATTAATAAGGTAATATAGGTGGAGCTCCATAAGCAGCAGCACAAGCACCAACTAATAATCTATTTGGAAATGCATAGCCCAACTTAAATTTATTTGGAAACAATCAGCCAAACAATAACAATTTATTTTCATAAGCATAGACAACAAACTAACCTCCATAATAATAACAACCTGCATAAGCAACTAATAGCATTTTTTCAAATCCTGGGAATGCAGCACCATAAACAAATCAAACTGGATTAGGCGGTTTAGATTCTCTTTAATAATAACCATAAGGTGCATAAGCAACATAAACAAGTTCTTTGTCTTTATTTGGAGGCATAACTTCAACATAAAATCCTTAATCCAATCAACCAAATACAACTTAACAAAATCAATCAAATCCAACAGGTTTAGGAAACTTTAGCATTGGTGGTGCTTCTACTGGATTTGGAGGATTAACAGGAGCAGGAGCTGGTTAAGGTACTGGATTAGGAACAGGAACAACAAATGGAGGATTATTTGGATAATAACAAAACAATACATAGCCAACCCAAAATAATAATACTTTATTAAGTCAACCTAATCCAGCAGTAGCCCCTCCTCCAACTAATCCTTTAACATCTACTACTTAAATTTCAACTTAAGCATAACCAAGTCAACCTTAAACTAGTCCACTTGGAACTTCAAATAATTTATTTGGAAATACAACTAGCAGCCTTTCAAATTTAACATAACCACCAAAATAAACAATAGGATAGGATTGGATTAAATAACCAACTACTTAATAACCAACAACTTAATAACCAACAACATAATAACCAACAACATAATAGCCAACAACTTAATAACCAACAGCAGTTCAATCTACTCCTAGTATCATATAAATTGGAACATAACCAACTTAATAATAAACCTCATAATAATCAACATAACCTTTATAACAAGCTACATCGTAATAATAACCAATACTACCATAAACAACTTAAGGATCTCAACAATAACCAGTATCTCAATAGTAATCAAGTAGTTAAGTCTAAACTTAATAAAAACTATAATTGCCACTATCTAAAAATAGAGATTTTTATAAAATAATGGAAATTTTGAATTGTAGAGATGACACTAAAATATAGAATCTATTTAAAGAGGATGAGAATTTATATAAAATTATGTTATAAGGATCCAATTGGTTCTCTTTTTCAGAAGATAAAGTCTAATATTAATAAGATACTCCTTTTGATTAAGAAATTAGAACTAAATGTTTTGATAATAAAATAAAAACTGAAGTATATTATGTCTTAAAAGACAGTTTATAAGCATCAAGAGTTAAGATATTGAATGATTAATTCTAAAGAAAATAGAAAGCACCAGAAAAAATTAAGTTTTTTGATAATGAAATTAAAAAATTTTAGCATATATTTTTTAATCATTATGCTGAACAAAGATCTTAATTAATTGCAGGATTAAAATTAATGCTTGTTAACTTAATTGATGAAGAAGAAATTGGTAAACCATCAAAATAATTAAATGATATGTTTAAGAGAGGTCTTATATAAGGATTAGCTAATTCCTTTGAAAGTGTGCCTCGTGCATTGAATTTCTATTTAAAACAAGAATAATTTTCAGAAGAATATACCTTTTAGACATTACAACATTTTGTATCAGAATAAACTTAAATCTTAGAGATATTTACAATTTTATAATGTTACTTTAAAATTGATAGATTTGATGATGTATGCATTAAACCAGTCTAAAATTTATTAGAGAATATAAAAAATTCTTAATTCTTAGGTTTATTCCATAAAAATGAACATCTAGTATTCTAAGAGTATAGTCCTTTAGCATGTAAACTCTAAGAGGAATATAAAAAGATTGCATTTATTTTTGTTTTATCTTAATGCATTAGACCTCTATATTAATTAAGAGAAGCTAATATGGAAGAATATCATCTTCCTCCTTTATGGATTTCTAAGTGTTTTGAAACAATAAGATAAATGCAGCCAGATTATATTTAAAAGATCTTTTTGATTGCAATTAATTTATAGGAAGGTAAGGATATTTAAAATTAAAATGATTATGAAAATATTTTAAGATATTTTGAAGAAGTTCTTAGAGTATTAGAGAATGCATCAATAAATACTCATTTTTGGAATTGTGTATGTACTTGTATTTATCAATGGATTAGATTTTATAAGAATAAATATTAAGAAGATGAATATGATGATGAGGTTGAATTATTATCAAAGATATTTTCAATTCTTTTATAATTACCTACACTTTGGTCTTTATTCTATGAATTTGTAAAATAAAATGAATCACCTGAATAAATTATATTTGATAGATTAAATAAATTGAAAGTCTTCCGTAAAATTAATTAGCCTGAGACATTAGATTTAATGTCTGATGATCACAATCAATTTTAAAGTTTACACAATATGATAAGAGATTTCTCTGAAGGTAAATTGACAAATAATCTATATAAATCATCTGATTTCTTAGGTAAAAGTAATAGAGCTTCTATGGATTATTACAATGAATAAAATAAATTAAAAAATAAAACATTGTCTATGGGTATAGATAATTTAGGAGTGAGTGTTTATAAATTTAAGCATGCTATTAAATTTATTAAGGGAGAAGTAAGAAAGTCAGCAAATTCTATTAAAAGAATAGCTTTATTGTGTAGTTCAAATAATATTAATAGATAAATACTTAAAGTAACATCGGAATGTTCAAGATTGATAGATTTAATTATTGATACTCATAAAGAAGAAGAAAAGGCTATATAATTGATTAATAATTTATTAACAATAGGTTCAGAAGCTGTTTAGATTATAAATTATATATTAGAAGATCCTATGCTTTAAAAAGAAATGGCAGAAGAAATCAATAAACTACCTACAAATGAATAATAAATTTAGAGACAATAAGGATTCTCTTATCATCCATTATTTGAGTTATTTCATATAGCAAGAAAGTGTTAGGCTTCTTATTAATTTAAGGTTAAGTAAGTTATAAGAATTCATTTGAATTATGCTTAATTATGTAGTGCAGTGATAGGGTAAGATAATCCTTTGTAATTATTTGAATAATAAAATAGTAGTCATTATTATTAATCTACATAACATACATTTGTTAAAAATACTCTTGAAACTTTTTTAAGATTTTAATTATAGGAATGGAAAATCTTTGAGGAGGATAAAATGGAAGTTACTATTGAATATTAGGCAAGTATGTATTTAGCATTGTAAAAGATCTTGAAGAAATTCTTATTTTATCATACTAAAGAATACAAAGAAACTTAATTACATAATCTAATTAAATAATAATTGAATGAAATCAATAGTTAATTGATTCTTGAATTTCTATTAACTAATTTGGATGTTACATTAACAGATTCTTTCTTTGAAGATATTGGATAAAAATAATTATCAAATAATATTAATATGATTGGAATTAAAAATAAATTATATGAGTAAGTAAGAAATTTTGATAAAATAAAGTATCATGTAACTTCCTTATTAGTTAATTTACTTGATTGTTGGAATACTCTTATTGATTTATATTCTATCTATGATGAAACTTTTAGTAATAATTTATAATTAATTAAACAATTACATTAATTTTTCTAAGAAGAACAATACTTTTTATAATAAGTAGTTAGTACATATCATTAAGATATTAATGGTTATGTTAACAATAGAGTAAAATTAAATTTTATACATTCTATTTTGGGTTTATTGAATACAATAAGTGAACCTTAAAGTAATTGTTAAGATCCTCCTGATTTTGAAGATTTAGAATGGCATATGTTCAAATAAATATATGAAGATATGAAATTCAAAAATTATCGTTAAACTTTAGACAGAAATCTACCATAATATAGTACTATATTCACAAGTGCATTACGTTTATTGTCTAAACCATTATTAAATCATAATTTGGAATAGAGTATAACAACAATAGAAACAGAAGAGAATTAATTATTAAATAAGAGAATACATTATCATCATTTAATATTTTAGAGTCTACATACTATATTAAATAGATTAGATAAAAAATGTTATTCAATTGAAAAATAAGAAATATTAGAATTTTTAATAATAAGTTTGGAAAATAATTAATCATTTATGCAATATATATTAAAATCATAAAATCCAAATTTAAGTTCAGGAATTAAATATATTTTAGAATTATTTCAAAATATATTTGGTTATGATGAAGATTTAGAATAAGATTATAGAATTCCTATGTTAGTATTAGTATTTTTACATTAAGTTTTATGTGTTAATTAATCAAGATATTAATCATTTGCAAAAGAATGTAGAACAACTTATGCTTCTTTGATGCTTAAACTTTTTAGAGAAGTTTAAATTTGTTTAAATAAAAGATGTGAAAAATTCACTAAATTTTTATCAAATAAGAATGCTAAAATGTATATTACAAGAGAAACAGGATCAGCAATAGAATAATGTGTAATTGAGAATTGTGTTTTAGATGCAATAGAAGAATTAGTAATGTTAGAATATTTCTTAAAATTACTCATAAATGAAATGAAATAAGAATCAAAAGAAACAACTAAAGCATTTGGAGAATTAATAAAATTAATGTTTTAAAAACATTTTATAAGAGAATGGTATTTGTTATTAATCCAATTCAGTGATCATGTTGAATTTGCAAAATTCTTAAAACGTACACCTGTAATAAAAAGTAATACAGTTTTCAATTATTTATCTAATTTTATTTATAGTTATGGTCGTGATTTTTAAATAGATAGTAATACTGTTAATTACATAGGTGGAAATGCAATTGCAATATAAAAATCTAATATTATGGCTTCATGGTTTACTTAATTGTTATCAACATTTAATCAATTATCTTAATTTGTTTAATTCTTTTTTTCAATTGGTTTAACAGGTTCTCCTTTTAGTGACAATTATTAAAAAGATTTATATGAGGATAAAGAATTAGGAGATTCTATATTCTCTCCTAATAATGGAAGGGATATTATTGAAGGAGGAGTAGTAAAACTATTTGGTTAGGAAGATAATTAATATAGTGAAACAGAATATGCATTTAATGCTGGATTATATTTCTTATAAAAAGGAAGTTAAAGCATTTATGCACTTGATACATCTAAAATTCATGAAGAATTAATGATACCAGCAATGGAAATACTTAATCAAATATGTTGGTATAGTCAATAAGTAATATGCAAATATAAAAGTATGAATTCTAATAGAGAAACAGTATTAATGACATATGAAAAACTTAATACAATGAGTAAACATTAATTTGTCTTCTTCAAACGTATTCTGGAATTGAAATCTGTTTGCAATAATGAATTTAAAGGTAAATATAAGTAAGTGTTATTTACATGTTTTCATTCAATGTTATTGATCTTATAAAATGTAAAGGAAAGTTAATTATAAGAACCTCAAGATTTAGTATAAGTATTTCACTATTTCATATTATAAATCGATTTCAATGATCCTAATTGTAAATAATTAATAGGTTAATTATCTTCTATTCTATCTGTGATATTAAATGTTTTCCCAGCAAATCCAGAATTATTAGATAAACCAAATGAAGGATTTTATGACATTGTTAATTTACAATTAGAAGCATTAAAGAATTAAAATAATTCTAAGATTTTTTAATCTATAATTTAATGTTGGATAGATATTATCACATTCAATATATCAAATAAAATAGATGTAAGATATTTAAAATCACTTACATTCATTGCAGATGAATAAATCTATAATTCTAATGAAAATGGATAATACAATCATAAACATTCTATGTGGTGTCATGTACTTGTATTGGTTAGAGAATTATTAGCTTATGATCAAACTTAATGTAGATCAATTTTAGAATTCTTTACTTCTCATGAATAAAGAATGCATTCTGCAATTATTTAAATTGATTAAACTTAATAATATTAATCACTCCGTTAATTTACAGCTGTTACTGGATTAACTCTTAAACATATTCAAACTTATTAATAGAGTTATATGCTCTTTTTTGAATTGTCTTAAATAACTTAATTCTTACTTGAATTAATCCTATGTAAAAATATGAGATTACAATTCAAATTGCATTTAGATAAGATAATTTATACATTTATGGGATAATATAGTCAATAATTAGGATATCATAAGAAATTAAAATAATTCTTCCAAAGCTTTAAACCATATACTTTATTAGAAACAAAACTTAACTAATTGTTTGCTAAACCTGAAACAATTAAAGCATCTGATTATTTTTCAATTCCATAGTCTGCTTAAATGATGAAATAAAATTAAACTCCATCTCCTCATAGAACTAATCAAAGAGATTAAGCATCCAATTTTGATGGAAAATCAACATAAGGTGGTGGATAAAAATTTAATCTCAAAAGAGATGTTGATAATATTTCACTATTTTAATATATTTGTTTGGTTGAATATTTAAGATTCTCTCGTTTTAGCATTTAAGGAATAGCTGCATCTATGAATATTTTTGAAGTGGATCGTAATTTCTAATTAGAAGATAATGTTTGGAATAGTTTTGGTAATAATATACAGAATTTCATATAATTTAATTTTGATGCATTTGCAAATCTATCTTAATCTGAATATATTAACAATTTAATTAAAATGCATTAATGGCTTTTGGGTAATTATGATTTTCAAATTTAATACAATGGACTCTAATAATTATGTGTTTATCCAAGTAATTATTTATATTATATATTAATAGCAAATAGAGATGAATTATTACAAATGTTTATCTAAAATATAATTTATGGTTTCTGTGCTGAGTTGTAATATTTGTAATTGAGAGAAGTTCATAGAAAGATTAACTTTATAAAAGATTCATACAATATCGAAATCACTTTGACCAAAGAACTATGTAATATATATATATCTAATAATATAGGTAAATATGCTGAAACACTAAAACCTATTCAATTTGTAAAATAAATGGAAGCATAAGATCTATTAAATGAAGTATTATCTTTTGGTGAATATCCTATAAATGAAGCTAATGATAGCTACTTTAACAGATGGAAAACTAAATTTGAAGAAAAATTTTCAGAATATAAAAAAACATGATATACCCATATATATATGATTATTATATAAGATAATGTATTATTCAAATATTTAATTAAATTAAGTCTTTTTTTTGTAAAATAATAAATATAAAAGATTGTTCATTTCTTGATATCATCAGTTTCATTAGTATTTTAAATAGCTTTAACAATTATTTCTTTGAATTCTTTAAATTCGATCTAATTAAAATACAATTTACTTATCCATCTCCATTTTAATCAACTTCTTATATAAGATCTTTCCATACTTTTTCTGATACTTAAGAATTTTAACCAAATATTTATTTTATTTCATCAATAGATATTGTACCACTTCCATCTTTATCAAATAATTTAAATGCTTATTCCAATCTTTTATCCTCTATTAATTTTACCTTATTAAAAGTAGCCAAAACAAATTCTATAAATTATAAAAATAATCATTAAATACCAGAATAATCAATACTACCATTTCCATCTTAATCAATTTATTTCATTAATTTATCAACTTCTATTTCAGCATCAGAATAACTCATTACTTTTGAATAACCTATTTATATATATAAAATATACCTATAATTAGTTCTTCCCTACTTAATCTACCATCACCATTTAAATCTAATGCTTAAAATTATGTCAATAATTCCTACTTTTCTTAACTAGTTGCTAAATAATTGACCATAAATGTAAGAGC